GTTTGAATTCTATTGAAATTATATTGACTTCAATCCTCGCTTTACTGTCTCTTTACAAAACAAAAAAGTCTGTATATCTGCATATCTGTTACAGTCGAAGTGTACGATTGGTTGAACCACAAGGTGTGCAGGAAGTTACGTGTAATAAGAAAATGGTACATTTAACGATTTTTTACATTTTGATAATTTATTTCCACAAATTAGTGTTATTGAGCCCTTGCAAAAAGATTTTGAGATCATGTTGTTACATTGAGCACTATATTCTCAATATTGCAAGTTTTTAACAACTTCATTGCTACATTTAACTATTTAAAAACTTTATGACATGACCACTATATGACAATTTTATTAATATGATGCTCAAATAACAAGATGAACTCAATACATTCTTATAAATTCGATGGTGCAGTTTCTTAAAGAAAAATTGATGTTAAATTAATTTAGTTTTCATTTGGCAAACACAAATTACATATAATTTTAATGATTTTGATTAAAAAATAATTTAGAATAATTAAAACGTCTTTAGTCGTGATACTTTGATCAAATCATTCTGTAGAATTATTTTGCACTTTGACTGTAACATATTCAGCACATATCTTACATTAATTGATAAATATAATAATAAAATCGCATTTGTTACATGTTAAATAATCTGCTTCTAATCTAAAATACAATAAAAATAATTTGTTATGTCCGGTTAACCCCAAAGAGAAAAAAATTATAGCAAATTGATGTGTTTCATTGCCTTTATTATACTCTTCTCATCACAATGCTTGTTTGCATGTTTGTTTCAGGATGAATTTGCTGGTGATGGTGTTGATCTGTATGATGACGTGATCGCTGCACCAGCCGGTGGTAATGGCGGTGTCTCCTCTGGAAATACTGGAGATGGTGGTGGTGATACCACATCCCCAAATGAAGAAACCAATGGAAATACACCTTATCATCAATTGGGCAATAATATACAACCAAATCAAATTGGTAGACGACACCAATTATATGTTGGAAATTTGACATGGGTATATATATACATATTTGCAAAGATCTTAATTTTAGTATCTTAAGGGCTTTTTATTTTTCTGTTTTTTTGTGTTCAATATAATTTTTTTTACAAAGTATATAATACATAAAATATATTATTATGATATATCTACACTTTGTAATAAAAACATAATACATTTTATTTATTTATGCTTATTACATTTTAATGTGACAATAAAAGAATATTTTATTGTCTAATATTATAAAATAATATAGAAACAAAACGATAAAAAGATAAAATTTTGTCAGGATTTTCTTTATCAGGAAAGCTTTTTAGTACAATCTTTTATCTTGTTTTGAGGGCAATATTTATATTGAAACTTTCTTACTTTATTTTTTCACATGTATGCTATGTTACTGCTCATTTGAGAATCGCTCAGTACAATTAATATTTTCATTTTTAGTGGACTAGTGATCAAGACATTACAGATGTGGTTCAAAGCATCGGTGTGACTGATTTTGTAGAAGTGAAATTTTTTGAGAATCGCGCTAATGGGCAGTCCAAAGGCTTCTGCGTAATATCTTTGGGTTCCGAACAAAGTATGAGATTATGTATGGACAGACTGCCCAAGAAGGAACTACATGGTCAGAATCCTGTAGTAACTTATCCCACGAAGCAAGCTTTGAATCAAGTATGTATTATTGTAATGTAAATTAAAAAAAAAAAAAAAAAAAAAGTACGTAAACGTACGAAAGCAGTACGTTTCGATTATCGCGACGATCGGTACACGACGAACTTTTTTTATGTGTTTTCAGTTTGAATCGCAGTGTAAGACACGACCCGCCCCGGCTCCGCAGCAGAGTCAGAGCCAGCGCCCTCATAACCCCCATCAACATCAGCCGCCAATGCCACCTCATCAACAACATCCCCAGCATCCTCAACATCCTCAACACTCGCAACAAAATCATGGCCCTAGAATGATGATGGGTCCTCCGCAAGGTGTTAGACCGCAAAGGATGCCGCCTCCCGGAATGGGTCCTCCAGGTCCCGGGGGTCCGGGTCAGCAAGGACCGCCGCGTATGCACGGCCCACCAATGGGTCCAGGTCCGGGACCACATCACCCATTACCCGGCCATCCCAATCAAGGCCCGCCGCCCGGTTATCAGCAAGGACCATGGAATGGTCCGCGACCCAATGGTCCACCCGGGCCGCCTAGAGGACCCAGCGGACCTGGCGGTCCGCCGCAACAAGGCCCACCTGGACCGGGTCCTGGTCAGCACAGACCACCAGGAATGGTACGTATCGTGAACAAATTTTCTTCCAAATATAATATTGCTCTTTGCGCAAAATGTATTTTTAACACGTTTTTGTGCCCATTTAGCGTTATACTTAATGCTAAATGTAATTGGATTTGAAATTTATTTGTGACAAAATTCGGGCGTTCTGAATTTTACACGTGGCACCTTTGGAAGTATAAAAACCTACGAAAAACCTGTGTAAAAAGCAGTCTAGTACATACATTACAATATTCATATATAAAGTTTCAAGTAAATATAGAATATAGATATTATTTTCGAAAGAATGTAATACTAAATATCTGTAACGTTGAAACACATTTACTTGAAAAGAATTACATGAAGAAAATTGTACACTATAGTTCTTGTATCTTCAGTAATCGTTTTAGAAATATGTCGTAGACATTTCCGCAGAATTTATCGCGTAGAGATTCTTAAACTGTGCAGATTATTGACACGCAAAGCATTTTGTAAATTATTCTTTTGATAGAAATGATACAAGTGAAACTTGCAAGAAAGATCTATCCAGAAATCTGCACAGTTTCTAAAAGATCAATCAATGCATGTTTGTTTATTGTGAGTAATCATAGTACAGGCTTAAATATGTTTTGCACTTACATGTCTTACGCGTAAACAGAGTTGCGCTAGAGACCTTTCAGAAGCCAGTTATCATATGCCACAGGTAACCGATAATGAGGTTTTTTTTTTCAATTCTGTTTTCCTTCTTAGAAAATGGATCGTCTAGTCGCCTATTTTTTATTATAGTACTTGAATTTATGACCGCTTCAATTTCAGAAATTAAATCTTTCACATAAAAATAACTGGCTATTTATAAAAAATAAAATCATTTATAAAAATAAAAATTGAAACGCAACATTAGAAAGAAATATTAATATTCTAAATGCAATTTTTTTTCAAATTTTCATGCAATGTTTTCTTCAGTTATTATATTAGGCGGGGCTTGTATTATAATTTATTAATACATTGAAAGTTATTAGCATTTGTGGTGCATATCTTATCTACACAAATTTTTATAATTATGGAAATTATCAATAAATAAAATTTAGATTACGTTTTTGGCAATACTATTATATTATGTATGTAACATATATTTGATTGTTACAAAATGCAAAATTTTTATACTTGATAATTACAAGTGCCACATTTTTAAAAAAGATTCACGTTATATACTTAGTGTTAATAATTATTTCTTTCTATAATTTTACCAGAATAATTTTATAGAATACCTTAATGTAACCTGTCGTCTCTTACATTTTCTATAATTTAAAAATTGCTCATTAATTTATGTTCTCCCGCGAGGTCGCGAAACTAGATAATGATTATCTGTGTAATTATGATGGAGTGAAATAGAACCTTCGTCTGTCTTCATTCAGCAATTTCATGGTGGTCCACCCGGACCGCCCGGCCAGGGACCTCCACGCGGCCCACCCGGTCACCCCGGTGGCCCTCCCGGAGATCCGCGAGGAGCGCAACCTCGTCCTGAGTGGAACAGGCCTCCAGGTTTGTGCGCGACTTTTGTTACACCTCCCGTGACCTTCGTTTACCTTTGAAAAATCTCACGTTTACATCACAAGACTTTTAAGATTTATTAGTTTTCTCTGAAACATCTTGGACTCGAATGCTTTTATAGTACTTTCTCAATATGCATGATCAAGTAAATAAAAGCAACGAAGACGATGGCAAAAAAAAAAAAACCTACGTGAACGACAGCACACAACCCAAGTAGTGGTAGTGTACTATTCTCAATAGTATTACTGATGAGACTGTTCAATATGTGCATAGGAATGCATCATGGGCCTCAGGGACCACCAGGTTTCCCTCAACATCAACATATGCAAGGGCCGCAGCCTGGCCAAGGCCCACCACAGAGAGGACCTCCTCCAGGTTCTATGGGTGGTGAGAGACTTAGAATGCTCGTTCAATGTTGCAAACTTTTCATTAGGCAATCGTTTGCTAAGCTAGATGAAATGCATGATATTGAGGGAAATTGATCTGGCAGAAGCATTAAGGTGCAAGGTGTTTCAAAGGATCATTTTTTCATATACTAAAATGAGCGAGAAAATGCGCGGCTATTTATCGAACTCTTTCTCATTGATAATCACCACGATATTGTCAGCGTGATTATTGCACCATATTTATGCGTCAGACGTGAATGAATTTTGCCGAACACCGCCATACTGCAAATTAAAGATACAATTCGAATTCGATATGGAAAATCTAATGTCCCATTTTTTCACTTCTTTCGCAACGTAAACTTGCAACTTAAAGGAAAAGTCCCCCAAACGGAGATTGAAAAAAAGAAATACTGAAAATTGTTTTTGGTGATTATCATACCTAAAACCTAACCTAAAAGTAATAGTTCTTTTAACTGGTGTGCTATAAATCTCCTCTTTGAATCAAGATTAATCGAGTGTATTGTTAGGTCCAGGAGGCCCTCCTCCAGGACACGGTGGACCACCTCAAGGACCTCCACAAGGACCGCCAGGTGGTCCGGCACCTCATGTCAATCCTGCATTCTTTCCTCAAGGACCACCTCATCAACATCCAGGGCAACATCCACCTGGTCCTCCCGGTCCACCACACGGTCCACCTCACGGACCTCCGCATGGTCCGCCCCATGGTCCACCTCACGGACCTCCGCACGGCCAGCCGCACGGACCACCGCACGTACCGCCACACGGTTACGGACCACCGAGTGCACAAGTATTATATTGCTTAGATCAATATTGAATTTTTCTTTAATGTCTGTATTAAGTTTGGAAGGCCATTGTTTGATAGCATCTGGAATAGTTCTCTTGCAAACTAGTCTCTGTCTGTTTGTCGAACAAAAGTAACATTAATTATTCAAATATGTTACAATTAATGTCATTCAATTGTATAACTAAACGATGCAATTATAATTACGCTTGCGAGTATAATGCGATTTAATTCTGAATAAATTCAACGCTCGCGTTATTATTTCACCATCGTGAAAACTTGGCATCCTATGAAAAGGAGCGATTTTATGAATTTTGTTGTAAAGTCTATTTGAGAGTATACATAAGTATTGTCTATTCAACACGACCGTTTTGCGTTAGGCACCTTACGGAGCACCCGGACCTGATCACCGTCCAGAGGGTCCTCCTCCGCTCTCCGAGCAAGAATTCGAAGAGATAATGGGCCGTAACCGAACAGTATCGTCATCCGCAATTGCACGAGCAGTATCCGATGCCGCGGCGGGTGAATACGCTAGTGCCATAGAGACTTTGGTTACCGCCATCTCACTAATAAAACAGTCCAAAGTTGCCGCAGATGATAGATGCAAGATTCTCATTAGTTCTCTGCAGGACACTTTACGTGGCGTTGAAACTAAGAGCTACGGTTCTGGACGCAGAGGTGAGTTTCTATGCGAATCTGTGTTAAATTGAATTAATCGTACAAAATCGAATAATCCCCCTTAAGTTCTAAAGACAAAATATTGAGTTGCAAAAATCTGTGAATTTGTTTTCCAACATATTTTCTCCTAAGATTCTGCATCAGTGCCTTTCACGCGATGAATTTTCTTGCAGAGCGTTCACGTTCGCGCGACAGAGAGCGCAGCCACAGAAGACGACGCGAACGGTCCAGAAGTCGGGACCGCGAGTACCGTGAGCGTAGCAGGGACCGGGATCGAGAGCGCGACCGTGAGCGCGACCGTGAGAGAGAGAGAGATCGCGATAGAGACCGGGAGCGTTATTACAGCGAACCATATCCGAGAGAGCGATCACGCAGCAGAGAAAGAGAACGCGAACGTGAAAGAGATCGTGAATATAGAGAGCGAAGCAGAGAAGAAAGGTAAGCCATATGATCTCACCAGACTACTCTCTTAATTGCATTCGATCTTAGTGTGCGTCTGAGTAAAAGAAGGAATTTTGAGGGAAACTCTCTTGTTCAGGAAACTCTGAATGGTTAGGAAAGAAATAGAAATGGATCATTTATATTGATGTGTTAGTAAAGAGTATTTCATGTATTTGAGAGACATTGATTCCAATAGCAAATACGAATAGAAATGGCGTATATTTACTATATAACACACATAGAGTGTGCAGAGTGAAAGGATTACAACTAAGTTTCCGTCTCGATATCCATATTTTTTTCTCGCACACGATACGGAATCCCTATTTGATGAATTTTCCGTTTATCAAAGATTATACACATAAAGCACAAACAGATGCATGTGATAATTTTGCCAGTCAACATTTTGATATGTAGAAGCAGGAGTATATGAATCCATCATTCATATTGTCAATGCGAAATTTCCACATCATGTTGGTGTCGCGATTGACAGTTTAACAGCATAAAAGAATCTCTTGGCATTACTTTCATCAAACATGAAATAATGTTCTGAAAAAAAAAACATAGCCGAGAACAAGAGATCAGTAGCCATAAAGCAGATATGATAATTTGCCAATCAATATTTTGATATATAGAAGCAGGAGTAAATGGAAGCGCTTTTTTTATTACCTCAATCAAATGAATCATCACTGTTACTTTAGACTTTTATCATACCTCCATTCATACTGATTGCGCAATGGTCACAAAAAGTCTAGCTTTATTTTGCAAAGTAACGCAACATTTGTGACAGATTTATGGATCATAAGGGAAATTAATCTCTCTTTAATTAGAAAATCGTGTTAGTGATATCATTGCCAGTTCCTCTGATAACACATTCTGGCAGTACAATCTTTTCTCATATGTATTTACGGTCGAGCATTTTTTAATCATTCATCAGTGTATAAGTTCTCATTGTATAGCATATTTTTCGTATACGATAGTTCGTATCGATAGTTCCTACATCGACGACATGTTAGATAATGTGTGTTCAAAAGCTAGTATCCTGAATTAATTATGTATTCGTAAAAAAAAAAAAAATCGTATTATTGACCGTCTGCTATGAAGTATGCTTTGAAATATGGCAACATAAAGAATACAAATCGCATTGTTTCTTAAGGGAAACAAATTAAGCGCATAAATTATTAATATAAAATAAAAATTAATATTTTTGCTTTATTATAGATAATTTTTATCACTATTCCTTTATGAGATGCCATATTTTAAATATACTCGCGCGAATAAACGCAATAAAAATGGGTAATAGCTTTTAAAAAAAAATATTACACTGTAATAAGATATTATACTAATACACGGATCGGAACAAGAAAAAAGATTTTTGTACTATCTCAATTTATTTATGACTCGCTACGCTCTCGCATGAATTCACGTTGTGCAAAAAATTGTACCCTTTTTTTTGTTTCTTCGCGTATATGCAGGCCAGTCATCACTTTTTTTTTATAAGCACACGTGGGTCAAGCCAGATGCAAAATTACACAGTACAAAATTCGGTTACTTATGACGATTTATGATTTCTTATTTATTTGTCATAATTTAATTTTAAGACTAACGAATATATTGTAAATATCTATATAATCTTTTGAAACGTCTCACTATATATTTTGTACAATTTCGGTGAACAATGACGAAAAATAATTAGTGGATAAAGTGAACAAAGGTATATCTTGTCAAGCAAAAATGCAATGCGCAATAAAGGTAATCGATATATATTTTAACGACTAATCTTTTTGACTCGCGCTCATGCTGTTCTAAAATTTGTATTATAGTGAAAAACACAAGACCCTGTAATTATGCGCGCAAACTTTCAATTAGAATTATAATTATATGAAGAAAAAAAAATTAAAACACAAATTAAAAATATTTCAATGTGTTACTCAATCTTTATTGCACACTGTTTTATTTCTCTTTACATGGTTGTTTTCGGTATATATATTTGGTGCCAAAGTTAAATCATAACGTTTTCGTCGTAAATCGTCGTGAATTATTCTCGAATCGTTCACAATCGATTTCAATTGATGTAAAATATTCACTAATTTGTACGTGTGTGTGTGTGTAAATTTTTATTTCATGAATTGTCACATTAAGAATTACCTTGTATAATACGTCTAATAATTTTGACATTGTACGTGATTACTTTATAATTATAAAAGTAGCTTAAGCCTCTTGAAAAAATCTATCCTGTTGATATTGGAAATAGCGGGGATCCGAGTCATCGTCCCTTTTAGGCTAATCTTTGCTTTTAATGAAATGTACTAAGTCTTGGTTAATGGTACACGAATCGTCATAACAGAATATCCATTTTCCATTAGTACAACACGTCAATCAGCCAGGCCAAGAGTAAAAGAAGAACCGCCAGAGACGGCACCCGTCTCGTCTTCCAAGGCGTCTAGGTAATTGACTTTTCTTAACTACACACAATGAATGCATGTAGACTTAAATAAAAGCTAAAGTAAACGATAAAGCAAAACGATAGAAAGTCGTCCCTTGTACAGATAAATCCATGTCGATTCCTTTCATCTTTTATTTTAAATATCGAGAAAAAAGAATTATATATAGGATAATCAAATGAGAAAGAAATAAAATAACGATTAAGATAATTGAAAAAGCAAAAAATTGCTTTATAAATAGATCTTTTGTTGCTAAATTTGTGTAGAAAAAGATCAGAAAATACATATACATATACATATATATATATATATATAATTATGTCTTTGAATTCTTATTGCGTACTGATTATATTGACGAAAAATATATTCAACAGTAATGTCGTTAAAAGAGACAAAGAGAGGCAAAGAGACAAAGAGAGCGATATATACCCCATGTACGTTCTTTTATATTTACATACCTAAGTAAGAGATTAACATTAAAGTAAAGTGGACTCATAGTTATGTAACAAAGTATTACAAAAAAAAAAACAACATTAAAGTAAGATAATTGGCTGACGTGACTTGTGTAGGTATTATGACGATCGCTACAGAGAGCGTGAGCGAGAGCGAGATCGAGAACGAGAGTCAAGCCGACGGCCGTCCGAGCGGGAACGAGAACCGGAACGAGAACGTGAACGGGAACGGGAACGGGATCGTCGAGACGAACGAGGAGACTCCTCGCATCGCTCAAGACACTAAAATGAAAGAGAAGGAAAATACAATTATGTACACATATAGTGCATATGTATATGCAGAAACATAGATATATGTATTCGTGTAGTACTATCATATTAATCTATTCTCGAAACAAATGGATATTCCCATAATCGTAATACGGTTACACAAATATGCGTGTATACGTAGTGTATTATCATATTAATATATATATGTGTGTGTGATGAGAGAACTAAAGAAGGGAGAGAAAGAAACAAAAAGATACAATTGTTTGGGATATTTTTTTTTCACTTCGGATTTGCTTATTAGAGAGAAGATAAGAATATTCACGATGTATGTTTAAGAGGGTTCTCACGAATTTTTTTTTTTTTTTTTTGCTGCGCGTTGTCAAATTCTCCGCTGTTTTATATGCGTGTAAAACATTACTAGTGGATATAATATTTTAAGAACTTAACTTAAGGGTCAAGGATCACAGTGGTGAATTGTACTGCTCAATTATTGAGATTCTGTGTGAAATATAGTACAGTTTTATAGATCGTATATTTATATAACCGTATTACGATTAATATTCACTTATTTCGAGAATCGATTCGCAAAGCAAATGGTTATCGCGTACGATATGAAAGAAGATAAGAAGAGAAGAAGGGACATTTTGATGCAAAATTGCACAAAATTACGATACACAATCGGAAAGAAGCAGGAAGGAGAACAAAGTGCAAGAGCAAGAGCGTACGCTCGGAGAGACGGAAGGAAGAGCGAAGACATCTGCGTGAGGAACCATCGACTTCTGCATAGACGATGCAAGATTGTATCTTAATATAATACATATATATGCTTTGAAAAATATAAATACTAAACATGTCTTTACTTTATTCATCTGTACACACAAATTCCTGACAACAACAAAAAGAAGTAATATTTTTGTTTCTGCGATTTTATGAAACTCGTGCTCGCTAGTTGAGTTTTTCGAAAAGCTGAACCACCATGTATAAATAGGAGGTAATCTTCTGACATCGTCGAGGTTTCAATGATAGAACTTTTGTCTATATTGATATATTTTGGGGAAAAAATAAAGACATTTTTTATTGTGAAATAAAATGAATTTTAGGCAATTATACACGGTTCGCTTTTCGAAAGAAATGAGAGTATCGAGGAGTACATTTTATAAGAAGTTGGGAATAAATGCGTTAAACAACACGTTTGTGAGAAAAATGGTTGTACAGATTATTATCATAACATGTATTTTTTAGAAAAAAAAAATTTACAGCATACTATATGACGTATTAATAATAGGATCTTTGTAATATTGTTTAATAATAAGCTATAATTATAATATATTGTGAAATCGTCTCACAAAGCATCATGTAACGCAATTATTCCTATACACGAAACCAACAAACTCCTGACTTTTTGTGTTGTAAGTTGTAAGACTAAGTTAAAAGATGCATGAAACTTCCGTTCACATATTTTGATATGCTATTCAAACTATATAATCAATGATTATTTATATCATTGATTATTGATCATGCAAATAGTAATAAGAAAAACAAAAGCTGATACATGAGATAGTCAAATTGTTCACCTAATATTAATGTAAGATAGCGGCGATGTCGATGTAAGATACCGACATATCGAACGCAACGTGAGTTGCGAGTCCCATTATTATAAATTAGTGAAATTAACAATTTGGCTATGAAGTTAATCGACTATCAGCAATATATATTAACATTTTGCATAACAGAGTTTTTCTCTTATTATTATTTTTTGAACATATTCAAGCCTCCGCAAAATGACTTTGAAATGCAAATTGTTAGTATTTTTGTTCACACCGTACGCATTCCATTTTTAAGAACGAAATATTTATTTTTGCAAAATATAATTAGATCGACCACATTCAAGTGAAATTCTGCTAAAATTGATATAATTCCGAAGTATACTCTTGTAAATCTTAAGAGATAAGAACACAATGAAAGCAAGAAGAGTAAGGATCAAGTATCCGATCAGAATGAAAGATGTTCGAAAAAGTTTATTTTTTTCTATCTGATTTAATCCGAAATATTAGTACGTGATATAAAAGCTGTTTGTGATTTATATATAATTTAATTAATAGTACGTACATTCGAATCATTTTCCGAACAATATCTTTTTAATCTTGTGCTCAATTAGTTTTAATGTAACTTTGTAAGAGGATGGAATTTCATTTCCTTTTCGATTTTCTCAAAACAAAGGAGAAACGCATTTTAACAGATATACGCGCGTATATTTTCAACAGCAGAATGTCGTACAGGCATTCCTGCCTTCTATGTTATAAATTACAAAAGTTGTAATGTTACACTGTAATATTGATGATCAGAATTCTATGCTGGAATTTCTTGTTGATCGATTAATATTGAATTAATCGATATACGATTCAGGATGATGATAATACGTTTAACATTACAGTTTATTGCTCACAAGCGCTTAAAAGGATTCTCTCCTTTAAGACAGATTATTTCTGCATGAATTATACGCAACGTTTTAATTTTATTTATGTTAAAATACCCGATGCACACAAGGAATGAATCTCTCAACTGTTATGCAATTGACGTATTTTTAAGTCTCATCGAACGCATATAAATTCCAAGACTTCTTAAATATCCGCTCATATTGCTCGTAAACGAAACTTAAACAAAAATCATTTCACATAAATTGCATATTCAGTATAATTTTATATAAAGAATAGCGCTGTAACATTTTTTTTCGAGTTTGCGAAAATGCGATTATTTACACACATCAGATTTGATTCTCAAAACCTTAGAAATTTTTCAATTGAGAATTAACTGCGCTATGTGTAAAATATGTAATTGTAATATAATTTTTATTCGTGTTTAATGTTATTACGTGCGACACCGGCATGCTATATAAATGCCATTTAAAGCAAAATACACAACTGCTTGCTGTCCTTTCAGTTGAACGTCGGTGAACGACGTAGTTTTTGATAGATCGTTATTGAATTTGTAATATTGAATTTTAAAGTGCGATAATCTTTTGATAGAATTTTAGGATATCTGAATTCACGACAAAGCGTTTAGATAACAAATATATAACAGAGCCGTTCTCATCAAACAATATCATTGCAAGCTCTAATGAAACTCTTTTATGAAACATCGTTGCAGAACGGCATCACACAATTTATATGATATAAATATTTTACAATTATCAATCTTTCGAGAAACATATGAAACCGCGTACAATATATCTATCAGAATCAATTTGTTTGTTTTGATGAGAAGCAGGTGACAGGTAGACGTAATATATAATACTGCCATAATGGATATGCCATGTATTTTTAATAATCAATTCTATCTATATTCAAATTATAATTCTACTGTTGATGTTTTGTGCGTGGTTTTATGCGATCTAGCTAGTCTCTGCAGCCGTCTGCATATAGTTTATTTTTCTACGCATATTTATCAGTTCTCGCTCTCTCGAACTTTATTTGCCAAGTGCACATCGATTTACGATATCTCATCTCAGGTGAGGTGTTGCTCATCCAACAGACTGAAAAAAAAAAAAAACCGCAACCATTCCGTCAACTACTACTATAAGTCACCGTGATTGCGATTATTTGTCATACTTTTGATTTCACGTAGCATTTTATTTGCGTAATATTAGTCGCTCTCATTTGAGAGAAAAGAGAGAAAGACACGAATGAGGTTGCCTGGGAGAAATATGTATGGACGTATAATGGGTAAGTGTAACACAGAATGCAACTCTCTATTTATTTATACTTAATTTTAAGCGTATTATTTTGCGTAACAATATGAACGAACATATATGCACCTTTTCCGTGAAAGATAGATTTCTATTTGATGTCTTTCATGATATTTTCTCTAAAGCAAAAGACGATATATTTATTTGTAAACCATTCAATGTACAATTATAACTCGATATTTTTGCAAGTTATGTTAATACGTTGTGTCCGCTGTGCATCTATAAATTGTACAGTGATGCGTTTATTTCGGCCGTCATATCTGATATATGCAAATTGCTGCTGTTAAAATATTTTGCAAATTACCGAAACGACTGCGCAGTGGCGAGCAACGTGTTAAGATTGTAAACTGCTTCCTCTTTGTATATAATTCGATCTCACTGTAATTTTATTTTAGCAAATTACTATCATGAGAAAATGTGTCGATACTGTATTATGGTATATTTTGTATAGTACAACGTATACATTTTCTCTATTGCCAATATTCAAAGCACACTACCTCATTTAATGCAAACTCCAATTCATGCAAAATTAGTGCTCGATTAATGGCAATTTACTCATATCTTTAGAATGCCAAAAGTATGTTGAACATTGCGATCTCAATTACAACATGGAAGCATAAAATCAACTATATATATATATATCGAACAGAAAATCTTTCGCTTCCAGATTGTATTGTGAAACTTATTGAAAACGTAGAGATAATTCGCAATTCTCTCTTCATCGATGTGCAAAGATAGTAGCTTGAATTGAATACAAGTTTTGCAATGAGTCATGCATGTCATGGTACTTTTATTAAAACAAAAAAAAAAGGAAAAAGACGAAGTATCTATTTGTGAACGATTCAATGTATAGTCATAATTCAACACTTTGCTCAAAAATTCGTAAAGCTGTAAAAGCTAAAACTGTATATTGCTCCAGCCAAAAGCTATATATAAGGATAAATTGCTAGAGAGAAGAGGATATATATATGTGTATGCCAAAAACACTTTCTCAGTATTTGTGTCTGCTGACTTTTTACTATTTTTTTATAATTATATACAACAGGATTTTATAGATAAATTATGTACAAAGCGCTTAGAGACTATATAACAAAGATAATCTAGTCAGTACGATAAAAACAAAGTCACAGTAAAGATTCTTGTACATCTTATTGCCATTTTTGAACTGTGATACTGATGTAGAAAATTTCTCGTTAAAATATCTGATTTGAATATTTTTCTAAAGTTAATAAGTCTAAGTTTTTCGCTTTACTTTTATGTAACAATGGCAAAACGTTCGGTGCTACTACAATGCAGCGCACATATTTGTAGAAATAATGATAGACGAATCGTCAACATTTATAAGCAATTTTTATACAAAAATCATTCATTCGTAAGAACACGTATGTCGATATTTATTCTTTTGTATAGAAATCTTGCTATAAGTTTATACGAATTTCGCAATATATATAAAAGTATATATATTGCATATATGTATAGTAGTATATTAAATCTCACGAATCATCTTAATGAATCACGAATTATTAAGAGATTTTGAGTTTTCATTTTGCTAAAAAAACACACAGAATCACAACAGAAATTAGAGACGGTAAAAAGTAGTTGCAAGCTTCCCAAATGTATGTAATAGGCACCATGCAAAATTATATTTACACGTTATGCGTGTAATTGTAATATGTATTTCAATAACATCGAATAAGGTAAGTGATAAGACAAATAATGTAATATTTATGTAAATGTAGATGTGTACTCGTCATTTCCCTGATTCCTCGCAAGAAATTAACAAAGCAACGTCAGGAATTACGCAAAAAAGATTTTATTTTATATATATTTACATATCTGAAAAGGCAATCCCGTACAATAAACCTACACTTTGTCTACTATACTACATGAGAAAAATCACTGCACAATATTCTACAATAAATTATTGCTGTTAACAATTGATGATACTGTTGCAATTTTATAAAAGTAACACATTTTGCGCAAATGACAATGAACAAAAGCAGTAGATCTGAAGTGCGCTCTATTGCTACAATAATGATCTGTATTATAGCGATTTTATTCTGTCTTGTAGTTTAAGACAATGTAAAAACTTGTTTGTTCAATTTCTATCTGTGATAACGAATGTACTGAGATAATAAAGCCAAACAATTGCGACGAGAGAAACCAAAACTAATGAATAAGCAAGAAATAATAAATACAAGTATATTCTAGAGAGAGAGAAAGAGAGAGCTTTAATTCATGAGAAATGTACAATGCGTTTAACTCTTATTTTTCACTCGTATTTACAATACTTGATGAAGATTACATCTAGTGAGCTTTCTCTCTATCATACAATTTACATGGTAGACATGTCCGCAACGGAAGATCGCGATTCCGTTATCACCTAACAGAATCGGCGTCTGTAAGGATAACGTGCAGCACGGGCACGTGAGTGATTTAGCCTGATGACGCATACCCCAATGATGGGCGCCTGTTCCGAACACATTTTTGTCTATCGGTCGCCTTAAGTCTTTCTCGAGAGCTTTTGCCAGCTGATCACCAACCTGTGTATTAGAGAATAGTTAATATTTTCTTTAATCACGTTCTCAACTTAACGCACTGCCAACCGATGAGGTGAATCTATCACGGCTACTTCTTTGCATTTAAAGAATTAATCTTCAATTTGAAGATGATGCATCAGATTGTTCGAACAAGTAGCAATTTTCTGAAGTTGATTGAAACTGTGTTGCTCAGCAATCAGGCGTAACTCGAACGGTTGGCAAAGTGTTTAGAATATAAGATAATTTCAGGCTAGATGTTTTTCAAATCTTTATATTGTGTGGATATTTCATTATTTTCAGAAATTGCAATGAGATTACCTGCGGCGAGCACATTGTGCCAAACTCCGATGATAATTGATTAGTTCTGCTGAAATCGATCGACTTTTTCAGGCCGTGGCGATGCAGCATTTTTGTAAATATGATCGACTGGAATATACTGTAATAAAAAACAATATATTTATGTTAATATATATATATTTCGTTGCATTTAGCTAAAGTTAATTAATTCTTTTTTACAGAGCACTCCTGACCAAAAAAATCATTCTAATTAAACGCCGCAATTAGATATTTTAGAATTTTTTATAATTTGTGAAACAACATCTATTGTGAGAAAAATCTATAGTAGGCCAAGAACACTCTGTAATTTAATACATCATTGCATTCTGTAATCTTTTGTATTTCACTGAATGGCGAACAAAACATTAGCAGTCTTTTTAATGTCAATATCAGTGAAAATATCTGTGAATAATTAAAAAAGATATTCACTGCCATTGATGAAGACTATTTTCTTCAATCTTCAAGAATCGCACATTAATATTTTTTAACAACGATAAAATAATAAAATAGTTCTCGAAACATATAACATTTTTGTTATTTCTTTACCGCCAATAAAACAGATTATTATTAAAATCAAGCCAGTTGTTCGTCATTTCATAGAAACAATTCTCCCAATGTTTGAAATGATTTCCCAATACCTCCTGTCCAAATTAACGTTTGGAATCATGCTTTCCAGTTTGATTAGAAACGCCGTGGCCTCGTCCGGTCCCTCTCGCCTCATGATTTCCCCGGCAACTCCACTCCAGTCTATCAGCACACCGTAATCAGGTTTCTTCGCCAGAGGCGTCGCGCAGAACAGACAAGTGCCGTCCTCGATCTCGCTCAGGCACGCGCCCACGCAGCCCCACTGATGCTCATTCAGCGCCAGCAGAAGGTGCGACAGCACGACGTTGTCTCTGGTCTGAAGGCACTGTCGCAACAAGCCGTCCAGCGTATTGCGCCGCTTGATGCAAACGGCCAGGTACTCGCGCCACATGTAAGGTACTTTGTCGCAAATATTGCCGCACTCCTCCGGCAGGTTGTCCGCGTATCTCTTGATCAAGGATTCGCCGACCGTCAGGAATTTGGGCTCCGCCGCCTTGTCCATCGGGCACGGATAACCGCAGCCGCATCTGCTGTAAGCCGACGCGTTGATCTCGACGAAGGCCCTCGCGAGTTGCCGCGCGACGTAATCGTCGCCGGCGGAAGGCAGCGACTGCACGGACGTGCTCTCCAGAAGCGTATTGTAGTAATGCAATTCCGCGGCGCGCGTGATCTCGTAAATGAAATTCTGAAGCCCGGGCGAATCCTTGTAGGACTCCCTGATGGCTCTCATCCTCTTCTCCATCTCCAGAATGATCTCCTCGATTTCTTTCTCCGACATGTTAGATCTAATACTGTTCACCACGTCGTAGATCGGCTGCAGATCGGACTGCACCCTGTGAGTCACGTTCTCCCGCGGATCGGACCCCTCGTCGTCCTTGGCGACCGACGTTCCGTCATCGTAATTCGAATCGAGTGTATCCTCCAAGGTTTCGAGCGTGTCCTCCTGCGCGAGAGCCTCGGTCAGACCCTTCTCCGACTTCGACATCTGCATGTCGGACGAGTCTTCGCTGGAAACCTCGGGAGATTGCGACGCGGACGTCATTTCGCAGCCGTACGCTTTTCTATCGGCGAACCTGCCGCTCTCGGAGTGCACCACCACGATCCCGGAGTCCAGCTTAGCCGGTCTATTGCTGCCGCCGGCTTGCAGAAGCGTTATTAACGGCCGCAGCAACGTGAGCGCCTCCTCGTCACGCGACGCCCGCGGTAGATTCTCCAGCTCGAACAGCTCGGCGATCTCTTTGGCGCCGGCAACTTTCAGCAGTTGCGACTTGTGCGCGGCGCACACGCTCAGGCATTCGCTGTACCGCTCACGACGATACAGCCGCAGTATCAGGCTGTCGAGTGACGATAATGCTAGATAATGAAACTCGTTATCACAGGTCATCAGGTAGATCCGATCGTCCACGATCGCCGTCATGCTGATGTTCGTGTACTCATTGCTCCACAGCAGCACGCTCGCGCTCGCGGGATCGATAATGTACAGGCCGCTAGTCGTGTAGGAAAATAAATACTTGTGCGAGATTACGAACAGGTGCGAGAAGTTGACGGACTGCGGCGGCCACTCGCGCCCCGTCCCTTCCTTCTGACTAGATTCTAGAGTACCGCCGCTCGATCGAAGTATTGCTATCGGAGGTATGGCCAGCGCCTCTTTGAACTGATGCGTCTTCACGACGATCCCGTCGGCCGACACCTCCCACAATCTCGAGCCGGGCCGAGCGCAGAAGATCTTGGAATGATCCTTGCCTAGGATATTACTGTCGCCGTCGGAGATCAAGTTGAACGCGCCCCGTGCATTGTTCATGTTCCTCTCCTCTCTCTGAGCATCCAAGATGATGCTCTCGTGTGTGTGAATCTTGTAGAAGCACGCGCCGAACTCGCCGTTCCGCGGCTTGTTTCCTATTTGCTTGTACTGTTCCAGCACTGTGTCGCAGACGTAACAACGCGCTAACGTGGAAACCAGCAGTAAAGGCGAGAAGAAGTCCAACTGCACCACGCTGGAGTCCAGATTCATCAGCGTGTAGGCAGGAGTTTGAAACATTCCATTAACCTAATTGCAGTGGAAAAAGTTAGTACGTTGTTTCGATACACACGAATAAAATACTTTACATTATAAAGATATATTGTCATATTGCATGTATTTTATTAGATTGTTCTTCACTTATCTATTGAAATATTAGTTCTTTTAGCGCATTTAACTTATTAAAGAGCTGCAAACTCACCGTAAATATCGACAACACCATAACAGAAATTTTGCCCACTGCATCTCCTACGTATACTTCAGTACTATTATTGTTCCAACATAGACAGGTAATTTGTTCATACATATGTTCCATAGACGCAGCTATCAGTTGCGGAGTAGACTTTAAAGAGACTAGACAAACAGTACCACGATTTGTTGCTAAGGCTACAGTTTTTTCGTCAGGTGATATTGCCACACGTGAAACCACACCCTCCTAGTGAAAGACAAATAATTATGTATCATCAACAATTAATTTATAAGAAATCTTATCTGTTTAGCATGCAATTAATATTTATCTATATATTATTTATAATTATGTATCAAGAGATGTAAATGTTCTTCTTCAATATAGAATTGTCATTTACCGAGAGAGGTATTATCTGCAAAAATGAACATGGCTCTCTGGAGAATAGATAGACACTGCCACTGGTTGAACCCAATATAATATAACTTGATGAAGCGTTGAAACATGTGTACTGTAAATATATATATAATAATTACACTACACATTTAGAATTAAACAATGGTTAATAAAATAAATATAAAATTGAAAAACAACAAACAAATTTGACAAGTTTTATCTACATTATTGACAATGTTCTTCTTTTTTCTTTTATCATTATAAAAGATAGTTATGCAACAATGCTATAAATAAGTAATTGAAAATGATATAAATATATAGAGATACGTATATGCAAGCAACAAATTGCAATGCAAGATACAAACATATTTATTTATATTCACAAAGAAAAATTTCAAAATTCAATTTATTCAAAGCAAAAACTTTTGTTACAGTCATTTCATCATCATTTCGGAATGAGCTGACTCGATGCAAGCTGTGCAAAATTTATGATACAAGTTTGACAGGTGCATTGTGTACGCCCACTCTCGAGTTAACCTCTTCGTGACGTATTACGTGGGAAAAAGCGTGTATGCACTTTGCTATGCATGAAATACATCGTACCTTTATCCGTTGCGTCGAGTTGATCGGTTTATACAGAATGGAATTGATTTCCTCACGTTCTGACAGGACGCAAGGAAAATCCAGCGCGACGGGATACATCGTCCAGCATCTTCTACTGCTCAGAGACGCACTAAGAGACGCGCGCTGTGAAGCGCGCAATGCAACTGACTGACTAGCTAATAGAAGCCTGTCTACTTACATTATAGCACGAATGCGAATTTATATCGTCAATTCTCTTCTGCGTAATTACAAATTTTCAGCCTTCAAACATTAAATGTTTTAATAAGATTTATGAAAAAGTTGTATTTTAAAATTCGCGCCATCGATTAGCGGTTTGAAGCACTTGAACTTGACGTATGAATATGTAGCTCAATTCAATTTGCTTCTTATCAAAATGTATATTGTTATAACCTCGCCGATTTTTGAAGGTATTAAGAATTATCGCATATATATTCTACTTCTTATCTCTAATTCTTTCTTTTGTAGATACGCAGCAACACTTTATCGCGATGAAGAGTGATGTGGTTGATTTAATTGATGTTTTGTTGTGCGTTTCTGGTTTTGAGAAAGAGAGAGAGACGGTATGTATAAAGAGTGCTTTATAATTTAGGTTATTCAATTATTTTGTTAAAAATAATTTACATGAAATTTCTGTCAATTATGTTCTTCTACGCGGAGAAAATCTTATATAAAATATATCTTATATAAATTAATCTTATATAAAAATTACTATATGTACGGCAGTAGCCGAAGAAATTATGAAAATTTTTACTATTCACATAATGATCATAGTATTTAAACTTATAATTTTTCTTGATCCGTGGCTACTGTATCATAGTAATTTTTATATAAAATTTTCTCTTTGTACGGTCACTTTATTATTTTTTGCCTTTTATATTAATTTCTTTAATACTCAACAAATAAGTGTACACACACACATACATTCTTATAAAACACATTTTATTTGAACAGGACGTCTTAGAAATATTATATTAACTTGTACAAATACTTTTCAGCAAAAAAGATTCACATAATATCATGATTCAGCTTATGATAAGCTGAAAACAACCGATGAAAAACGTATTATTAGTAAATGATATAATTATTTCAATAAGCATTACAAACTTATTTTAAATAATTGGTTTAAGTGGTAGAAATAATAAAATACAGCAGTTTCTAACTTTTTTTATTTCTAATCTACGTTTCTTTAACAATTTTTTTATGTATATAGAACGCAAGACACGTTCTACGCGATGAGGAGCGACAAGATTTTCCATTAGGCATCTATTAATTATTTTCAAAGAAGCGGTTGTACTTTACAGTACGGGATATTTTAACAAGATAAGTATCTTTTTAAATAATTTAAATAAAATTCACGTTTCGACGACTTGATATTGTATTTTTGACCATATTTTTTTTTTACAAAGGAAGACTAAACAGAGAGTTAGAAATTCTAAACATGTTTAGCATATTAAAACAGTTATTTAAAATTCGGGTCAGTTTATTGGGTGGGAGGAGAAAACTTTTAGTGGGGGGTAAGCCGTCTAGATCGCGTTCCGCGACCTTCTTCCTTGCTCATGGTACGCATCGTTTTCAGTAACGGAGCATCCATGCGACTACATAAAACGTTAGCGGGTCTTTTGCTTTTCACCATAGAAGTGTCAAGTGTATCATCGGCCGACAGAAAGCGCAGAGTTGTTTTCACAAAATACAAATTTCCATGCTGCCCTCCAGCTTCTCTTCCTCTTTAACAAGGTAATCTAAATTTCGAAAAATATATCTCACTATTTTTCAAGATTAATTTAAAAATACGAGAATTCGTTGATCAATATTAATCGTTAAAATATTCCGGTGATTACAGCAAAATTTGCGAGAATTTGAAAAATATTAAAATATTAAGAAATTTAAATAAATTTCCATTTTTTCTTCAAGCGCGTCTCTCGAGCGAGAAAGACTTCAACGCGCACTCAAGAACGAATACCTTTCGTGAAAGAGCTCGCTCGACTTTCCTCGATTTTCTTATGTTTTCTATTGTCCATTTCTATTGTTCCATGTTGAAAAATATTGCCACTTAAAAGCTTAATATCTTAGTACGATAAATACATAATTTTATCAATGAATAATTTCTAGAAGATGATTAATGATATAATTAAAGTGCTCTGCGGAAAATCAGAGAAATTTCTTTAGCGCTTAGTTCAATGTTGTCTATGTACATGTTTATTTAATTAATATACGACTATTTCAATCTCAACGATAAGATGAATGGTTCATCAGACAGTTTATCCATTGCTATTGTTAGAGATGAAATCTCGAATTGTTACGCTTTCTCTGTGCAATCTATTCGGCCGTACGTATAGTTTCGCGTATTTCGTTCAATTTAAAAAAATTAATATTGCTTTTTGACGGTTTAATTATTTTCTATTAAACGTTTGATATTGTTTAACAAATAAATTTCTATCATTTTTACAGCAACGTTTGTTTTTTCCTCCGCAGGAAAAGTGTTTAAATACCATGATTAGTGAAAGAAGAACTTTTCAGGCTTAATAACTTTTCAGCTTGTAATAATAAAAAATGTATTAATAATTCGACAATGTATAATGTGCGAAATTGAAATACTTAATTCTAAATTTCGGAAAATCTTTGCAATTGATTTTTTTCTCACATTGACGTATATTTATTATAAACGTATTTCGCGTTATAGTGTAGTAGTTTAAATTAAAATAAATAATGAGGGAGATAATATATATATATATATATATATATATAAAGCAATTAAAGACTAGATATTTTTGCAAAATTTCGTTCTGTCATATATTCTTTATCTTTCAGCGTGTTTTCTCAGTTTGTTATTTTATTTTAATAACGAGAAAGCTCATAAATTTCAGAAATTGAAGGCGCTGACAAGAGCGATCGGTTGCAGAATGAAACCGCCTGTGCAAATCTTCGGTATGCGATGCCGTCCGTTGCAACCCTGCAAGTCACTCCACCGCAGGATCGTTCTTCGGGATTTTTGCAACGGCACGATCGCCTCCGAATGTCCTCATGCATCGTCATCGTCTCAGGGAATCGCATCCTCGTATGTTAAATCGTACGATGAGGTGCCGGGGCCGCGGCCAATACCGATCCTGGGCAACGCCTGGCGACTGCTGCCTTTAATCGGCCAGTATCAAATCTCGGATGTCGGAAAAATCTCTCAGATGTTCTACGATGAGTACGGCAAAATCGTACGACTGAGTGGTTTGATAGGTCGTCCCGATCTTCTCTTCGTATTCGACGCCGATGAGATCGAGAAAGTGTACCGGCAGGAGGGCCCGACGCCTTTCAGACCTGCTATGCCTTGTCTAGTGCAGTATAAAAGTATTGTGCGCAAGGACTTCTTTGGCAAGTTGCCCGGCGTCGTTGGCGTGTAAGTGAACGATTGTCTTCCATTTATCTAAAATCGAGAACAAAAGTGAAATGAAAAATAATTAAGGGAAAATTGAGGAAACTAACAAAGTATCGGGTTAGTAAAAAAAAAAACGTTTTTGTCTTTTTATTTATTAAAGATGTATATGCAGAAAAAAATCGTATATTCGCAGCGCGATTTTCGATTTTAAGAAGAACTTGTTTTTAATTTTTTTTTTCTTTACTACTTTCGATTGAATCTGTAGTATTTTATTTTTAACTAAAATTTAAATCGGACTTTCTACAGTTTTTTTCTTATTTTGAATTTGCCATTCATTGATTTCTCTTACTAGGCATGGTGAACAGTGGAAAGAATTTCGTACGCGCGTTCAAAAACCCGTTCTGCAGCCGCAAACTGTAAGAAAATACATAACGCCTATCGAAATAGTCACGGAGGATTTTATAAAGAGGTACAAATATATTGTACGGTTGCATATAATTAGATATAAATAGCAACTTTTACCAAATATACGCGACATCTCTGACGTGTTGCAGAATCGAAGAGATTAAAGGAGACGATGATGAACTGCCTGGTGATTTCGATAACGAGATACATAAATGGGCGCTTGAATGTTAGTTCTTGTGTTGCGTAAAGTATTAACTGCTTACTGCGTAGATTTTATATTTATACACAATAATTTATTACGTAAGATATTCGCACAATAACTTCCAATTGTATTGAAAATAATTCTTGCATCGCATTAATCTCTCAATTACCATTTAATATTACAATTTGTTCAAATCACAAATTTAATATTGAACATTAAATCATTAATTTTTCCATTAGCATTAAATTATTAATTTTTAAACCGCGAATATTTATACAAGTATATATTCTAGCAGAAAAAGAGAGAAAGTAGGATTAGAATTAATGTGAGTGATCTTTGCTACATAACCTTTTAATTGAAACAGGCTAATCGTAAATAATGATACTCGTGACATTTCGCTTAAGAATAATTTTTCTCAAATGATAAATGCAATAACTTATCTATTTAACATATGTGAAGAATTCTTGCTAAAGAAAACATAATGAAATTCTCAAGAGCTCTCGTTCGGAATGTATAATGATGTAATACTTTCACTACGCGCGATGAATTACAAATTTGTTCTGTGTCAGGCATAGGACGCGTAGCGCTCGATGTTAGACTGGGATGCTTAGGCAGAACATTATCGCCGGATTCTGAACCGCAAAAGATCATCGATGCCGCCAAGTTTGCACTGAGGAATGTAGCCGCACTTGAACTTAAGGCTCCGTACTGGAGATACATTCCAACGCCCCTTTGGAGCCGTTACGTGCGCAACATGAATTATTTCGTCGAGTAAGTTTAAAAAAGGGATAAATGAAGGAAATAATCCTATAAAGGATAAATAAATTTCAAAGAAAAACACACAGAAACTTTTAATCGAAATTTATTTAAAGAATTAAGAAATTTCTAATTAAAATTACAAATGGAACATACGAGAGATAAATGCCTGATTTAAATTTTAAATGAAAACTTTTTTCTTTCCGATATTTAATTCGGTCATAAATCTCGCGCGCGTATCTTGGAAGTAGAAAGTTATGGAAGAGACTATGTTAGATCCAAATAAAGACTGTCCTAATTACTTTATTTTCGCAATACTAAATTAGCTGTGCCCATTCTTTTTTTGGAATTTGTTTTAATTTACAGCTATTTTATTTTCGAAGCGCGACAAATAAAAATTTTCGATAACATTATTATATGTTGTATTTTAGAATATGCATGAAGTACATCGACGCTGCGATCATCAGGCTGAAAAGTAAGAAAGCCATGAATGAAAGTGATTTATCGCTAGTGGAACGTATTTTGGCCAAGGAAACGGATCCTAAAATAGCTTATATTTTTGCCCTTGATCTGATATTGGTCGGCATTGACACGGTAAGTTTTGCGCAATATTACAAATTGAAGTACTAAGGAAAAGTGTGTTACGTGCTTGTTATATTATAGATATCAATGGCGGTGTGCTCCATATTGTACCAAATAGCGACTAGACCAGAGGAGCAGGAAAAGATACATCAAGAACTGCTGCAGATATTGCCGGATCCTTCTGTTCCTCTCACAACGAGTCATCTAGATCGAGCAACTTACACGAAAGCCTTTATTCGCGAAGTGTTCAGGTAATATTAAGCACAATAATGATTAAATTAAATAACTAATTCGATCACTTTTATACATATAACAATATTTAATTTGTTGATAAAAAGCCTAGTGGTTTTAAATAATAACTAGATCAAGATGTACTTAATGTGTAAACAAAATGCGTTCTATTACAGGGTATATTCCACCGTCATAGGAAATGGCAGAACGTTGCAAAACGACACTGTCATCTGCGGTTACAAAATACCAAAAGGAGTACGTGACTTACCTTAATATATCTACCTTTTGATTAATTACTGATAGAACATTTCGTCATGTTCGGCACGTTTACAAAACTGACAGTAAATTAACACCCACGCATCATTTCTTTACAATGTTTATACGTGAAAAATTTCGCGGTATATATTTTTTCTGTTTTTCACAAATTTATTCAAATTAATACGCTTACTATTGAATAACTTTATAAATAAATTATTAATTTTCATATAATTTTATTGATAGATATATTTTATTGTGAATAAGAAGCGATTGCTAAAAAATCTGATTGAATTAATAGTTTGTATATAATTTCAGATCCAAGTTGTATTCCCCACGCTAGTTACGGGTAATATGGAAGAATACGTCGCGGACGCAAAAACGTTCAAGCCTGCGAGGTGGCTCAAGGACGCTGACAATGAAAAATTGCATCCATTCGCGTCGCTGCCGTACGGTTACGGGGCTCGAATGTGTTTGGGCAGACGATTCGCTGACCTCGAAATGCAAGTGCTGCTTGCAAAGGTACGAGCATGTTTTCTTTGTAAATACACTGGATGACACATCAATTATCTTAAACCTGTTACCGTCCTTGAACGAAAAACCGCCCATGTCGAAACATGTCTGAAGGTCGTAGCAATTTTGAGGCATACACTCTGCTAATATTCGATAAAAATTTAATGCACTTGTTGATTTTATAATATCGATATTTAAAAAAAATGTTTACATTTTGTTTGTTAATTTATTATTTTTTGAATTAATCCTACTTGATTTTATCAGCTTCAGTCATTAACAGTTGGACGAAAATTTGCGATTGTCATAACAATAAATTGTTTTCAGCTTTTGAGATCGTACAAGCTGGAGTACCACCACAAGCCACTAAATTACAATGTCACGTTTATGTACGCACCGGATGGAGAACTCAAATTTAAAGTAATAAAGAGATAACCTATGCATCCTGTAAATTGATAGACGAATTCAAAGTAGCATAAATTAAAGTAGAAGAAGAGAATGTGAAAAAAATGCAGATTAATGTTAATAAACACATATAAAGTTTACGTTGCGCGTAACACACAGCGGGGGACATGATTTGTCTCTCGAGACGAAAAGGTAATTGTCAAAATTGAATATCATAAAATTCAACTGTATTACAATACAGGAGATATTGTGCTACACACTATTAATTGTAAATCTTATATTTATTTCAAATGTATACTGTGGTAACAAACTGACTTGCTCGTGACTAATGTAATTATCTACTTGCGTGAAGTATAAAAAATAGACACTAACAAATTATAACAAATATTTTCATGTGTCGAAGACATGGAACTACATTTTCGACTACATTTCTACTTTCGCATAAATTATTGTCTATCAATAAATCGCAATTTCAATGGTCCCTTTGGCGTGTACATTGGATTGATGTAATATTCCAATCTTTTATGATGATATTCTACTTTGTAAAATTGTAGAATCTGAAACAAAAAGAGAAGACGATTATAAGCAAGCGTCTCAAAATAAAATTTTAACTGTTTGATGGATAATAATTTGATGAGTTTGATTTATCAATAATCAGTATCTATACCGCAATTTTATTTTAATATTGTAACGATTAACTCGATTTTAATTATAACAATAAATTCTGTTTAATGTTGATCTTTTTCTAGGAAAAATATCGAAGAAAATGTTTTAATACCATCTTTATAATCAAGCTTCAAACTAAAACTCTGTTAAAGCAAAGACGGCAGATTCGCTCAAAGAAAGTAAGCGGACTATACATATTTGATATTTTTGTGACAAGAGAAAACTGTTAAAAGCTCTTTTAACGGACAAGCATCAGTTATTTGCAAGATAATTAGTTACAAAAGAACGCTAAGTATTTCGGCAATTTAGTATAGCTCCGGCAATTGAAAGTCGCTTCTTACCTTGCTAATTACGATAATCATTTCGAGCTCGGCAAATCGTCGACCCAGGCACATTCGTCTACCGTAACCGAACGGAAGTGATGCGAACGCGTGACGAATCCCGTCGTCGCGCAACCATCGTTCCGGAAGGAATTCACAGCTTCGTGGAAAATACTTTTCCATGTTGCTAATTACGTAGTGTTGAAATACCACTTGCACCTAGAAACAATTAACGTTCGCAATTTGTGTTTATCTTTTTTCATCACGTGTAATTCCGAGTTAATTAGTTGAAATTTTATTTGAAATATAACTCTCACTTAATTCACGAAAATATTCAGTTTTAAATAATGTTAAATTGTTTAATGAAAATTTAACTTTACACAATTCTAGATAAATTAGTCGAAATAAAAACAATTCTGATTGATTAATCTAATTTTCATAAAATTATCAATTACATTAATGTTGATCTATTGATATCTCTATCAAAAATCTCTAAATTAGTAGATAAGAGTTTTGCAATAATTAAAAAAGAATTGAAAGTTTTTTTTTCTTACTCCTTTCGGTACACGATAGCCGCTGATTATAGTGTCCGAAGTCATACTTCGTCCGTTGCCTATTACAACTGGATACATTCTGATGAAATTGAAAGTAGAAATTATGAGAGATAATTATTATGATCAAGAGTATAAATTATAGTCAATCTTAGCAAACCTAAGAGTTTCTTTAATACACGCTCTCAGATATTTTAAATTATCGATATTTGTAGCCTCAAGAGGCGCGTCTCGTTGCGGAAGAACGTTGCAGATCTCCTCGTACGCCAAAGCCTGTTTTTCCGGATGTAACGCTAACTGATAGAGCACCGAGGCTACTGAAGTCGAGGTCTGCAGACAATTTCGCCCTTATTCATAATCGTTAATTGTTTAATTTCTGCAATCAATATTCTAAATTACAGCGAAATATTTACCGTATCAACGCCAACCAAGAACAAATCTAGAGCGAGGATTGACGCTACCTTCGTATCGCCCTCGCGAGCCAGGACTCTCTCTAAAAGTGACAATTCCTTATCCGAATTCACGTCGTTCTCGGCCCTCGATAGAGCGGCGGCCGTATATTTTGATATAGTACTGAAATTGACATTATTTATATTACATTTGATTTATATATATTCTACATATAACGGTTGCCTCGATAAATTTGTTTTTTAAGAATTTTCCTGAAAAATGATAAATAATTTTAGAATCACATTCACCTCACAATAGTGTCCAAAGCGTTTACATATTGCTTCCACGTGGGCGTGTTGAAGATTTTCCAAAACGGAATCTTCAATTCGAGCACGGGCACATTTTTGAAGAACGTGATCAACGCGTCTATCAGCCCCTGCGTTTCCGCATCTGCGTTGTCGTCCAAGCAGCCCAAACGCACGTCCAACGCGACTCGCGCAATAGCTGTCACAAACAACAAAACTGTTTATCACGTTCATCGATTTATCGTATTTTAACTAAGGAACTTGCAATTTTTTTCAGGATGTCCCACTTACATTCTAAAGACCATTTGTGCATCTCATTGAGAAAGTCGTCGGGTACTTCGCTCTTGTGGTTCCGTATTTTCGCTATTCTAGAAAACAACATTAGCGGATAAATTACTATATGATGACGAAATTAAATAGGCGAAGTAGACTCGCGGCGAAAGTTAAGTGAGGAAGCTGAAAGGCAATATTGTTTACAACGACGTTCACGAAGTAATAAAACCGAACTACATACCTGCGAAGAAATGCCACGCTCGCCTCCTCGATTGCGCTAATATACATTCTTGCGGTCCGCGGCTGCAGCATCACCTGTTGCACTTTACTCCGGAAATTATACCAGCTCTCACCGTGACTGTAAAATAGAGGAGAATTAGTAGTGTAATGATGACTTTCGTTCTTTTATGCGGAATATAGAAAATTAGAAGAAAATTGTATGTATTTCATTTTCTCGGAAATTAAATTATGAATCTTACAAAAACTGTCGTCGGAAGATTCAGGAAATGCAATGTAAAAAGTATATAATTTTATAACACAAAATTTAAATTAATCTGCAAATCTAATTGAGGTCCTTGGTTTCGTTACGTAATGTATGCACTTCTTATTGAATAACAAGCCAAACTCTTCGAAACTTTCTTTAGACTTTCATGGTTAGCGTGAAGCAACTGACTGTTTTAGGTCCCGCGAATTATGGACTTAAAAAGAGTAAATTTGAGAAGTTGATTAAACACCTCTTATGTTCTGCTTTTATAAAGCTGACTCGCAAAATGAACCAAAACCACAGTCACTCAGATCTGCTTGTCCAAAAATCCTAAATCTTCCAACGTAAAACTCCAAAGTATTGATATATCTCATTTTTTAATATAAAATCAAATTCGTAAATATTTAAACATTCGTGAAACTTATTTTATGTTAAATATGTAAACTATATACGTTCATTTTTCTTATTTTAATATTTCTTAATATGATCTTTTTCAGAATATTTCAAATTCTCATTAATATTGCAAGATAATTTCATACGTGTCGAATAAAAATTATGACTTACACGGCGATAACACCGGGATTATCTTGAAAGAAGTCTTTTCGCAGCACATGCTTATAATAATCGAGGGACGGCATGGAGGGACGGTGAGGCATTTTTTCCTCCCGCCGAAAAATCCGCTCGATTTCATTTGCATCATAAACGAACACCATATCGGGCCGACCTAAGAGTCCTTCTATCTTCACGATGTCACCATACTGGGCGTGTAATTTCCTTGACAGTTTGTCTATCGTCTGTATGTCAAAGTTTCCTGAAATGATTTTTTAATTAAGCTTCAAGATTTCAACTAGTTGTAAAATTTCAGCCGGCTTCGCCGGCAGAAAGTGAAACGGGAGGTGAAAATAGAAGGTGTGAAAATTTTGGGCAAACAAAAGTTGTCTGGGTACCTAAATAAGGCAGGAATCGCCAAGTGTTACCCAGCAACGGCATCGGCTTAGGTCCTGGAATCGCCGAGTACGAGCGATGACGCAATGTTTCCTGTTCCCCGGCATCGACGGCTAATGTGTCTATCGCCCTGTCGTTCTTCGCGTCGATCCTAACGAATCGCCGTAACAGTTCCTTGGCATGTTGCCGCAATGTGGCCATTCGTAGTCTGCATAATAAAAATGCGTTGGACCGTAAAATATGTACTCTTATCCAGGCTAGCGACCCTCGTGTTGCACAATTGAAATTAACCATGATTACGGTTTCACTTACATTATTATTGCGGAAGTGGCCGGTAAAAATCATCAAAACTCAACAAAGATATCGGAAAGAGGCAAAGTCAAGTTTTTAGATGTGCTTAAAATTTGTTCATATATCTGTGATATACTTGTGATGTTTTTGAAAACGTTAAAAATCACAGCTACATTTTGTTCATTTCATAGCAGTCAAGAGTGCGTGCAAATAGAAATTTGAAAAAAAGCTAATTCTCTCAAAAGAAAACGTGCAGCACTCGTTTAGACCGAGACTGCGAAAGAAATTTCTGTAAACTTTACGCCGTAAAGTAGGCAGTCGGGTATGCACAGCGAGTTCAATGCGTGATACGACATATAAACATGTAACGCAACGATTTTTACACGGAAATATCGTTGTTATGAGATGCATTCAAGCAGAAAACGCTGATTCGCTGTACTTACGAAAACGTAGACAATTATGAAATCGAAGCTTGTCTATAATTAAAAAAAGAAAACAATATTTTAACAAAGGTAAAAAAAGAGATAAAGCACGTACGAATAATAATAAATAATAAAAATAAAGGATATTCGTGCCTAAACCGCTGGTTACTATTCGCTAATTTTGCAATCTTCTTGTTTGATGATGTCAGTGTGTCAACAATCTTCGTGTAAAAAACAAAAATTAAAACTATATTTAGACGTTTCGTTTTAATTATCATATTATGAGACTGCCATTAAAAAGTATATAATACTTCCACGTTCTAAAATAAATTTTATTATAGTTGTCAAGGCCAACAACTGCGAACAACTTGTTGGCCTTGACAACTAAAATTTATTTCGCAATGCGGACCTATTGTATAATTCTTAATAGTAATTTATGATATAATAATCGAACGGTTTTATTTTAAAATTTTACTGCTTCACTGAAGATAATCAAATTACTGATCGAAACGTCTATTGTTTTAATTTTTGTTTTCTATACGAAGATTGTTAACACACTCGTGTATTAAACGAGAGGATTGTAAAAATTAGCGAATAATAACCAGCGGTTTAGGCACGAATATCCTCTACTTTTATTATTTGTTAATATTTTGAATTTTGAAATTGATATCGGTAAATTTAATATTTTATACTTTCTAAAATTTCTACATATATTATGTTAACATCACTACGTTAACATCCGTATTTTGCACACATTAAAATGTCAAATACAAAGATAAAAATTTAATATTTAATATATAGATTGTGTGGAATAAACACTACTGAAAAATAACAATATAAGAATAATTATGGCAATTTGTACTAAGAGAGAAATTACGACACCGGCGAATCAGCAACTATGAAATTCGCAATTCGTATTTGTAATGCACTCGCTGCATCGTAGATTATGGCAACTTTCCCATAGATTGTTACTATTACGATTCAAACATCGTTTAATGATGCACGTCACGAACTCGCGTTCACGATGGTGTATTGTCAAAGTGCGACAAAAAAACAAGAGCAATATTTTACAAGAAAACGATGCGTTTGCGATTATAATTCAAAATATATTATCTGAAAGAAAAAGACATTCACACATTAAATATATTACATGTATTAAAAATGTATTCTAATTTTATAAAAAAATTCATAAAATTTTTATAAATTTATAAAAAATTTGATTTAAAAAAACCTATATTTTTATATCTTAGCAAGATATATTTTCATAAAATAAAGTAACGTGATAAAAGTAATTAATATTCTAACATTTTATGAAATATTTTTGAAAAAAAATTAAAAATTAATGAATTAAAAATATAGTGATTACAAAAAATTCCAGTTTGCAGTAATTTTGATGAAAAACTCTGTTATACAATATTTAAAAAATATTTCAATTATACAAATTGATACAAAAGTTTAGAAAACGAGTTCGTTTATAGCTATATAAAGTATATATTCGTACCATTTTTATTCTTTCAGACAAAAGATTGATTAAAGACACTAAATATTGCAGATAATTATAAAAATCATAGAACAAATTTTGATTTAAAGAATTGCAAATATGGCAAATTAAAGAAATAATTGGAAACTGATCGATTTGTATGGAATTGATATGTGAAGAGCCTTACCTTCTAGAATACGTCGCACACGGGAAAAAAACATATAGACTGAGACTCTGTCGCTTAGCACTTCGCGCTAAAGTGATATTCAAAGATATTTGAAGGAGAAGACCAGGCGAGTGGGAGGGTAAACGCGACTTCGAGAAGGGGAAATTTATGGTAGACAAGTCACAATATTAAGGAGAAAAGGTAAGATACACGTATTTCCATGTTGTTGTTAAACAAAATCCTATAGAATAAGATTATAGAAATTTAAATATAACAGAGAATTAAGTAGAGAAAAATTTATAATTCAGTTAAATCGTTCTTCAAATCATGATTTTTTAACATTAAAAAGATACATATATACCTTAAATACAGCAAGTGTTACAAATCCTTAAATATGATTACCACAATTCTTTCACTTATACGCACGTCAAGATTTATTCGTACCATTTCGATATCTTCAAATCAAAATCTTTCAATTTGCTCTTATAATTATTTACAAGCTTATTAAAGCTCGTGTCAGCTGCATTAACTTTCTTTTTTTGCTTCACCTGCGAAAAGATGAAATTTAAAGCATATTGAAAAATGCAAAAATCGAAATAAATTAAAAAAACATATAATAAATCGACATATAGCTCACCGGCATATTATCTCGCTTGTTCTTCGTCTTCTCCTGCTTCATAATTTTCAATTGCTTCTTAGCTTTATTTAATTTCCTCTGTTTTTTCACTGTCTGCGTATGTAGTGCAGCTTGTGACTTCAGTTTGAAGTTCGATCTTAAATTATCATGTCCGGTTTTAGCAACAATACCGGCATATGGTTTCTCCTCCGAATCGTTCGATTTTCTTGCTCGTTTGGCTGGACCTTCTTCCTTGGTTTCCTCACTTTTCCTTTTATATTTATTTTCCAACCATAAAGGATTGTTGTTGCGACTTTTCTGAACTCTTCTTTCCTTCGCATTTACTATAATGCGGTTTTCTATCGAGAATCCAACTATAGGTCTCTAGATTAAATTTTAAAACTTTAATAAGAATATATGAAAAATAGTTAGCAACAATCAAAATAGATTTGCAATCTTACTCTGCTTTTGGAGAATATATTTGGGTTGTTATTTATATTTCTCAAAGCTTTAAGCGCATCATCATGAGTGGTAAATGTAACAAAACCATACTCCTTTGATTTTCCATTTCCAGTTGCATCGACATTTTTCAAATCGCGCATAACTCGTGCCTGAAAAATATTTTGGATAAAATTACTTACATTTCTTATGTCACTAAATGTAACACTTATTTCGAGTATATTTACCTCCTTAATTATAGCTTTAGAACCGCTATGCTTTTTAAACAATTGTCTGAGGGTCGTATCGTTAAGATTGGGAGGTAAATTATGCACAACGAGGCGCACTCTCGATATAAACATATTTAAATTACGCAACATTTGTGATTTCCACCGCTCCAATTTCAATCGTTTGTCCATATCAGACACTGATACGTCCGCCGCAGCTGCACTTTTGGCTAACACAACTGTAAATCAACAACAAAAATGTGAAAATTTCCATAACATTATAGAATATTCTGTAATTATATTATATGTATATGTATTACCTCCTTCCTTAACAAGATATAAATTCCTGGAATCCTTAGCTCTCTGCTGCTTCAAGCTTTTTTTATTTTCAACTTCGTTCCTGTGTAATGCTCTGTGCGCCTCGATTATTTGGTCACGCAAATGCAATTCAGCTGACAAACACTTTTCAGCATCTTCGACTTGCTGCGATAAAACATTCCTTGTGTCAATATTGATCAATGAAACTAGATTGTACAGAAAATTAGAAATCTTACCCTAAATTTAACAAACGCAGTGCCTTTGGAATATTCGGTTAGAGAATCCATGCATACAAGAGCATAGTAAACAGGCCCAAATTGTTCGATATACTTTTTAAGTTCATCGTTCTTCACAGAAAATGGTACATTTTTCAAAAAAATCGTCTTTCCTTCACTAACGTCATTAGATATTCGTGACGGACTTTTTGCAACGGAAGGATTCTCTCCCTTTTCCTCTTTAATAACAGACTGATCAATGACAACATTAATGCCATCATCATCATCGTCGTCGTCGTCGTCGTCGTCGTCGTCATCATTATCATCATTGTCATCCTTATCATCTTCATCTTCATCCTCAATATCTTCCATTCCATGTTTTATTTCTTCCTCTTCATCAGATTCATCCTCCGTTTTTGTACTGTCTATTGTAACGTTGTTCCTATCAAATTGAAAAAAAATATACATATATCAATTATACAGAAACAAGCTATGCAGAGTTAATTCAGACACAATTTAAAAAATATATAAATTAAATCCATTCATGCACAATTTAAACTTTTACCTGTTTGGTTCAGCTTCATCCTTACTGACATCGAATACTTGTATTTCTGAAGCATCGTGTGCTTCATTTTCATCAATTTTAGTTTCAATTTCAGGTTTCACATCTGTACTGGTTTGGGAGAATTTTGTTTTGGCAACAGCCCAATCGACTATTATAGGTCTGTTCAAAAGAGGTTGCATATTTGCGTAATGTACAGCTTTTGCAGCACTTTGAACTAAATCAAACTGCACAAACGCAACTCTAGCCTGTTTGCCATCTGGTCTAGTTAAAATTTTTACTTCTTGTATTTCACCATATTGAGAAAAATGTTCCCTCAAATTATCTTCTGTAGCCTAAACAAATATCATTATTTAACAAATATATCAAGACAATAATAACATTAGAAAATGTCTTTAATAAAAAAAATACCTCAAAAGCTAAATTTCGTATTACAATTCTGGCTCGTTTTTTCTGTTTTTTCAATTTTTGAAACTTTCTCCTCTTTTGCTTTTTCAAATTATTCTTTTCTTTTTTAATCTTTTTCTGATTACTATCATCATTATCTTTTTCTTCATCATCTTGATATTGAGTGTCATCTTCATTAATTTCTTCATTAATTTCTTCATTTCTAGTAGATTCTTTTTCAATTTTTGCACAAAATTTGGATTTTGATAAAGCCCAATCACTGTGTATAATCCTTCCTAGAAATATAAGCATGATTGATTAAAAAATCAGAATCGTATTTTTACAAAAGACAATCATAACCCAACTCTGCACATACCAAAAAACTCCTTTTTATTTGTATTAAAAATTGCTTTTGATGCATCCTCCGTTCGTTTAAAACCTACAAAACCGCATCCAACTGGACTTCCATCTGACCGCTTTGGAAGACTTATTTCTCTGATTTCACCAAATGGCTCATAAAATCTTCTCACATCCTCCTCTGTTATCTAATAAAATATGATACCAAATTATACATCATAGATAAAAGAATAAAATAAGTATAAAAAAATATGTCTGCACGATTATTTCTATTCTTTCATTTAAAATAACATACTTACAAACTTTGTATATAAATAAAATGTTTAAATAAATACCTTAAAAGGTAAATTCTTCACAAATATTCGAGAATTTTGACCATTTGCATCGGAAGTATCATTCGTGTACGTTTTTCGATTTTCAGCCCTCCGCAATTTTGCCTTCTGTCGATACACCCAAGATAGCTTTTTCTCTTTATCATTTCTTTGTCCTGAACAAGATAAAAGTTGATTATAAAAAATTAAATTATTTCTTTGAAATTAAATTATAAGAGTTCTCACCATAAGATGATTTACCCATCTTGTATGAGAAATACCCCAATTCAAGGATTTCTCTCAATTCTATATTTCAAATTTAATGTTGTAAATAAGATAAAACCATGTCAAATTCAGTTAATTATAAAATATAATAATTAATTCACATGGACCATTCAATTTCTCTTATTCGATTTATTTTAGGTTAGCTGTGTGCTCACATGTGCTCGCTTTTCTCTGCTCTTCTCGAAGGTACTCGACATTCGATAAATCTCGAGTATATAATATCGATCAATATCTGTATTATTCAAAATTATTTTTCAATGTAATGATCAAAAATACTTTTCATATAGCTTTGACAAAAATTTTCCAACAAAATAAGAAACAAAGCTTAATCTGATTTATTTTTAAACAAAGAAAAAATTTTAACATATGTAAAAAATGAAATATTCTTTTACAAATATATTATGAAAAGTATAACAAATTGTAAAAAATATAAAAAATTTAATATTTCATTAAAGAATATATATGAAAGACGAAAAAAAGGAGAAATTTCAAACATCATACAGAACACTTTCAAAACGCGCGCGACAACTGACAGCGCCGTCGACGGCGGTTTCGCGCGTTGCGCCCGCGGCGCAGCAGCGGAATCGATACCGCGCGCTTCGATAGTACCGAAATATGGCCGAAAGCGGACTCTCATGTCTGCTAAAGACAAAATAGCGAGCAACAGCAGCAGCCGACGCAACAGCAGTGCAACAGAATCAGCCGCGGTGTTATTATGCCCGAGTTAAAGGTGTTCTATTGTCTGTTCCTGCTGACGCTACTGGACGCGACATCACAAATCCGGCCGTCGTTACACGGCCACAACAATGGTGAGCATTTCTCTCGCTCTCTCGCTCGCTCTTTCTCTCTCCCTCTCTTTTCCCCGCATGACTATTTCGATGCGGACCGAAGCGATTCGCATCCAACAATAACAATCGTCGCGGACAACGCGCGGAATTCCGCGAATCATTGGGACACGATGTCGCACACGGTGTCAAAACGCGATGCGACCTACGGCTATTCAAGCTTTGCGATACCCATCGTGATACCCCACTGCGATGAAGGTCACATCGCGCACGAGCTTTACGCGCCAAGCGCCGTCACGCGATCAACGTCCCGGCGAAACGCTCTTACGCCGTTTTTATTTTTTTATTTTTCGAATTTCATTGGCAAAATGTTATGATAACGATAGGAATGATATAACCTCGGCTCTGACCGAGGTGTTTACATCGCGTGAGATATGCGTGTTATAAGGTGAAGCTTCTATCACAGAAATTGAACGGTATTTGTTATAAATCTAGAGATTAATTTTATGTAGAAATGTCTTGCTTATAATTCTAAGTTTATTTGTCGTTTTCGTACATTTTAAGAAATATTTATTGAAGCTTGAAGCTGTAGTTTTCTTTATTTAATTTTTAAATTTTTTTAATGTAAGCAATTTGTAATAACAGTCACTTTTATCGGTTTATTATATGTATACAATGACCGGTAATTTTCGTTTATTATCTGTTGATTATTTTTATCGGTTAATGGCCAGTTCTTTTATATTTTCAAACACATTTGTTCAAACTGGAATATCAGTTATATTTGCTTTGTCTATAAAATTATTATAATAAATTATTTATTTATAATCTTATATATTCCTAGATGTATTTATCGTAGCTTGAAATTATAAACTTAAACATTAATTTTATTCAATAATTTTTAAATAAAAAAAATAAATTATATGTATTTCAATATTTTATATATATAAATGACATATATTAATATATTTTATAGCCTTCGTTCAGGATGACAACGATGTTCAATATCTTTTGGATAATATGCCAATATCTATGCATAAGGTTAGTAATTTTGTTACAGGCAATGTATTATGTAATTATGCGTTAACTTAAATATTAAACGGAAAAATATAAACACAGAATGATACTGGATGAGTTTTGTATTTTATCTATTTATGAAGTCTAATAAAAGAATAATTATAAACTTAATATTCGTTGAATAATTGTGGTTTGTTAAAATAATATAACGCATATGTGGTAAAAATATTAAAATATTGGATTTTGTTTTATTTATAGGATTTTGCTAATACAGTACATGGGGCTGGGTAAGCATAATACTCATTAATATATAATGGTGAGTGGAAGTAGGAAAGGTACCTGCTGTAAACTCTTTCTTTGATCCTCCCGTGTTAGCGACACACAGGGTACTCTGCGTACGCATCGTGAAAAGCCTTGCAAACTTCCACGCATTTTCATAAAGATTTTGCGGATGCAAATTTCGCTCTAACTGCGTTTTATTCGCTATCATTGCACTTATCTTGTTATCGTACTTCTACTTGATTTATTGATAGCAAGATTTATTAAGTTTGTAACACCGTTAGCAGGTGGAGAATAAAATATTTCAATTCTTATGTGTTTTGAAGAAAATTAGAAAATAATTTTCAATTTTTTTAACAAGATAAATACGAATGGTGATAAAATTTATATTCAATTAATTCGTGTTTTATACGTGCTATTAAAAAAATGTGTACGCATCATTAAAATTATCTACTAATCATTTTGTTATGTCGCGGTAACAATATATTTCAAACTAATTTTTGTTATACCTTTTCTATTTTCAATTTCCACTTGTTATACGTTTTTGCATTATGTAGTAATTAAATATTGAAGAGCATTATTATGTTTTTAAGGGATACTATATCGGAAGAAGATAAAATGGAAAATTCCTTTTCTCACATTTCTTTTGAGCCAAGCATCTTGGACTTCAAAGAAAGGTGAATGTATTATTATAGCATTTTGATTTATTACAAGGGAAGTTGTGTGACAATGTGATTTTTTATTGTCCCCAGACAACTTGGTATTCCTCACCAAGAAACTGTGATCATATTTAACAAAGATCACAATAAAACTATACATCTTTCATCGATATCTGGAAATACACGTCATTTTCATTCATCATTTTTTCAAAACAAAGTAAGTTATCGAGCAGTATAGTTATTATAATATTTTCACGGAGTAATTTCATACAATATAAGATAAATAAATTAAAACATGTGCTTAACGTGCTTTATTATGCTAAGACTAATTTATGAGTATTTTATTTAATTTTTAAATAATTAATGAAAGTGCAAGTATTTAATTTATTAATTTTAATTACTGTTGCTTAGGTAATTCCACCACTGGGGAATACAACATTTAAAGTTGTCTTCCTTGGTCGAGATGAAGGTGATATAGATACACACCTTTTTATACATACTTCAGATGGGATACTAAAGTATCAGGTAATAAAGTTAAGCTTTAATCATAATTTTCACGCTGAATGTATACAACTTGTACAACAAGAGGTTTCCAAATTCACAGGTCAAAGGAATAAGTGTCAGTAGTCCTTATAGACTCAGACCTGTAGTCGATGTCAAGTTACCATTAAACGCATCTTTTACACCTCTCATATATATGCACAATCCACATCCGGAAACTTTACAAGTACGTATCTACGAATATTGCCTGTATCGAATGTATTTATATATCAGAGCGATTTTACTAATTGACGACCTTTCTCTGTCCGTTGCGCAAACACAGGTGGTGGAAGTATATAGTAGCGGTGGAGAATTTCAATTAGAATTACCATCAGGCGAGCCGGAAGGCACTCGTGAATTATGGGAAATTTTACCTTATCAAACAAAGCCTATCATCAGACTAACTTTTAATGCTTATGCGGAAAAAAATCATACAGCATACATTAGGTTAGTAAGACAATTGTGAACGTGGAGTATAAATATATAATGTACGGTATTTATAATACATTATACACATGCTTAATTGCAACTACAATTTGTGACAGATTTAAAGTGAATAACACTGTTGAGATCCTCGTGGTGGCAGTCGAAGTAGAGGTCAAAAGTGGAGCTGGTCTTCATTGGGGTGGAAGTTCTGGAGTAATTAATTTAGGTATGGGTGGCTCGTTACAGCCACCTATTCACCACCCTATTGCTTTGAAAAATTCCGCAAAGAAAGCAATCAAAGTTATGGTGAGTTTTCAGATCGTCGTGTTGCTTTCAAAATGTCATACGAAGTGAGCGAGATATCGTTAAAATCGTTAAAATTTTGCAAGTCATCGTTACTTCAAAAATATTATGCAAAGTAAACGAAATATTTCTTGTAGAATATTATAAATACGCCTGTATCCAAAGCATTACAATTACATTTTGAGCCAGCAATAATTCCGGGAGAGACAGATATACCAATTGCCATCGGCATGCTGATTTATGATTGTAAGAAACATCCGTCTATCGTGAGATAGTTGACATAGCCGGCGGCTGAAATAATTCTTCTGATCTTCTTAGGGAAAACAGGTTTGGACTTGCAGCACTTTAAAGGCAAGTTAATAATAAAAGCAATAGGTCCAGGTGGCTCTAGTCAAAAATTAGCAGTTCCATGGGTAGCTCAAGTATTGCAGGGTGGATTAGAAGTAAACACATCGGTTACCCATTATCCGCAATGTTCCCCACAATCCAATCAAGCTCGGAACTTTAGCGTGGTGAACAAGTTTAAATTACCACTAGCTATTACGAATGTCACGATGTGTTCGAACGCGAAATCGCTTTTTACGGTACGAACCGTTGATGGTTTTTTTTTTTTTCCTTTTATTGATAAACATCACACGTGGAATATTTCTTCTCTCGACTACTTTTCGAAGTGTTTGTATGTATATGAATGTTTCAGATAAAAGATTTTACTCCTAGAGTAATAAAACCTGAGCAAAAGGTCAATATATTTTCTTTACAACTTGCCAAAGAACCGAAAGGTGATAACGTGAAAATGGAGTCGTCGATATTGATACACTCTAATGTGTCCGTGACCGAAGTTCCGGTGTTAAGCTACGACGGCAAAGTGAGAAAAGTCATGCTGGATGAGAAGGAGGACGACATGGGAACATTGAATTTCGGCACTGTGGGAAGCGGCACCGAGAACGAAGCAATTTTCGCGCTGGAGAATCAGAACCCGGTGAACGTGGAGCTGCACAGCTGGGGCGTGAATATGCCTGGTGCGGTTCTGGAATTGATGGGATGTCAGAACGGTCCCGCAGAATTGTTGGACAAGGAATTTCGAAACATAACCGTGTGCAGCCACTCTGGAAACGTGAGTGTGCCGCAAGACAAGCCCTTGTTTGTCCCTACATTCGTTACGGTAACAAGTAAATATCAATATGTTGATTTGCAGCAATACATTAAACCGGAGTTTCTGGCGATCTTCAAGATTAAAGTGAAAACCGTCATGGTTGAGGAGGACACGATCGTGGGCGATGTTTTCGTGCGAACGACGTACGAGCGGTTCACCTTGCCGGTGTATATGCGAGTTGCGCACGGCAAAATTTCCTTGAAGAAGCTTATTTTTACTGATTGCTTCCCTGTGAGTTACAATCTAATTTTTCAGAATTAATTCTCTGACGATGCGTAACCTTCACGTGATCTCAAAACGCTGTGCAGGGATCCATTTGTGTGCAACAAGTGAAAGTGCACTCCACGTTCTCGAGACCGATGAAAGTGACGCATATCGCGCCAATAAACAAGGACGATAGGATAAAGTACATCCCGCTGGAGGAGGCTGCGATGCCGGTGATATCGAAAGGCGAGAATAACATCGGCTCGATACAAGTCGATCCTTCGGTGACGTGCAAGCAGCACTGTTACCTGGGTTTATCGACGGACACCAACAGTGCGTGTTGTATTTTGCAATTTCTAAACTTAAATATACACATTTTTAGTTTTTCAACGATCATCGTGTCGTTTCCAATGCAGTTATTTTGCTAGCTAGCTGTTTAGTGAGTATCTTTTATCTTGCAGCGGGAAGCCAATGGTTGAATACGATGAGCCTTCCCTCGCACACTCGCGACTCCGACCTGAACTTGCTGAACACGCGACACACGCGCTTCGTCAACTCCACGGCGGACGGCTCGTGGGAGAACATCACAATGCGCCTGGACACGACGGAGGTGCGCGGCCACAGGTTTTACATGAACATCAAGCCGTACTGGCCGAGCCTGCTGGTCGCCTCGGACAGCATAAAGAACAAGAGCGTCCTGATATTCCCGCTGACTCAGGTCGGAAACACGTCGTACAAAGCAATCGAACTGCACAATCCGAGTGCGAATCCGCTGATGGTTCAACTGGTTATGGACTGGAGCTACCCTCAAGGGGCTCGTCTTTATCACTCTTTGCCGACGAAGTATGTAATTGGTTGCGAAACTGCTCGATTATTGTCCTACAAATTTATTCTCCGAGCGAGGAAAAAAAAACTGACGGCAAAAATGTTACCGGCAGATTCAAGCCCGTGTGCGCGGAATGTTCATCCACGGTCCCGGAAGAGTTCAAGCTGGAGGAGAATGCGGCTGAGCGAGCGCTGTTCGAGAAACAGTGGGGCGTACCGATAGCGCCCCAATCGTTTCCCTTGTATTTACAACCGTCGGAAACGAAGACGGTTCGCGTGGCGTACACCCCCTCTTCTGCTTCGATGTCGTCTGGTTTTTTATATATTAGGTAATTTTCACCGCGAGAAAGAGAGTATACACTTGTACCATGTATTAACGTGCGTTTCTCATCGCCCTTCCAGAAATAACATGACCATTTTAGAGGTTCTACGCATGAGCAGTCGAGGCGCGAGTGCACAATTTAGGTTCGGCAATCGTAAATCAGGATCCACCACGCCGCTCTTGTTCGAATTGATGGACAAACGTCTTAAAGAATGCGAACGTATGTACGTTTCCTCACTTTTGCCTTACGACAAGAGAAGATTTCCTGAAAGATGCACCTTTTTTTCTTTCATCAATATATCAATTTATTTTTTTGCATTCAATTTTTTCATGAAATTATGATACATGCATTCATAATAAATGATAAGTTTAATGCAAAATACATGAATTTTGTAATTTTTAAATCAGTGCAAGCTTCTTGTATCGCGTATTTCTCTAGCAGCTTTAATTTTGTTTTAAAACGAGAAACACAAAGAGAGATCCTTCAACGCTTGTCTTTTTTTTTTTTCAGGACATCGCAACAAACTCACCGCAACTCCCATTCTCACCGTAAAGCGATCATTCACGGCTAGGAATACGGGAGAGCTGCCAATCGAGGTTTACGGTTTCTACATCAACAATCTGCATTGCGAGGGTTACGGCTTCAAGGTGCTCGACTGCGCGCCGTTCAAGCTGAATCCGAACGCTACTAAAAGGATCGAGATAGCGTTCACGCCGGACCTGACGCTGTCGCGCGTGGAACGGAAGCTGCAAGTGCTGACGAGCCTGGGACCGGACAGCGGCGAGATCATCGAGAACGGCATGGTGATACTTAATCTATTGGCGATTCTGCCGGCGCACTTGTTACATTCGTGCGCGTCGGTGCTCGCCAGACCGTCGTGGGAATGGGCGGTGTACTGGATCGCCAGATTCCTCTCGCTGATAATATTGCCGTGCGTGTTCGCGGCCTCGTTCCTCGAGGCGGATCGAATACTGCGGGGAACCCTGGCCAATTACTTGAAGGAGGATCCGGTGCAACCGCCTCTCGATCTCAGGCTGCTGTCGAATATCTCGATGCAGAACACGGCGCAGGTCGGCGGCGACAGCGTCGTCGTCAGCAAGAACGAGAAGACCGCGACGAGCGACGAGAAGAGCCCCAGGACGAGGAAGGATGAGGCGTTCACGCCGGACTGGTCACTGATGAGCGTGAAGAAGTGCAAGGATAAGGACGTGCCAAAGGCACTGCTGAAGATTCCGGATTGGTCCGCCGAGGAGGAGCGCCGATTCAAATTGGACACCGAGTCCAAAGATCTGCTGTCCTTCAAACGGTGCGACGAACCGTCCAACGCGGACAACGCTAATGCGAGTACAGCGAACACGTCGACGAAGAAGAAGAACAGGAAGCAGAACGCTCAAGAGGCTCAGTCGGACAATTGCGTGGCGAGTGATACGCTCGCGGACGCTCAGCTGGCTCAAGAGAAGAAGTGTACTGTCAGCCCGGTTACGAAGTCGAGTCCGACGTCGAACAGAAAAGGTAGAACGCAATCAACGCAGCCGAGTGTCAAGGAAGAGGCAAAGCTGATCGATGAAATTCAAGTGGACGCAGGAATAATCGGTAACAGCCGAGCCAACAAGTCGGATAGCAAGCGAAACAGTAAACAGACGAGTAGCGGCGGAAACAACAACAGTAATCACAATAATCACGTTTCCTTGAAAAAGCTGGATTCCACGAGCACTCAAAAGATCGTTCACCTTTCAGAAGAAGAGACCTCGTCCACAACGACAGAAAGTTCAACTCACGATGAAACGACATCGTGCAAAGTAAGTCGAAAGCCGCAATAATTATGAGGGATTTTAATTTAACTTTATCTTTCCCGAAGAAAATATCAATATTAGAATTATTAAGTGCTTGAATTTTTTAATGTTCAGAAATTGGATACTAAAAAGATCGAAAGTAGATTTATTATTAAAATTATTTCACTTACAATTAATTTCTAATTAAAAAAATGGAACCGATGGATAAATAAATACACTTGATAATGAAAATCCGTGCGCGAATAAAAGCTGTTTAGATGCGTCTATAATAAGATTCTTTCACGATGTACAGGGTTTTGATCAACCGTGCGGTAAACAAGACAAGCTCCAAAGAAAGCCGATATCTAAGAAAAGCAAACCTCAATCTATTCCTTCTGTGCCATGCATAGATTATAAGGATAATTACGAAGGCGACTGTGATGACGATGAGTACGATAAGGAGAGGCAAAATAATCCTAATAGATGGAAGACGAGTACCAGTAGATCCACCACGAAGCATCACGTTCATACCTCACGCACCGTTGAATCATCCTTCAAGCTACCGCGTCAGAATAAGAATCCGCCGCGAAAGGAGAAGACAGTGCAGAAACGTCGGGTTTCTGCCGACAAAGCACACGTCAAATGTACGTTATTCATAAATATCGCATAATATCTATTCGTTACAGAATCTTCTTCCAAGTTCTTTTACTAATTTTTTTTTTTTTTCCCTTAGATTTTAATTTTAACAAGTAGCCTGCATTTTTATAAAATTTTTATTCTATTCCAGCTCCTCCTGTTAACGGAAACGTAAACCAGAAGGAGGACGTAACGCGCACCGTAGGAACAATTCCCACTTCATTGCCACCTCCGCCCTCTCGCTGGGGCGAGAACAGGGCTAAATTCAGCGACGTGGTGGCGCGAAGCCAGGAGATCGTCCCGCCGTTTTGCAACTTAAATCACGTCAGTCACAAAGGTCAAGCGAACACGTCGAATCTGTCCGCGGCGTACAATATTGATGTGAAAGATGTTCAATATGCGAAATCATCGATGCAAGAATTGTTGCAAACATCGAAAGAGTACAATTTGCCAAAGCCAGCTCCCCTCTGCATCACATCTCTCGGCAAGGACAAAGCGCACGATCCTGATCCTCTAATTTTACAGCCAGATTCGCAGCATTCGAACAGTTACTTCATCAACACCTTCACCGAACATCCCGTAAGTTCGAATCAACTTTCCCCTCCGCTATCGTTAAACTGAAAGCACTCATTCGTTACATTATTGGCAGTTTGAACGTGAGCTGGTGCCGTACGACGATCTTCCAGAAACGGACGAACCTTTAGTGGAATTGGAGAACCCCGAAGAAGATACGCGGTGCCAATTATGGGAAGATACTAGTCCTATGATAAACTTACTGTCAGACAGTACAAGCGGATTTCAGTTGGAGACATCAAAAACCTCGGAGAAACCTGTTTTGTCTGACTTGAAAGGTGATCAGTCAAAAAATCCCCGCTTTAGAAAACAAAATATCGTGAATTATTCACACACACACACACACACACACACACACACACACACACAAACTTACACGAGTATAAAAATTATTTCGCTAAAAAAATAGAATTTCTCGACGATTCAACGGACAAGTGATGGGAATTGAATGTCAATTACAGATAACTGGACAGTCGATACGAATTGGGAGCCATTGTATACGAGAGCGGCGGTGGGGGAGGAACGCAGCGGTGTGTGGGGAATTAATACAGGGGGTGTGTGGGCTGCGGCACCCTGGGGCGCAGCGGCACCTCCCATGTCACAAACGTTACAGTCAGAATCGGATACGCAAGTGAGTAGATCAGCGAGTACGGGAAAAATACGATATTGCGAAGAGTACAAATGTATATTTAATTCTTGTCTGAAATTTTAATCCAGGAAAGATCGGGATTTGATCCGTTTCGTTCACTCAGCACAATATGGACGCCATCGTCGACGGAATCGTGGAGAACGAAGCGTGATAACTAATGATTGGGAATTTCGAATGTTTTATCTTGTGATACCGTACATTTGTTTTACGATTTTTGTCGGAAAATCGAGGGTAACAACGGTCGTGAGCGCGGCAATCGCCGTGACCTCAGCAAAGAAAAATTGGAAAGTCACAGAAATTTGTTATTTTGTTGTAACTACGCTGAGCGTACTTTGTGATATAATTATTACTGTTACGTTGTACGACAGTAACACCGATTGATAATCTCTCGAACGAGTTATTTTCGTACAGTTTCTTAAACCAAAATCTAGATGTTACACTTTTTATTTTTTATTTCATTATTTAAAGCATATTGAGGGAAGAAGTTATAAGAAGAAGAAGAAGAAGAGAGATAAGCGATATCTTAAATTACAAGCAAGCGAGATATCACGCGCATGTACAGGATAATCGAATATTTTCTTTCTGTTTTTGTCATAAAAGTGAACACACGATTGATTTTACTGCAGTAAAATGGAAATAACACATGTGGAAGTGCAGAATCGATATTTAAAAAAAAGGAAAAAAAGAGAGAAATACAGTTTCATACTATAAGTATCACAGTACATATTAATTTCAAGAAACAACTATATCGTGATATGTGACTTATACGAAAATTTATAATTTGCTCCTCGACTGCAGCACTCCTTTCTCTTTTCTCAAGACATTGTCCGTATATGCGTATGAAAGAAGGAAAGAAAGGAAGAAAACTATCGCAATACTCGAGAATCCCGATCTTAAACCACGAGTGATAATTAAGTTATTCAAGACGAGTGAGAACTGTGATTTTTTATAGTCTTGACTTGTAGAGATACCTTCAAGCAAATTTTCAAGACGAGTTTTACAAGGTTGCGCCGTATACAAAATATGAAAAATGAAAGAAATGTGTACCTATTCTTCAAGACTGGTAATCGTTGTGTTTTAATAAAGAAGTCACAAAAAGTACGAAGTTAATGTTTTCTATCTGGAAAAATCAAGAACTTTTCTTCGCGGAAATATCGGAGTCGGAAGGGCGTCATAAAGCTATTTCCAGCCAGTACAATGCGAATACCTTAATTTCACACATATATTAAAAGATGACAACTTGTATCACAACTTGGTGTACCGTTTGTACCGCTGCTTCTTCACAGATAACATCCAATTTATTAAATTTGAGTCAGCGGATATATGACTGACGCTGCTCTTGCCGATGAATACAAAAGATCCTTCTCGATGTAGCAGTAATGTAAAAATTCTATAAAAACGTCAATCTACAGCCCGTTTTCGATGCATTCGAGAAGACGCACGACTTCGCCTGTTGTATTCTCTTAAGGAGCAGCTGCAAATAAAATTTCTCGCATCATATGTGTGTCGCCTCTTTATTCAATTTACTTGACAAAAAAAATCTATGTCCATAAAAGCGCTGTCCGTTTTTATTTCAAAGAAATTACGCACCAGATTATCATCGTCTATCTTTTTCTGCAGCCTTCTCCTGTTTATCGCGGAACTGCTGCTTCCGGGCTGAACCGTACGTTCGCCGAGGATCTTGTACCGTGGCTTCTGCTGCGCCATGATCTTCCTCAGCAGCAGCTCGTTCTCCCGCTCGATCCTGCGCATTTCCTCGTCGGTGAAGCTCATGTTCCATCGCCTGCACCTCCTCGACTTGATTAACCTGTCCGCCGTGGCCGCGCGTGGCGGCTCGTCGCTCAGCTGACAGGACTCGTCGTCTTCCCACCTCAGTTCATCGACTTCGACGTCATTCTGGTTCGAGCACTGACTATTCTGAAGATCGTTGACGAGGAGCAGAGAAGAATTCAGCGATCTTGAGGTGACGTTGGTGATATCGGACCCGTCACAAGATTCGTCAGAGTAGAAGGACTCCGCGACATACGCGGATTCGTCATCCGGCGCGTTTTTAGTCGCCAATGCGATCTCGCCTTCCTCGTCCGAAGCAGAATTGGATTGCTCTACAGTTGTTGTTGCTTCGGTCTCACTATCCTCTTCGTCGATCTCGTGTATGTTGAGAGTATTGTTACAATTCTTCGTCTCGGAGGTGCATTCTCCAACATACTGGCATTCGCAGATGGCTTTTATATCATCAGGATTCGACATAATGAGATGAAGATCATGGAAGAGGCAGTGCAAGATTCAACAGGAAAGTTTTCGCTGACGATCTTTGTACAAACAAAACGGAACGTGATTCACGTGGTTTGGAGAAACCTGACGCCGTAACTATGCCAACTAAGTCGTCAACAAAAAATTCTATGTCAATTATGCCTAGTTCGAATGTATTCTAACAAAAAAATCAATTTATATGCGATTGAATTGGAATCTTAATCAATTTAATATCAACGATATCTTGTTTTAAATGGAATATTTTTAGATTTTTTTGTATTAATTTTTATCATATTTCCAATATTTGCGTTTGTATAAATATATCTTTCTACTTGTAGAAATTCTTCATTCATTTTTCACTTCATTTTCCACGCATTTGTATCTACAAAATTTGCATTTTAAAAAAATACAATTTATTATCAATTTCATCAAAGATAATGGATATGAAAAATGATTGATTTATTTATATAAAATATTATTCTATATTTATAAATAATATTTTAAGCAACATGAATTCGTACAAAAGTAATTAATTACAATAATCAGCTCAATCATTCGCGAAACCAAATACTTTCAAGCTGCCGGCATCGCGTTTTCGATCATAAGTGTCTTTATCATCGCACGCATAAGCTAAGAGATACTGTTTTGGATGCCAGGCAACGGTAAAAGTCGCCGCCTCCACTGGAACGTCGGCAATTTTCTCGCCAGTCTCCACCTCGCCGATATCTATGACCAAGTCCTCAGACGCCGCTGCCAACAGCTGGCCATCATATGAGAACGAGATAGTCCGCACCGGCCACTCCAACCGCGAGAACGTCCTCAAACAACATAATTCGTCGGCATCCCACAAGGAGACTAGCGCGTCCGCAGACCCGGTGGCAAAATAACGGCCGGTCGGGTCAAACTCGATGCAAATACACGTGCCGGGATGTGCTTTAATTATGTGCAACAACTCTAGGTCTGGATAGCTGAGTATGTGCACACAGCCTTGTCCGTTTGTCAAATAGAATGTATCCGAATCCTTGTTCCACGAGATCTCGTTCACCTCAAAGTTGAACTGCTCTTCCACTCTGATCTTCATCACTCGAGCATCGATGAAGGTAACCAGATCCTCCTTATTCCCTACTGCAATTGTGTTGCCATCCGGCGACCATGAAATGTTGATATTCTCCCCTCTGGTGCTAATGTTTGCTGTGCATTTCTGTGTTCTTGTGTCCCAGATGCGAACTGTCTTGTCTCCACTCGCTGTGGATAATAATTCTGGGTAGAAAGCATGCCAGCACAATTGGTCTACGCTACCTCCGTGTCCTCTAAAAGTAGTTTCCTGTTTCTGCAAATGAAGTTTACAAATCTTTGTAATTGAATCTAAAACTGAAATTAATATAAAGATTATTTTAAATTACACAAGAATAAAGCATTTATTGATTTCAATCGCTTATATTTATATCAATATGAGATGGAACCAGAATACTATACTGTTTCAAGTTTGTCCAAATTTTTGTAAACAAAACTGGACCTCATAACATTCTGGCAATTTTATGATTGACAATTAAATATTTCATATATACAATTTCTAATTTTACATATAAATAAAAAATAAGAACAGTCGAAGTATTATAATAAATCTCAAAATAATAAACAAAAAATTCTCGCTTTAAAAATACATTCTGAAAAAGAATCATAGGTTATGTTTACTAACCAAGCGATCGGGACATAGCGAAAATATGCAAACGGACTTGTCAAAAGAACCCGAGGCCAGATATTTGCCGTCGCAGCTCCATCCTACACTGTGTACCTTCGCCGAGTGGCTTTGCTGCTCCCGAATTTTATTATGCGATTTAAAATAATTAATTAACTCTTCCACTCGTAAAGTACTCGCCATTATCATTTACACGAGCGTGCACGTGTGTGCAGTGACGCCAGATTTGAGACATAAACACGTAAATTTGCTCTTGTTAACAATTTCTTAAAATCCCGGATAAAACGGAGCATTTTAGGTAATACCAATGGATAACTGTGACCTTTCTAAAGTCCCTAAAATAAAATGCACCAATAAGCTTGCGATAGTAACCTAATCTAACCTAACATCATTGAACATTGCGTGAATTGCACAAATACGAGTGGGGAAGGATGAGAATTTGAATTAGAGGTTAGTTCACCGTAGTTGAGAAAGAAACTTATTCATCAACAACACGCACTGTCAATAGAGCTCAAGTGATCGTGATTACGAGAGGATAGCAATGGGCGTACCAAGCGGCAGAAATGTTGAGGCGATGGATGTGGATGTGAATCCGCCAAACACGTCATCGGACGCGCAGAGCGGCGACGGAGACGGTGCGGGCGAGCGCAAGGACACCGACGTGCAGACTCTGCACGATATCCGCGAGCACACTCGGCAAATTGAGAAAGCCGTGCAGAACAAAGAGCCGCGCTTTGTATTGCGCGCTTTGCGCGCTTTACCCAACACCCGTCGTCGTCTCAATCCTATTGTGCTACGCGGTCTCGTCACTGGTTTTTACACCAAATCCGCCACCGAACGTGATGCTTTGCTCGCCTGGATAGAGGAACCAATGGACGTCGATGACAACCAGGCTGTCATCCAGAAGTTCCGCAGCTCATCGTCATCTCTGCTGCCCGAGATCGACGCTTACATTCATCTGTTGGTGCTGATCCGGCTCATCGACACTAGGAAGTACAACGAGGCGGTGCAGTGTTCTGAGCAACTAGTTCAGAAAATCGTCGCGCAGAATCGCAGAACCATAGATCTTATTGCTGCCAAGTGCTACTTCTATCACTCTCGCGCATACGAGTTAACAAATAAGCTGAACAGCATCAGAGCTTTCTTGCATTATCGTTTACGCACTGCGACGCTGCGTAATGACTTTGAGGGCCAGGCGGTGCTGATCAATTGTCTGCTGCGCAACTACCTGCACTACAATCTCTACGATCAAGCGGACAAGCTGGTACTCAAGTCGACCTTCCCCGAGTCGGCCAGCAACAACGAATGGGCCCGTTTCCTATACTATCTTGGCAGAATAAAAGCCGCGAGATTGGAGTATTCAGCCGCACACAAGTACTTAGTGCAGGCGATGCGTAAAGCGCCACAGACCACGGCTGTTGGATTTAGACAAACGGTTCAGAAGCTGGCAGTCACCGTGGAGTTGCTTCTGGGTGATATTCCAGAGCGGCAAATATTCCGGCAGGCGGCTCTACGCAGAGCCCTGGCACCGTACTTCCAACTCACCCAGGCAGTACGTCTGGGCAATCTGCAACGCTTCGGCGAGGTTTTGGAGAACTTTGGGCCGCAATTCCGCGTGGATCACACGTTCACGCTTATTCTACGATTGCGACACAACGTCATTAAGACTGCCATCCGTTCGATCGGACTGTCCTATTCGCGCATCTCACCAACCGACATCGCTCGCAAGTTGGGACTGGATTCCAGCGTGGACGCGGAATTCATCGTAGCGAAGGCGATTCGCGACGGAGTGATCGAGGCCACCCTAGATCCGGAGAACGGCTACATGCGCAGCAAGGAGACCTCGGACATCTACTGCACCAAGGAACCACTGCTCGCCTTCCATCAGAGAATAACTTTCTGTTTGGATTTGCACAATCAAAGCGTCAAAGCGATGCGCTATCCACCCAAGTCCTACGGCAAGGATTTGGAGTCTGCGGAGGAGCGTAGGGAAAGGGAACAGCAAGATCTGGAGCTGGCTAAAGAGATGGCTGAGGAGGACGACGACGGTTTTCCTTGAATTCTCTTGAATATTCAGAGACTTCTTTCTCAAAGCATGGATTAGGAATTAGGACATTCTATAATCATAATATTGATGTGTGCTGTTTTAACGAATTTGTAGATAATCCACAGAATAATGAGAACTGATAGTGGTCGTTGTTTATGATTATAGAATGATAATGTGGAATGGAATTCTTACGTTCATACACACATAAATACTAATACTGATAATGCGATGAATAAGATATAAGTTAAGTAATGATAAGAATATACACGAAATAAAAACAGTATCACAGTCGAATTAATAAAATAATTTCTTGATATTATTGTTATTTATTACTGTTATCATAAATGTCATCTTAACAGATTGCAACATAATTAAAATTGTTTTGGCATAACAAGGATTATTCAATTTTATACATTTATTTTTTATTATTGTAGCTTTTACAATTTTTATTTATAATATAAATGTACTTATATATATATATAAAATACGAATACAATCTATTTTAAATAAATTTATATTTATTAATAATTATTAATATTTAGATAATACTTTTGCATAATTTATTTTCATTAATACATATGTTGATATGTATATATTAATAAATATAAATTTTGTGAAAATATTTGAATATTGATTATTTTTTATTTCAAATGTATATGAAGAAAACTTTTGAAAAAGTTACTAGTTGTAACCAATTATTAAACTTCAATTTTAATTGGTTGACAATTTTAGAACCAAGAAGATTTCTAGTGATTTTACAAAACTGATTTCTTCCATGAGCATTCCTATCTATGTTAGATATGAAAAGATTCTACGCTGTCAAACGAGTTGTTACATGATTTACTACATAAATCGTCTTCGCATGCATATGTATTGTGTTTAATGTTTAAGTAACATACGATTTAATACTGTCTCACGTGGAAATGTCATTCTTAAGGAATATTTTAACACGTTGACATTATGGCGGGTTCTATCGAGGAAATAAGAGAGCCACTATCCATGAATAACAAAGGTAACCTTTTCGTTCATTGATTCTTGTAACATTTCGGGTTTGTAATTATTTAATCATCGATAATTAATGTTAATTGCCAACTGTGAAATTAATCGCAACTGCAGAGTAATTTTCACATAACATAACCTTGTAAATGAGTTTTTTTTCATTGGCACTATTGTTGCAGGATATGTGGCTCCAAGGACATCAATATCCTATGAAGAAATAGCCACAAAGCTTCTCAACGAGAAACTTTTTTTAACGGCTTTAGAGTTACATGCTGAATTATGTGAAACTGGCAAGGAACTGCCCATTCTTAAGGAGTTTTTTTCAAACCCGAGTAATTTTGAGAATTCCAGTATCAAGCCAGAGCCATATATACCGATGCGTATGTATTTTGTCAGTCAAGAACTTATTAAACATCATAGGTCTTTATAAAAAGTTTTTAAAAGCATAGAGCATACAACTATTATAAGAAGCTTTATGGAGAATCAAATTTACAGATTTTTTAAAGCATAGAAAATAGTAATTTTTTTCAAGATTTATAAAGATCTCAATTTAAATTATTACATTTTATTATAATTGTTGCTTAATGATTAATAGATATTACAACTATAAATAAAACATTATTATTAGCCAGATCTTCTAGTCAGGCAACTTTGGATTCTTTGGACATGACTCGATACTCAGAAGATGGAGCTGGTGTTGATGAGCGAGTGGCCATTCTCGAATTTGAATTGCGGAAAGCCAGAGAAAATATTTCCGCACTGCGTGCTAATCTAACTGTAGTAACAGGTATATTTTTTCGTTGTAATGATATTTTTGCATATTATTATACTCTTTTAATCAATAATACATTGTGATTAAAAATACTAGAGTTGGAAGGTACACTGAAAGCACCAGACAAGAGTTCTGAAAAAAATATGGCTACTGAACCTCCTATAAAACCACACGAGCAGCGAGCGCTAAACTTTCTTATCAACGAATATTTGCTGGCAAGATCTTACAAGCTCACTTCAATTACCTTTAGTGACGAGTGCGAGGATCAGGATTTCGAAGACTGGCAGGATGTAGGATTAAATATTCCTAAACCTGTAGAATTACTGCAGATATATCGAGAATATATGAGAGCTAATGGATATGACAAACCTCCATCTGTAAATGTCGCTGTGCAAACGGACTTTGTCATCGAGGAAGTTGAGGAGCAGAAGGATGAATCTCAAGAAATGGTTTGTTATTTTAAATATATACAATTTCAATATTTGAATATTTAATTGTATATGTTCTTGAGTTCTAATAATATTATATTTCTCACAGATGGAGCTGATCGAAACATTGCAGCAACAAGTTGCTGTGTTAGAACAAGAAAAAGCTGCCTTGCAAGAAATTATTTCGTCAACTAAAGAGAATATTGCAGAAAATCCAATCAAGGTGAGTCAATTAATTGAAGAATATTCTTCTTTTGTAAAAATAATCTCATTACATAAAAGTTTCAGATAATAAATCATTAATTTAATCAAAGTTCAATTATTTTATCGCACTGTATGCGTTATGTATTGCAAAAGATGATTTTATTTGTAGTCAGGCAGCTGCGGAACTATCCGTACCATCAATTCCAGCTCTACAACTCCTGATAAGTTCGAATTGCTTGAATCACTTCCAAGGGACATGTCGACCACCACTCAGGAACCGGAAGAAGATGACAGCGCTTCTGTAGTGGTTAGTTTGGACGAAACAGATCCGGGAGACAAAGAATGGACCAGACTGCAATTACCCAGAATAAATGTTACAGAGAGATCTGTTTTACAAACTGCATCCTCCAGGTTATCTATGCTTTTATATATATTTGTATATTGGCGAAAGTTTTTTTATTGGAATATTGAAAGTTAGATATATAAATAAGTTAAAAGATAATATAAAAATAGTATAAATCAAACACTATAAAACTTTAACAATTAATGAATTAATTTAAGAACATAAAGATTTTACTGCTTAAAGATTGTTAAGAATTTAAAATAATATATTTGCAATTGTTACAGAGATCTTCCGACAAAGTTCAAATTAGAGATAGCGACGCATTGTTTAGCGAATGTTTCGGGACCAGTGATATCTTTGGTGGAGGAACCATTGAAGCGCGGAGTCACTCGAGACACGTTGGTCGAGATTCTGGCGTATACCTTGCCGCGAATAATGCCCAACATTATTCTCAACAAACGCGAAGAAGTTATACCTTTGATACTTAGCGCGATCCACTTACACTCCAGTTCTAGCGAGAGGGAAAAGTTGCTGCAATTGCTGTTCAACTTGAAAAAGAGACCGAATGAGGACGAACGGCAAATGATATTAGCCGGTTAGTGCGTTGAAAATTACATTTATAAACGAGATATTTTACAATAACATAATTTATAATTTGTAAAGAAGCAATACAAAATGTGTGTGTGAGAAATAGCTACTAAAAATGTAATATCGCTTTCCGTCTTTAATTACTAGGTTTAGTCGTAATGGCGAAGCTTACGGAGGAACCGCTGGAGGGCGAAGAAATTTTGACAATTTGTTGGGAACAGAGTCAACACAAGTATCCTGAAAGAAGATTATTAGCTGTCGAATGTTGCTCCGTGCTGGCGTCTTATACGTCAGCTTCCATCAGGAATTCACTGATGCTGTCAATGCTGCAGCAGATGCTGTTGGAGGATAAAGATCCTGTCGTTCGAGTCAGCGTGGTGAGAAGTCTTGCGCTGCTCATAGCTTTAATGGACGATCCTGACAAATATTTCCAGGTAGATATTTTATCATATTTAAGCTTTTTATATTAACTTTTTGTCTAATTTTTTTTTAAATTACATTTATATAATGTAATACATAGCATTACATGAGATAAATTGGCGTGTTACAGTGCGAGGAACTGACGTTAACGGCACTTTACGACACATCGTCAATGGTTATTGAAACGGCATCGTCGGTATTGTTGCCAGTTCTGGCGCAGTGGGCGTTATCTTTAAAGCGGTTGCATCTGAATCTCCTGCCACGCATAATCTCGAAAGTGAAGAAACAGCTGAAGTCGATACATTCCTATGCTTCGCCGAACAAGGACTTTGTTGAGGAGGAGAAGCTGGTGCCATCGATTGGTATCTTACAGTGGATTTTGCCATACACAGTCTTGTGCGTCGCCAACACCGATGAGGTGTTGGCCTGCATCGAGGATGGGACATCATCGGATTTGTGTGAGTTATTAGTGGAAGTAGATCACAAATAAGAATGTATATTTGAATATTTTTAAACGAGGAAGTAAGTAATCATTGATAATCTTAATAATCTTAAGATAAGATTTCAATTGAAGATCTTAGAAGGTGTAAAATAAAAATTCTATCGAGATACAAGGATTTGTAAAATCAGACGAAAATTTTTTAAATTAGAAATAGAAAATCCAGAAATTCTAAGAAATTTAAGATTTATCGAAATCTGATGAGACTTAATTTAAAGGTTTTAGAATTCGCGATTTGAGAATTCCAAGATTCTGAGATTCAAAAATCTTAGTGTCACTTCTTATTAGAATTTTTGTAAAGCTCATAAGCTCGCACAAAAACAAAAACACAAAAGTTTTCTAGAAACTTTGTGGTGCAGCCGAGGAATTTCTGGCCTTATGTCACTCCAATATCATCGACCCGAGGATATTCTACGAGGGTTCCGTCGACGTCGGCGTCCTTCTTAACACTTTCTTCTTCACGTCCTGGGAGGATGCGTCCTGGCCGGAGTTAGAATGGTTTACGAAAAAATTGTAAATATTTATATTATTTTATTACCAATATAATAATAATGTAAATTTTGTTTCATAAAAACATTCTTGGCGACATTGTTATACTTTAAACAGAGAAAGTAAAATTTAAAATGCAAATCTCTGAACCAATTTATTATCCATTTCGATATACTGACTTCAGAGTGCACTTCTTTCTTTTGCAGTGTATTTGATGTCCTGGAAATGGTGAAGTCTGTAGACGCGGCGCACGAAAATGTTTTAAAAATACTTCTTACGTACGTTCATTCGTTGTGTGCGGGCTTCGGAAGATACATCACACAATCCAGGGTGAAATTTTATAATCAGAAATATTGCTAGAACTTGTATGATCTTTTGAACGATGATTTTTATAAATGAACACTATTTCAGATACAAGTGATGTTTTTCCCGGAAGTATTGGAACTTGAGAGGCAACTGACCGCACTATCGACAGATAAGAAGAACATGAGTCTCTTTTTGGTCCCGTGTTATTTGGTGATTCTAAGCACTCTCGATTCCACGGAGTTCGCGAACTATTTCAAACAGTTTCTTGTGGTTCTATCTATGAATCACGAAATATCCTGGCTGCAGCTTGCCATAAGCATTTTATGCACTTACGAACACATACAAGAACACGTGCTTGCCAGTTTATGGGATGGTTTGTATATCACATTCATTTTCTATTCCAATCGTTAATAATTAACGAAAAGGAAAATATTCAAAGTAAAAAAGTAAAAATATAAGAGATTAAACAAGTGCCTAGTTTTATTACCAAACTATATTTTCTTAAATTTGAAAGAGTTAAATCCATTCTACATATTCACAGCTAATTAATTATATATATTTTAATATAACAAAATTAATATATTTTTATCGCAATAAATTGAAGAATATTTCTGAATTGTAGCAAACAGGTTTACGGCTTTTTTTTTTTATTAGGTGTAGTACATCAGCGATCCATTGTAAGATGCGCAACGGCAACGTTATTCGGCTCCGCCATCACATACGTCTCGGACCAGCTGATAAACGCTAAGATCGTGCCAGCCATCGTAACGCTCGCCAGCGATCCCGAAGTGTGAGAAACTCTTCTCTGTGTATGCATGTATCTGAAATTCTTGGATCCTTGTATTAACTTTTTAAAACCTTTCCTCTGCAAAATAATCCAATCTCTTTTTTGACATTTCTACTCTATATTATGTAATAATTAAGTAAATATTTCTAGTGGCGTGCGTTGCAACGCAATCTCCTCGCTGGGGCGTATAATAACGGAATGTAAAGTGAGGGAAGCACGCGATAAAGCACGATTGACATTAGAAACGATCACGAAGGATCCTCAAGGACTCTCTCAAACTCTGGCGACGTCACTAGTGTCCACATTCACATTTATCGCCCCCACTTGTCCGCAGAATTACATAGAAGACGGTAAGTTATTTTTCGCTCATCTTTATTCCTTCGAAAAACAAGCTTTCGAACATTACGCAGAACTTACAATGTGAACCTAAATAAAAAAAACGGTATATTTGTTCTTTTTATATTTCTGTGTGTAGAATTTTGTGTGTGTAGAAACAAACTGAGTTCTTGTCAATTGCAGTAATAGCGACACAGTTATCCTCGATTGCTTCGTTCGCGCTTCAACAGAGCCGCAAGATCGAATTAGTAAACGCGTTGGTGGAGGCGTATTCAGTGCTGGTCTACTGCCCGTTAAGTAGTCAATGCGTTTCCGGAGTAGTGCTTCCGGGATTGCGGCATGTCGAGACGCTGGTAAATCAGTGTCTGCCGCAGCAAAAGGATACGGTGCGTTCACTGCTCAGGGAAGCGGAATCCAAGCAGGACTTGTCGAAGCCGGCGGAGAGGTATCGTATAAAAATAAGACGATCTGCTTGCACTTGTAATAAATTATATTTAAACTTAATTATTATAAAATATATTCTAGTAAATAATATATTAAAATTACAGTTAAAGTGTAAAATATAAAAACGTATTTTTTTTTTTTTATCAATTGTATGACTTATAATTCTGACGATTTACAAATTTAGAAAGAGAGATTCTTGAATTTCGAATTATCTTTGGATTTCTGCATTTTCTTATGAACGCATTATGCATTCTGCATATTTTTCTGTACAAGAAATGTGTAAAATATCAAAGTCTGATAAAAAATAATTTTTATTTCAGAACACTCTCGCCGAGTTCCGGCCTCTCTCTGTCTATGGCAACGGTGAATGTCGGCCAGGGTGTGGAGGATATGCGTCAGAGGATGAGCAAGATCTTTCAGCAGAAATCTGGATCGCCGAGTATGCCGAATATCTTCCGCAAGAAATAACTCTCTCGTCATCTTATAGCGAAAAATCGAACAGCTCGAATATTGAAACTTTATCGCGATTGTTTCATCGATCAAGGATGAGTGAAACATTCGCAATCGTAAGGTTGTTATTAAAACGTAAAATGTATAATGTTGTTTTAACGAATGTTAACTTATTTTTTTATCGCGCTAGCTATAAGTGACGTGTAAATTATTTTGTTTAAAATATCAACGATACAAGAAATTCAAGAGTGAACAATACGAATTTTTGTAAAAGTATCCATTTGTCAGTTTTTCACGCTCGCAACATTTTCCTGCTCCATCTTTCCGATGATCCCCGCCATCACTTACATTTGACACCAGAAAAAGAAAGATTCAAGACGCAGTTGTTAACAGTAATTAATGTTTAATTTCGAAATCTGTCATTTTACATAGTAATAAACAAACGTCATAGATCATATCATATATCATATCATATATATATATATATTTATATATATATATTCGTATATTATATATATAATACAGTGTTTTCCTCGTAGAATAGTTTACAAAATCAGACTTTCTAGGAATACACATCCTGTTGCGTTCTGCTCTTGCGGTTTCTATTTTTTCTTTTATTTTCTTTTTATATAATCACAGCTTATCCTGATGCGTCAACGAAACGTTGCTATTGTATTCTTTTCCTTTTGCGGTTGATAATTAATCGACATAATCGCCAGAGAGATATCGTTGCGACGCACTATCGATCCCAAATGGACAATCGCGAGATCTACTCTCGCGCGGTGCAATTTTTGAAAAAACTCTCATTTATTATGCGACGCCGATTATTAGTATTTTCGAAGATTACTTAAAAAAAATATCCGGTCACGAGAGACCAGGCAACGACCATCTAGGAGGATCTGAAGCTCAGTCTACTAAAATTGATCAGCGTGGTTCTATAAAAATCACATAAGTAGCACACAATTAGCCATACGCTTAAATTAACAGGCAAAGTACTTTCGAAATATCTCGTTTATAATTCTTCCCCTTCTTTCTTTCTCACCTAGCTCGCCTAAAATTCATTGCTCGAGAAATGCCGTTAATCGCGCGGGCCAGTATCTTGTCTTTTTATTTCGCACCATTTAACTTCTCTCTCTCTCTCTCTCTCTCTCTCTCTCTCTCTCTCTCTCTCTCTCTCTCTCTCTCTCTCTCTCTCTCTCGCAATTAGTATCTATAGTATTATAGATGTCCCTCACTCTAATTTTCGTTAACCAGCTACACTTGTTTTTTTTACACCGCGTTTTTTGTTTCCATATACACGTATTGAAAAAGCAACAAACGAGAGTACGCGTCGTGTACGAAAAACGGAACGAAAGAGAAAAGAATAAACGGAAAAAAAAAAAACAACCAAAGAACCCGTGTTAATCCGAAAAAAAGGAAAATCGAGGTCATTTGATAAATCGTTAGAGTCGCTTATGTGGTATGTGACAAGGCGCGCGATTACGCGAATCGTTACTTTTTTTTGTTTCTCTCACGGATCTTGCGACGAGAATTACAAATCGCAATAATAGAATCGCGAACGGTAAATCGCGAAATTACATTACGCACACGTACATCAACGTATGTATAATAATAATGCTTAGCCTATCCCGTGTGTGTCTGTCTCTGTGTGTGTATGTGTGTGTGTGTGTGTATGTAGTGGTAGTAGTAGTAGTAGTAGTAGTATACATATGCGTATATAATATATATACATTGAATATTTTACTACAATCGTTGGAGAGTGGCGGCGAAGCGAAACCGCGTCCCGGAGAGAACCGCGCGCGGCTCATCAAAAAAAAATATATATATATGTATATGTATATCGCCTCGTATATTTATACTATTAATGAATCGCGCTGTAGGACTCGCCTAGAGCACCACCGTGTGCGAATTGAAACGATCCAAACCGCCCCAATCCGGCACTTCCACGTCGTCGACGATCGACGATCGACGATCGACGATCGACGATCGATCATTCTCCGGCACATCCGCTACTTCTCTTGAATGCATAGGGTGCTTCATCGGAAACTGCTAACTGGAATATCTTTCTTTCTCTCCCTCTCTCGCTTTCACTCTCTCTCTTTCTCTCTCTCTCTCTCACTCTCGCAACGAAAATGCAGTGGACAAAAGTTATGTCAATTGATTTCTAAAGAATACTACGCGACGCACGAAAGACGTTTCCGATATCACCTGCTTCTTTACGAGTTCGAGAGATTCGTTGATCCTGCCTGATGAAAAATGTTCAAATCATGAAGGGGCTCGCTTTTCAATTTACTTGCACTTAATCCTTAGATGACGCTTGAATTTTAGATCCTTCGACAAACTTTTTGAATTTTCTTTTTTTTCGTCCTTTTTTTTTTTGTTTTTTTTTTCGAATTTTTGAATGTTTAAAATTGCTGCTGTATTAACGAGATATAAAAGCATATATAATTCTTTCTTATTATAATACAACTACGTTAATGCATCTTTATTACAGGAGCAATAAGTCTTAGAATTCCTAGATTGGCTATACTCTAAGAATCTGAGAGTTCAAAACATCCAAACGATTCATATTTCCCAATGTGCGCAGAATCAACCTCGCCGAACTTATTTATAAAGAAAAACAAAAAAAAAAAAAAAAAAAGAGAGAGAACCGCACGAACGGGGAACATCTTTCTCGCGCGATGTATAATTCTCTGAGGAGTCGATGTTATTCGACATATCGTTTATTTGATTTATTCAACTCAATATATTAACAGAAACAGCTGACAATCCTATTTGAAACGCCCTGTGTGTTTGTGTTTACAATAGACAAATGAAACGGCAGCATTATAGGTTCAAAGTATAATGGTATACACGCCGACGCAACACTTGCGTTGCGTCCTATTCGCAGGAGATCAATTTTTCGTCCTTTTTGTTTTTCGTATTTTTTTTTTCCTTTTTTTATCATTACATTTCGTCAGTTCGAGCTCGCACACGTAATCGTTAACAAATATATATATATATATGTGCATATATATATATGTATATATATAGATATATATATATAAAAATATGTATACACTTATATATATACATATATGCGCGATTTTTCTTTCCGTCTCTCTCTCTCTCTCTCTTGCTTTTTGCTCTCACTACAAGTGTGTGTGTTTAGGTACATATGCATCATCATTAACACCTAAAGCCAAAAGCTCCTGCTTACAATAATAATAAAATAATGATGATAGTAATATAATAGAGCAATCAATAGTACTAATTAATATTAATAGTGGTAATCGATAATCAATAATATACAACGTACTTTGAGGCACTTAAATGCGTGCTCAATTAGTCGTCCCGATTCTCGCAACACTAGCTACTCCGAATTAGTATGTTTCTCTCGCGCACACTTCTTCACTCTCTCGCCTTGCCGAATAAAAAAGCGTCCTAAGATTCTTAAACGTCTTAAACGCATCTCGTAACCAGAGGTTTCGGTAAAATAGAAAGAATAAGATCTGACTCGCGACGCAGCGAAGAGAGGGCGGTTATTTAAAAAAGGGGGGAGGGAGAAAGGGGGTAGGGGATCGAGTTTTGCACAAAACCGGAAGTGGCCGCGCAACGACGCTCTCAGCGGTCGACGATGACCACCGATGATGAACAACGGGTTCGTTCGTGATGCATCACTCACGACGAACGAGACGGAAGAGTAACGGAATCATGGTCGGACAATGATATTAAAATTGAGAAAATGGAATCGCGACGAGAGTTCGGAGGGCAAGGAACGGAATGGCCCTTTCTCCCAATACAACACAAAAGTTCGAAAAGCGTCCGAAAGACGTAGGGTTTTTTTTTTTTTTGTTAAAATTGTGTTGTTTGGAGCGGGCGAAAAATTAGGCGTAAACCGCGTGTCTGCATGTGAAAATCGCTCAGACGGTAGAAATGGAATCGCGTTAAAAAAAAAATTTAAGAAAGGAAAGAGAATATAGAACTACCTCTCGAAACAACACACAAGTCCAAAAGATGTCTAAGAAAAATTAGGAAGTCTTTCAGAGATTCGCATTGTTTGAGACAGAATTGCGAAGGATATCGAGATGAAAATCACAATATACGGCTGTAAAGTGCCGAACTTCGAAAAAAAAATCCCCGGCTGCATCCCGGAAGTCTCGGAATCCCGAGAATTTTCATTGCAAGTTTTTCGTATAGAAAGAATGAAGCAAGATCCACTTTAAACACGTGAATGCGTGACGAGTTAAACGAGTATAACCGCCGCAAATAAAAATTGTTTAGGCTAGCCATGTAATAAATAAATGTGTATGCATTTATAATTAAATTTCGATTACATTTATCTGATTAAACTTATAAGTGTCCAAATAACTTCGTTCAAACATATGAGAAGACTTTATCGAGCGCACCGTAACGCGCGTTTTCCGTAGAGAATTTAGCGGAGAGAGAATATTCAATAATTAAAAATCTTATACCTTGGACATGGATAATTACTAATAATACTAATTACAATTGCAATGCAATTGTAATTACATTGCAAAACACAAATTTTATTTCTAATTAAGCAACGACACGAGAAAAAAATAACATCTTTCGAAAAACATTTCTCAATAATGGTCTCACTTCACTCCTTGCTCGAGATTTACAGATTCGGTGCCGCGATTTCCTTCGCAACAACAGTTTCCTATACGTGCGTCATCCGCATAAAATACAAATTTACGTGCTTCTCGACCGTCCACCTCCCTCACCTCCTCCTCCTCCTCATCATCGTCATAATTATCATCATCATCAACAACATCATCACCATCATCAGTACCATCGTTATCAACAACATCATCGCTATCATTCTTTAAACCACGCGTAATCTCGCACGCGATATCACACGATCTCTCCATTTCTCTATTCTCGTTTTTGACCCTTCTCGTATAACGGGCGAGGTTGGAAGAGGGAGGAATTTTGTTTTCGAGGATTCCACCGCTTTTCACTCAGCGTGAATCTCGATTTCGGTGCTGATTTCGGCATCCACTTCGTTGCATTTCGGGAGATTTCCTCAAGCAATGTTTTTTTTGGCACAAATATATATCTATATAGACATGTTTTTCCTGGTTACAATATTACGGCCCTGCGCGCGCGAAGGAGGGGCGGGGAAGGGGTTTTTTTTCCCTTTAAAAGATTAATATATCTTATCTCTTTAACGCGTTTTTACAAGCTAACGAATATGTACCTCAATCACAGAACCAAAAGCGATAACAATACTCTTCTCGTGCGCGATGTACCGGGTGATCGGGAAGCCGCGCAGCTGTAAACTTGATGCTGTCGAGGAAAACCGCATTTGAAGAAATGCTGTTGCTCAATAACACGCTTACCACCTCTTTATGTGAAGCGTATCCTTGTTATGATAACGAATATATATAGATCTAAAGCACCTGTGAATCTAAAAACTCGAACGAGATCGCTCATGTATCTTGCGCTTTGAATTTTTAGCTTCACAAGTCCTTCAGATCTACATATACATATACTTGTTGTTAATTAAGAATTCTTATCAACTTATCAATTACTAACAAAGTCTTAAAACTAAAGCTTATTAAAGATTATTAGACGCACTCAAGGCTGCATTAATCATATTGAAACACGCAAAGATTTGGACGACAAACGTTTTCAGATAATTAATCATCCTCGCGATTTACTTAGGTCATTAAATTTTTCTCATATTCGTCAAATTTCCAAGTCTTAAATTAGATACGAATTTTTCGGAATTTTCAGATTCTCAATTTCCTAGATGCCGAACCCGGCGAACTCCGTCCGCTTTGTGCAAGCCGGACTTTTGCCGCCGAGCTGATCAATCTTCTCGTCCGCTTAACGTAGACAAAAAATTTTTATCATCAGACTTCCTAAACCTTATTGTACCTTAAATTTTCAAGCCCTTAAACTCTTACGTCTTCAGAACGCGAATTAAACTACCATCGAATTACTTGCGCAGTTTGCAATAAATCGAGTAAAATAATTCTGCCGACTTGGCAAATATCGGCAAGCCTATCAATATCATCAAACCGCGGCGACAAACTGCCCCGCGGGACTCTCCGATCACCCTGTATAATAATAGCGCCTGCGAATACGCGGCTATAACAGCACGCGGCGGGTCTCACATACGTTCACACACACATTTTATTATATATATATATATTTCTCTCTCATTCTACTCTCACTCTCATTCTTTCGCGCTCGCTCTCTCTCTCTATCTCTCTCTCTTTCTTTCTTTCTCTCTCTCCCTCTCTCGCTCTCTCTCTCTCTCTCTTTCTCTCACATACACACACGCATACACACACATTCTCTCTCTCTCTTTCTCTCTCTTTCTCTCTTGATCGATTCGTCGATCGATCGATCGTTGATCGTAGGCGAGACGTCACTGTACAATGTAAAAAGTTCTCTCTTCCTCATGCTCGCGCAGCACGTGTCGGTTGTCGGCCCGAGAAGGGAGCGCCGGGGGTAGGTGAAAGCAGCGGCGAGCTCCGATATCCTGATTCTCGATCCGATCCGACCACGAGAAGATGGCGATGACGTCGTAGCACGTATAGCACAGCTAAATATTGTTTGTTTACCACATCGTTCACGTGGTAGTCTGCTGATTTTGTCGTCTTGCTTCGCAATATCCAAGACGCATCCATCGCTTAGCTGTCTTCCTTCGTCACCTTCACGGCACATAATGAAACAAAACATACACATCCTTGTAGGTTTCCCTTTTCTCTTTTTTTTTTTTCAACGAAGAAACGGCACTTCCGATCGAATTGTCTTGCGTCGACTCGGGGATCGATTAAAAATTCATAGAGGGATTCGGAAGGTATCTTGGGGTCGCCCGAGGATCTTCGAGAATCCCGAGAGTCCGGGCTTGACTTTAAGGATCCGAGAACACGATAATAGCAAAAGAATCTATCGCAAAGAAAGTTTTTTTTTATATATACAAGCTATTTACGTGTTTGCCGGGTTCGCTAAGTTTTTTTAGAATACGCTATCGTCACTGCACGATTAATTGAAAGTCGAAATTTCTGCGAGTCTTCGCCGTACAAAATTGTGCGCGAAACGTCTCGGCATACGCAGCCTTTGGAAGAGGAGTATGTATGGAGATTATTTGACTGGTACTTACATGCAGCTTTTAAACATTTCTGTCCCTCTCATCTGTTTTGTGTTTTGTACAAGGTAGTTCGCGACAATGTTGCGCTACTTGGGCATAGCTTGGCCTTGTAAGATCCTGCGGTGAACAACAAATATTTTATTTGCGGAGTCTGAGAATATTCACTTATACACTTTACACAGAGTGAAAGAAATGCTAAGTGCAACGCAAAATCCTAAATCAAATTTTATAGAAGAGTTTGTCATTGAACGCTGGAAATATTATCTAAGAATTTTAGGATCGCTGTCTGTGCTGCAATAAACTTCACAAACAGTTTAGTATGCGAATATAGTTACTTTTTTTATACAGATCCTTAAAACCTTTTCATATTTCCAGATTCACTCTTAAATCGCAAATTTCCCTTTCTCTTTCCTTTGGATTTTTAGATCGACAGATTTTTTAAATGTATCAATACTTTTCAAGATAAAGCGTTTTTAAACTCTTAAAAGCCCGTGGAATACTCACTATAGGGAAGGCAGAGGCCACTCCAGTTTGCGATTGGGAGCTCTGTGAGGCAGTAGGAGGAGGGACGACGACGACGTTATTACAATCGCACCTGGTCATCGGCTCGGCGTCGTCCGTTGTCGTCGCGGCTGCTACCGTCATCGCCGTCGCTGCCGTCGTCGTCGTCGTTGTCGCGGCCGTCGCGGTTATCGTCGACGTCGCCACTGCCGGCAGGTGCGTGTTTGCAACTACAGCGTCGTCCACACCATTCACCATGTTCGAGTCGTCAGTCTTTATAGATCTGTCAGCGGTGCATTGTCAGTAAAGAACTAACATATGCTTACTTAGCTATCTTTAAATTCTGTAATTTTTAGAATAATTAGATACCCTTGTACGAGTCTCTCAGATCCTCAAGAATAGATATTCCCGTATTGTTCGACTTTCTTTCTTTTCTTTTTTTATTTTTAGATCCCCGGGAATATGTATTCTTGAGTGCTTTGAGTACACGAGTACCTTTAAACACTCGAACCCTTCGAAATCGTTTGAAGTCTTTAGATTTTTATATCCTTTCAAATCCTTGAATGTGCCAAGACCGTCGAGTGTCCTCGCGAGGAGGATGCATGCGTAAACGCAATTGTGTGAGACATTTATACAAAAATCCGCTTGCGAAATGCGATTTTACACGGAGACAAGATCGGAATTAGCGCTAATCACAAATATTAAATACTATAATGTCCAACTATCACGTGCACCATCACATAAACTAAACGCACGCTAGTAACTGTTATATCCCGCACCGCATATCACCGCTTTGTTCATGCATAAACAAGGAAAGACCAATTCGTGTAGGCGATTCTCGATCCGGCGAATCAAGTATACTCTCGAAAGAATCTCGAGAGCTGAAGTACTTAGCTGTCCAAATAAAAGGAATTAAATAGGAAAGAACTCGAATCTACAAATTACAGTCTTCGACTGTACAAACATCCGGCAAAATCTGATTGTGTCCGCGCGCGGCACAATAAACTTTTTGATAAAAATAAAAATTTTGCGAGAACCGCCCGCAACGATCGAGGGATGCGCAAAAGAGGAGGATTTTTGCAATATTCGCAAGACACGATTAATAAACATCAGTATATACATTATTTATTAATTTCTAGTTCATCGCTGACAATGCAACTATAGTCATTACGAAAGGTTCATCAGGTGCCATGCTGAGGCCGCGTGATCTCGTTTTTCTTTTTCCGTTTATGCTTATTTTGCAGTCACGTGACGAGAAATTAACTTAACTAGTAACGTTAGAATTATGAGCTAGAAGTAACTTCATCGTCGAAATGCCTTTAAGAGTAACTTGAAACCGAACAATAATAATTAATAATAATAATCTTAATAATATTAAAAATTCATAATAACGACAATATAGTGTAATAATATAATAATCAAATAATAATTGTAACATATTAAAGAACCCTGAAAAATAATATTCTTTTATCGTATATTCCTATTCAACATTTTTATTCTTTATCTGCCGCAATAGTACAGGCAAGAAGAGGAGAAATGTCATACCACAATAATGCCGCATACATTCCCGCACACATGTAGCACATTCTAGAGCATATTTCATTGCGCTATGAATGGCTGTTTGATACTAATTTCAATCGGAGGTATGCGGCGTGCTGTATTCATATAGAAAAGGATAATTCTTAGATCCCTCGATCATTGAACACTTAGATCCTTTAAATCTCGCGAATCTTTTTAGAAAATTTTAGAAAATTTCAGCTACCCTCGCTTCGACGATTCCAATATTCTTAATTCTTTAAACATCTTTGCTCTTGTGCGAAACCTTTGAAAATTTAGAATCGTCAAATCTTTCGGACAGAGTCTTCTCTTAAAAGAAAAATAAAATTGCTCAAAGAATTTTGCAAATGCAAAATATAATATCTGAAATGTTAACGATCAGCAATCCAAATACTGAGCGCTCCAAGAATACAAAAGATTTAAATGTCTAATAATTGAAGTGCAAAATAATCTGTTAAATCGACAAAGATCGAGCGTGTGAAAGCGATTTATCCGCAATAGGCTCAGTGTATCAGTGATCCAGTGATCCAGAAATATCAGTGATCCAGGAATGAAAGAATCTACATACTCGAGAACAAAGCATCCAAAAGAATCCATGATACCTCAAAAACTTTAAGCCCTTCTTTACACAACCGGATTTATACAGCATGCTTATAAAATCATCACAAGAAAAAAAAACGGAGATGATATTTAAAGCCTTTTACGTGAACGACAAAGTTTTTAGAATCTCAGAATCAGAAAGGCACGATGATAATGACAAAAGTATCGATGAGAAGAAAATGGCAAATCGTAACACAATAGTGAGTACATCTAATTAATTTGTTTATCAATTAATTAAACGATAAGACTCGCGCACAGCCAAGGATCTAACAACCCCCGCACAGGCTCGAGGAAGAACCTGTTTTCAGAATTCATCAAGACGGAAAAACCTTTTGTCTCAGTATCTCTTATCAAAAAACTGAGACCGGACACCACCGAGTTTTGGAAACCCGGAAATCTACGGGAAATTTCAATATCTAATCATAAACGACTCGTGTGTTCTTAGATTCTTGGCTAATATAATTTTCCATAACAAAATATTACGCATTTATCGGAAATAAAAAGTGGCGAGAATGCAGGCGGATAAGACTACCCCGAAGGATATTAACGGTTAGTAACGTCCTTTTACTCGAGAGTAACTATGGCGATGCAAAGAAAGCTTCCTTTATATCCTTTGAAAAAAAAAAAAAACAAAAAAAAAGAAACAAAATTTCCCTCCTTCCAGGTAACAGATCGATCGCGCGCGCCGTCGCGCGTAATCGATCAGGCCCGATAAACTTTCAGACCGGGAAGGATCGGCTCGAAAGAAAACACGCGTATCTCCGTCGGTACAGAACAACATAGCATATAACGCAGCCAACAACAAACAACAACAACAACGAAACACAGCTCGGCATTCCTCAAGGCATATATATATATATATATATATATATATGTATATATATATATATATTCCTAATTTGTGTGGATCCCCTAAAGTAAAGTTCATACGGATGTCGTATTCTTGGATTCTCTCGACTTTTTACTCTGCCGTATCGACGAATCCTCCCGAATGAAATTGAAGGATCTTCCCGAGACACTCGGAGGACACGAAGATACGAACAGCGGCTCGATGGAAGAATATTCGAAACGCGAAACGCGACGAGGAATTGGCGGATCCAAGGATCGAACGATAACAACGGTCCACTCATCCAAGGATATAAAAATCCGACGACACACGGGCATCCAAGAAACCGTTTCACAGAGACCGGACGAATCCCTTGTGATAAATGGAATTCTATGCGATCCCACTTCGCGTTTGCTTTCTACGCGTCAAGTATCGATTCGTAATAATCAGTAATTAGATACAAACATAATGCATAACTGTACATGTGTCCCTCTCGCAAAAAGTGCAAAGTAGTAAAACCGTCAATAACCATTTACAGGACTGAGAGCAACAGAAAGTCAACTTTCTTCGGGCCGCGCAAACGGAAGATTGCTTGTTTGCTCAAAGGGAAAAAAAAATGTTAACGCGATTTTATTCAATTATTTTGCAGCATCAATGCTTTATCAATTTATCAAAACTTCAAACTACACGATTTTAAAACAATCTAAATCAAACAAGCACAGTTAATTATTTACTAAAAAAAAAAAAAGATGTAATTCCAACGCAAGAATTTGACGACACAGCAACACAATTCGCTAGTTTTCAATGCAAAACCTCGTTAATCATGTAAATATAATTCAAAGAAAAATCACTAGAAGCAAAAAAAAAACAAAAAATTCAGTTTAAAAGAAGATAAAACTAAAATAAAGTAAATTACGAATAAAATTAAAGTAAAATGGTCCTATAAAGGGTTAACGATTCAAGGACCAACTTTTCACTCTCTCTTTTTCTCTCCCTCTCTTTTTCTGCGCGATAGCGTATACATGTGTGTGTATTGGGAGAGCGGAAAGTTTCGTCGTGTACTTTGGAACATAAAACAATCGTTCGTCGCTTTCATAATCAAGAATTAAATAGTGACTTTATTCGAAAACGAATTCTAATGGAGTTCCTTGGCTTTTTCGTACGCATATATGCAAGTATCCAACGAGTAAAAAATGCAACGTCATTGGAGAATCTAAAAAAGATTCGTATTACCTCAACATTTCCGCACCCTTCACGACAAACTGTACATTAAATATACTGTACATTATTCGTCAGGACAAAAGACGTGTTAGAAGTCTGTTTAAAAAAAAAAAAAAAAAAAAAAATCCCCTCGTTTACTTCTAGAAATCGTAACACATTTTCAGCGCAGATTGGCAACTAGTTCATTGACCAATGCAGCGCGTATGAATTCGCGGACCAACGCAACTCTCCGCAACTGCCCGAAACACCGTTACACCGAGCGAGCGTATAATTAAAAATCTCACTCACTTATCAGGAGATGTCGGAGGAGTGAGCGCGACGGTGCTGAGCGCAGCGGCGTCGGCCGACGACGTATTCTCGTTGTTGGCCGTCGGCGGATTAAGGGCGTGCGCGGCGTTCGCAAGATTCGTCGACACGGCGGCGTTTCCCAGAGTATTTCCCTGCACCTCTGTCCCGGTACTCGATCCAGGACTGGCAGACCTACTGGCGGCCGCGGCTGCTGCCGGCGAAGCTGTTACAGGTTGTTGCTGCGGTTGAGGTTGCTGCTGGTTGTTGCTGCTGCTGCTGCTGCTGCTCTCTTTGTCCTTGACGGCCGCCTTGAGCTTGGCGGTGCCCTTGACAACGTCGGACAATCGATTCTGCGACGAGGACTCGATGCCGACGGTGCCGGTGCCGGCACCGCCGCCGACGTCCGTCGACACCTTACCGTGATCGGCGTCGAGACCGGGCAGAGGCGGGAACGCGGCTGCCTCGAGGTCAAACTGCACGCCGCTGCTACGGCCGCTGCCGCTGCCGTTGCTATTACTGCCGCTGCCGCCGCTCGTTGGCAAGGACTCCTTGATCGCCGGCAGCGGATGGTTGTTCCCAGCTGCTGCCTTCGCGTCCTGATCTTTGGTCCTGCGGTGGATACGGTGTCGGGGAAACGAAGGCGCCGAGGAGGATGGTGGCTCGGCCACCGCCGCTGCGTCCTGGTCTTGCGCGGTGGACGACGAGGAGGAGGAAGACCCCTTCGTGTGCTCGGCGGACGACGCGGCGGACGATGAGGAATGGAACTTTGTGCCGGACTGATAGGAAGAGGAGGACGAAGAAGAGGGCGGCTTCGAGGGAGGCAGGCTCGAAGCGTGGTAAGTGGACGTCGAGGAGCTCAAGGACATGTTACCGCTACCACCACCGCCGCCGCCGCCGCCGCCGGTTATAGCAGGATGGGAGCTACGATTGCTCAGCGGCGGCATGGACGACGGGTTATGGTGGTGATGATGGTGGTGGTGGTGGTGATGATGGTGGCTATTGCTGTTGTTGCTGGGATTGGCGGGGTCTATCAAACAGCCTCGGTCGGAGCCATTTCTTTGTCTATTTCTGTACAGCGGTAACAACAAAAAGACATTCAAACATCTTTTACAATTCAAATGTGATATATCCGTGAACGTAATATCCGGGAGAATAATAAGATTGCAAATCACGCGACTTGTTCGTGTTACTATCGAGCTAGCGTACCTGTGTCGTGGATTATATCTTGTATTTGAACGCGTGAACGTGGTGTGCGGTGTGAGTCCATTCATAAAAACACTGGACATATCGAAATAAGCGGGACTGGTTGCTCCCCAAGGCACCATACCGTGATAGAATGGTTGATGCTAAAAGAATTAAAAAAAAAAATACTTTTCAATTAATCTGTAAATCCACGCAACACACGGCAAACTGTTACAAACAGCGAGAAGAATTTGTGCGGACGCACAAATATTTTTCTACAAAGAGCTTGCGACTGCACACTTACGTAGACGACCTGATTCGCATACGCCGGCATAGTTGTCTGAGGCATGGTCGTGCCGTTTGTATAGACGTAGCGTTGCTGTCCAGCCGTGTAACTACTCGGATCGTAGACAGGGTGAGGGGGTGGAGTTCTATAGCCATTCTTCATACCACCTACACCAGGCACCGTTGGTATCGGTAGCCTGTTCATTGGTTTCGCTTTGATTCGCGCCATTATCGGCTTTCCCTGATTCAAAAGTCAAAATTACACTGTAAGTGTCAGAGTGTTTAAGAAAAGGAAAATGTTCTGCAAGCATTATGTAAACGCAATAATTAATTCATATTATATAATATATGCGTACAAGTATAATTAAATGTGAATACGAGTAAAAAATGATGAACAGCATACAACTACAAATAACTTAGAGATAAAAAAAATTATAAATTTCGTATCTCATAAATCTGATAAATCGTTAAAACTATTTATTTCACTGACGTAAACATTTACATCGCATTTTTATTACTAAATATTCAAAAGAAAATTACAACTCACCTGAAATTCTCGAACCTCCTCACGTAAAAACCGGTAGGCCTTTTGAGCATCTTCGTCGGATTCAAACGTCACGTACCACGCATTATTGTGAGCAAACTCGCACGAGATAAACCTTGGACATCCCTCCCCGGAAAATAAATTCTGCAATGAAAGTATGCGAGTTGGCAAGCTGCGATAATTTTGTTTTCTTAAGACAATTGCAAAATAACTTTGTCGTCACAAACCTTTACATCTTCCAGAGGAGTGCTGTCTGGTATCTCACGAAGTATCACAATACATCGTTTGTGATTGGGCCTCACCTTCTGCCCCTCTTCATCCACTTGCACATTGGGAGACTCCCTCAGCACCTCAGTTATGAGCTTAATATCCTTTGTCAGCTTCTTCACTTGGTTAAAATTTGCTACTGTCCATATCGGCACATACTGATCGTTATCCATTTGTGACACCAAATAAGCATCGCTGGATAAATTTTCCCTGAAAAGGCAATCGTCAAATTATCATCTCATTGCACTGTATTCTTACATATTATGTTTCATGTAAAAGTTTTACAAATTTTTTTGCCTAAAGTTGATTTAATAATAACGTATCTCCCAATAAAGAGTATCTCCCTAAAAAAAAAATAATAAAGTGAAGCTTAATATCTATATTTATTAATTTAAATGTAATCAAAATTTCTATTCTAATTTTAGAAAAAAAATTATAGTAAAAATAATTTTCATGAAAAGTTGCAATTTTATATATATACAGATACAATAGTTTGATAGTTTTTATTAATTTTATTGACATATATGAGATTATATTATAATTATTATGAGATTACATTATAATGACTGAGTAGATTACTGTTTCTCACTCTAGATAGCTGTTTTATTATCTAAGAATTTTATTATCTAAGAATTCTGAGAATGTTAGATCTCATAGCAATTTTAGGTTAGTAATAGTTTTCTTTACTAAGATAAAAAAATCATTATGTAAATATAATGATAACACAATGTATGAGATCAAAGGTCGTTTTTTGAATAAACAAATCTGTAAAGTTAAAGAAAATGTTGAAGAAAGATCTTATGTAATTCATGCAAATGTACGTACTTGCAAAATAACCTTGCAGTTTCATAATTGAAAGTTTCAGAATGTTAAGGACTTTATTACCTGGAGAAATAGTACTCGAGTTGCGTAGAGAGCATTTGTTTAAGCTGATCCAAAGGTATAGAGGGAACATTTAGATCGGCCATTGGTCCAGACGGCGGTGGAGCAGCAGATGCATCATTTAGAGCAGTAACATCCACTGGACTGTATCCAACAGCGCCTCCATGCATTCCTATTGCATGTTGTGGCGACGGTTCCAGGCTGCCGACACTAGGGTCGAGAATCAGTTCATTGCCACTTGGCGCACCGTTCATGACTCCGTAATCTATGTTAGGCACTCCACCACCGATCGCAACTGCAACCTGTGGACCCAGAGGTTCAGGGGTGGCTGGGTAGACCGCCCCTGGTGGCAGCTTCCCGATGTCCCCATTCATGTAAACGTACTCTGAAAAGGCGATCAAGAGACACTTGTAATTATGGCAATGACTCGCTTCCATATTGTGTTAAAGGTCATATATATGTTACGACCAAGAATGATTCTTTGTTTTCCAAAAACAAAACTTGTTGACAACTGGACAACTGTGTTTTTTACTCAGGTCAATTCTATTGTTTTTTTCTGCAATGTTTGAAGTCGATGCAACATACGGACAGTTAAAATCAGATTCCGCATGAATAGCATATATATAATTCTAACCTAATATGATGCAATATGTCCTAGTTATCACATTGGATGTGATTTCTCTGCAACAATACATCATCTAGTTATCATATCAAATACAAATCTTTCATGTGTTTACACTTGTAACGTAACTCCAAAATTGACCTGAGTGATGTTCAATCATGACTCTACATAAAATGCTTAGTCCTTGGACAAATAAACACACCACATATATAGGACAGCGCGACTATTTTTCACGCTATATTCCAAAGAAATACCCATCATTCTTTCAGACTTTCTAGCTGTTTTCTACAGAATGCCACTTGGCATACCAATCGTAGCATATATATATACCTTAACCAGCGGTACAACTTGTGCTTAAGCTAGAATGTTCCATTTGTACAACATACACAGTTCTGATTTTTGTTAACTATCATGAGAACGACAATAGTGTCCCAACAATAATGGAGCAACGATCAGTGGAATCATTTGACTTGAATCGTGTGTCTTAGTACGCAGCACTACTCGATGGACTGCAATTGCGAATCTGCAAATGATGTACAGGACAATGTCCCGTGTGGACGATGCATGTGCAAATGTTGATGATATTCGAAACGAGTGATCTAAGGAAGTAATCGAGCGATAATCACGCGCGTTGCAGAGGTCGCCGACTCGTGACGAGACATGAACGACATTGGCTTCCGCGACGATGCCCGCACACGTTAAATCAGCCGCGGCGATACTCGGCAGCGCGGTGTCGGACTGCGTGCCACGACGACGGCCGCTCGGGAAGACCCGTGGCGCGCCAGGCGAGAATCCCCGCGCAGCAGGACGCGCAATATGTTGCGGACTGCGCGGCGCGTTATCGGCCAAATATAGCGCGGTTGGGACACGGCACGACGGCGGCGAGCAGCCGCTCTCCGACCGAACGACAGCGGTAGCGCGACACGGCAACCACGAGCACGACGGCGACGACGTGGATGACGATAACGGCAGCAGCAACGAGGATGTCGACGACGGCGATAACGAGTACGATGACGACGTGTCGGCACGGCGCAGGTTTAACACGCGGCGCAGAAAGACACACCGATGTAAGGAGGAGGTGATGGTGGCGAAGGAGCAAGAAGCGGCGTGATGACAAAACTACACTCCGATTTGACCGCGTGTTACATCGACGATGATGATGTTGCGTGGTTACGTTGGATGGATTGGATGGATGGTCGTTACCGAAATCACCGTTCATCTCGAGATGGGCTCGGATGATCCCATGTGCCCTGAATCTAGCACTACGAGGTGCCTGCCCGCTCGTTCGCTCGCTCACTCGTCCGCTCGCTCTCGCTCTCTCTCTCTCTCTCTCTCTCTTTCTTTCTCTCGTACGGCCTCGTGCAGATCGGTTTCTCGACTAGAACTCTCGAGGCACTTCGTTGTTCGCTCTCTCGCTCGCAGTTCGTCGTGCGCGCGGGGCGTCGTGTACGCGTTTTACGAACTCGTTCGCTCGTACGTGTTACGTTCGTTCCGAGCCTCTCGTCAATCGACTGAGCCTCGATAAGGCCCGATCGCTGATGGTCCGATCGCTCTGCACGATCGCTCGCTCGCTCGCACGCACACGATCGCGTGCGCGCGACGAAATACGCGACACAGCAGCACGACGGCTGGCGAGACAGGCGGCGGCGAGATTCGCACGTTCCTCACGCGAATTCGCGACGCTGCGCGACGCGCGCGTAACGATCCGCCCTGTGCGTACCACGGCCCACCGCGCCGAGCGGATCAACGCGCGGCCGTTTCGCACGACGATGTTTCCTTACCGAGATGGAAGAATCGAACTCAACACAGTCTCTCGAGCAAACTACAAAATGGCGGAAGGCACATGCCGTGGCGCGCGATGCATTCTGGGACTTCGGTGATGCGCCGATGCAGTAGCGCGCAAGCGCCGCCGCGCGTTACTTTCGAATCTGTAAAATTCCGTAAAAATTTGAATTCCTGCGGAACCGATCTTGCGGACGAGAAAAACGATCAAATGAAATTTCATTCCAATCTACATTTTTAGATCGATAAAAAGCGAAGAAAGCAATAGTTGTCTTGATTTTTATTCTTTTGTACTGTAAAGATATTTTTTACTCTGGATAATTGATTCCTTAAAAAGTGTTGCATAAATGAAAAGAGAATTAAGTTTCTTTTTAAACAATCACGGATATTGAATGTTTTTTTCTTAAATTTAAATCTTTTTCTATCATTTCTAATATGTTCTGTAATACATTTTATATATTTCTAGAATAGCGAAATATTTATTTCATGATAGATATATATGTGTAATATATAGAAATATTCTCTTTACACACAGTTATTGACATTGTTGCAATACTTTGTTGGCTCGTTAAATTAATTCGTAGAAACTCAGATTCTTCGAAACGTGATTATGACGAGCATAGCATAAAGGAAATCGATAAACAACGATAACTTATCTAATAATTTTTTGATGAACTACATCGTTCATTTAACGTACACTTGTACGCACTTGCAATATCACACATGATGATAGATAATCATTTTGATATATCTATAAATTTCTTAATTAGCTCAAATTTCTTTTGCCGATTAGCGTTATATACGTTGACATTGTCAAGTAAAAAAAGATTTAATTTTATATTAACAAAATCTAACGAAAAAAATATTGATATAAAAATAATTAAGAAAAATTAATACTCAAAAAAATATTTTAATTCTTAATCAACTGATAAATTTACAGTAAATTGGAATGGAAAAAAAGGATTGGTAAATATATACATTCCTCAATTACTCATGTATTTTATATTTATTTATCTAGAACAGCCACATTTTCATTAATTCTCATTATTATTATTTCAAAACAATTCACCGTTTAATTAGTACTGCTTAAAAAGGGGGAAAAAAACAAGAATGAAGAGGATGCACGGGGTAAAGGTAGGATGTCTTCTCTAGAAAAGGAAAAATCGAAATCTGATCCTACAAATATTCAACAAATTATCACAATCAAAAACGAGCACGAAACATCTTCCATTTTCGACATAAAAGTAAAAAAAAAAAGAAAATTTTCTAAATGTTCTTCGCTGCAAGACAGGGGGGATATAGAGTTAATGGTGGACACCGAGGAAGGGAGAGCGCCGAATTAATCGGGAACCTACGGTTTACGCTTTGCTGCCTTCTCGGAACACGTCTATCGCGCCCAGATACATACTACCTAACGCAAGAACGAACATCCATCCGGCGCTGCTAATTACCGCTTGTTCATCTATGTCTCCTCTTCCTCCTCCTCCTCCTCTTCTTCGACAATGATTATCAAAATCAGGTGCGTCTTGCCCTCTACAAGGCAGGAGCTTACCTCAGTGATCGCTATCACCTAACATAAGGCTTACAGTGTGACGTATTGCTTTTATCTCGAGAAAAGATTCTGATCAGAATAGATATAATGCCTATATGCCGGTTGTACGACTATATCCTCCCTTTCTTTGCTATTATCTCCTTTCCTTCCTTCCTTCTTTCTATCTTTGTTTTATTTGCTTTTATCCTCTACTGTTTACTTCTCTCTTCGTTTTGTTTTCTTTTTTATTGTTGAAATATATATGCGCGCGTATGTGTATGTATATATATGTGTATATATATATGTATATATATATATATATATGCTGATGTGATAATATAATCGGGATATCCCACGAGGAGTTTAGTAACTGATATACAGATTCAATTTAAGACAATGATGAAGCGCTGACAAGGGGCGGAGCTGTCTGTTGTTGTAGATTGTAGGTTGTGGCATGGATGATTGTTGTTGTTGCTGTTAAGTCGATTTAAAAACCATGGACTTTCAGCTGGTCAGGTTTTGCCAGACCTGACTTTGTTAGCCACTGGCATATATTCTCTCGTTGGTCCCCCTGCAGCTGCAGCACCTCCCCGTACTCTGGGTGCTCGATTACTGTCCCATTGCAGGCAAACTCCTATGTAAACATATATTAACAATACTTTACTCGCATTCTCACAAATAGCTCATATTTTGTTGGAAAATGTATCTTTAAAAGATGTTAAACTTTCCTAATAAATACACTTAGACATCAATGAGAATCTTTCATTAATGCCAATGCAGTGCACAACACAATGTTCTATTTTATATTCTTAAACAAAAATTCATATTAATAACTTGATAAAAGAATGCATTTTTATGCTATAAATAAATCATATTTAAATAAAGTTTATAAAAATAAAATTGCTTTAATGAATATTATGCTACAATTGATTAAAATTTTATTTCTATTATTGCTGTTATATGTGGTAATAATTTTCTATATAATCAAATATCACCGTATCAAAACATATTTCTATAAAAAAATAATTTCTAACGTATAAAAAGTGTGTTTCTTAATAATTTTACTTAAACATACAAATAAAAAAAAACTTTTGAAAAGAAAATACTAAATATTGAATACTAGATAACATTGACGTCAAATAGTCACATATCAATTAATGATTCATCCAACACTTAATAAAGCAACTGCAAAAGGCCGAGTCATTGATGACTCTCAATCGAAACAAAGAATATCCCCCATCACATGTCAAATCACTTATGGATGCATTTAAAGGCTGCAAAACTTGCAAAACTATGTTTGCTCACTGTGTATCATTGTGGTTGTTTGCATCAGACCTATTTTTAGAGTTCTACCTGACTGAGCAATGGTAGGAGATAACAGGGAGGGAGAGATATGATGATGGTGGAGAGAGGAGTAGAGGAGGAGGCGGAGGCCAAAAGGGTAGGAGAAAGGATGGATGGAAATCCTCAGTGGGAAAGCCGATTCCCGTACCTTTTTACATGCTCTCACGATTTTCTTCAAGTCATATTCCGAGGAGAGTCCCTGCACCGTTGTTAGGGTCTTGCGACCATTCCGCTGCTGAATTCTTATATGCACGAGGCCGTCTTGGACGTCATCGTCTGAACCCTTGATTGCATCCGCAAAGGGGTCTGCAAAAGAGGAAGAAACGATATTTCATGATGAGATGCGAGCGGATTGCACAGGATGATGCAAGGGTCGCGCGCGATCAACGCCGTCGCCATTTTGATTGCCTCGAGTACCCCCGAGGCGGTAGTGCCGTTTTATCGCTTTCGTTTTGCGAGAGACGGCGTGATGAGACGGGATACAGCAGTGAGAGAGAGAGAGACAGAAAGAGAGAGCGAGAGCAAGCAAGAGAGAGAAAGAGAGAGAGAGAGGGAGAGAAAGAGAGAGATGGTGGGAGAGAGGGATTGATAATGCGCGTTTCGCTACTCACCGAATGTGTTGAGATTCTGGATGGACATACGACAAACAAAAGAGATCCCTCGGATGATATAGAACTGCGGAGCGCAGGTGTTGATCGTAGGGCAGAACGCGACGAACGACAAACTTGAACGGTGCAAGGACACTGCGGAGAACGAATCGACGAAACCAAGCGCGATGGCCGTGTACGCAGCCGGAAGTAAAAGTTGCATTTGTCACGGAGCGATGGGTGGGGTTGTGCGCGTTCAGTGCGTTCCTAAAGCGAGCTGAAATCTCTCCAAGCGCGCGCGACTGGTGGACGTCACGATGACGTCGCCGATAGCAAAGAACATAATTGGCGCGTAATAGTATAGTGACAAAACATTGACGAATGCGTTGAAAAATGTGATTGGTTCGGAAAATATGATGGATCGCGTCCTCTTTGCAAGAAGCGATTAAAATCGTTCTTTTGTACAGCATTTCGCATCTAAATATTATGTGATTAATGTTCGGCGCAAAATATAAAAATCAACTTGATCGAAGACTAATAATGTTAAATAAAAGAAATTTAGTATGCCGTAAAATAAAAAATATCATTATTTAATAAACGATTTATTAAAAATCTGACAAAGTGAAATTTTCTGCTAAAATTAAAGCTTAATTTTTTTTTTTTTTAAACATTTTATACACAATCCAACATCTTTCTCAGAAATTTGAATTGTACTTTCTAAATCGAGACAAATTTTATTTTATTTTACATCAGTTCCTTTTACATATACCGTCGCAGTTCTATCCACATAATCTTATACGATTATCATTAACGACTCAATATAAATCATGTTGCCATAAAAAATAACAGCAAGCCGTCTGTTAGTCTTCTTCATGATTGTGATACAAACTGTTTGGAGACAGAGAGATAAAGAAAATTAAAATTGGAAATCAATTCAATGCGATTTTGATGATTTTTGTACTCTACAATACTCATTTATAAAAAGTAATCTGCTTGCGGCTTCTTGCTGGGTATGCCGCGACTTTCCTGCGGCGCCGCTTCGAATATCGTAAAATCTCTTTGAAGATGTTCGTTTAATTCCAATATTGCTGCCACGTTGCCGCATCTATAATTACAAAACATAATTTATGTAAAAGGATATAAGAATCTTGGTATCTTGCAATTCAATTTTTTAACATTTAAATACAAATAAAATATTATAATAAATACAGTTTTCTAAAAGTACAAGATAAATAAAAATAAAATTAAAAGATACTTAAAGACAAGAAATGTGTGTAGCAAAAATAATACTTAATACAATTGCAATGTTTTTTCTTAAAAAAATGCGAGTGCAAAGATTACCTGTAGCAGTAATTTGGTGCAGACCAAACAGTCAGCACAGTCTCGTTGAAGTGCCATTTGTAACCTTCCATCACCAATTGATGAGCTCTGCATATCATATCAATATCGTTGGCTGAGTTAAATTGCGCTACCACGTCGCTGCCGAAAAGATAACCGGCACCACGTGGCGACACACCCCAGCCTTGGGTGTCTTCAGGATCAGACCATAATAAATCACACATTGGCCCATCATGAGGAACCTGTACATCATTGAACCAGAAGCATTTAATTAAGAAAATCATAATTTAATCAATTTTTAAATTAACAAAATTTTAGAAACATTAAAGTTTATACAGTTTCTAATATTAAGCTCTAAGTGTTGATAGGTCAAAATACAGAAGATAATTAGTTCCATACATTTGTTGCTGCAAGAAAATTATGGTACAATAAAACATTTTAAAAAACTCACTTCTTGTTTTCTATCTATAGTCCGAATTTGATCCAGAGTCTGGATACTAGGTGACAATCCACCATGAACACAGAAAATCTTGCCATCAATGATAGCAGATAACGATAGGTAGTCAAATATCTCCGTGCAGTATCGCCATACTGTTATACTGCCATATTTACGTAAGCACTCATCATAAAATCCATAAACCTGTGTTATTTGTCGGGATTCATGATTTCCTCTTATCAATGTAATTCTATCCGGATAACGAACCTATATAGATAAGACAAAGATAATTTATATAAAACAAAAAAAGATCTATCACAATAACAAATTTCTTAAATTCTTAAGTTCTATGACTTCAAAATTAATTTTAAATAAATTTGGTCCAAATGTGAATAAAAATTAACATTTTATAATGTACTTAAATAAAACAAAAGCAATGCGTATCATTATTAATATCAATATATTATTATCTAAATTAGTATTAATGTTGATATCACATTAATATAAATAAATAATACCTTTAGCGCAAGAAGAAGAAGAAATGTTTCGACACTATAAAAGCCTCTGTCTACAAAATCTCCCATAAAAAGATAATTTGTTTCCGGCACATCTCCACCTACTTTGAACAATTCCTTTAAATCATAAAATTGTCCATGGATATCTCCACAAACCTAAAAAATCATATCGCATTCCATTTATCATGTTTCATAATCCACTTTTGATGATTAAATCACTCTTTATAAGAAATAAAGATAATAACTGTCACAGGTGAATCAACACGTTGTACATTGCTCTCTTCAATGAGAATCTCCCGTGCCTTAGCACATAAAGCTTTGACCTCTGCCTCCTTGATAATTTCGCATTTCTTCAGCTGTTCGATTTGCCGATCCAAGTCACTGGACTCGGTCATCGTATGGCACAGAAATGAACTAATTGAGGTTTCTCACCAGGAAGCGCAATGTTGTGGACACCTCTCACGTGCCCGTTCAAACTCTTGCAGGTTTGATTTATGTACCGAGTCTCGTACAAGTAAACCGCGAAATAACTGTCACAGAAAAAGGAAAATAAAGACGCAGTCAAATGAAAAGGACGAAATGAAGTAAAACACAGAAACATGCATGAGAAGAATTCTACATTAAACACAATACTTACAAGCTACAGATCTAGTCGTGGTGCAATTTGGGGTTTCACGGCCGTAGTCAACGCATTTGACGAGCAAATCTGTAAAGTTTCTCTAAATACTAAAATATTATGAACAGAACTAAAACGGAACCCTCGTACTGACGAAATACTCCCTGCACTCGTTTAACTCGTTCCAAATTACCCCAAATCGTTCACAGTCTTTCGCAGTGCCGACACTAAATTGTTTAACGTAGGCACAGAATTAGAAGTACAGATTGATGGTGAACGTTGAAGAACAAATTTGATTCCAACCGTCAGAGCCGTAGGACATGTATACTATAACTAGATGCGGTATCCAATGGGAAGACTTTCTTTCTAGAAACAAAATTGTCAACTAAAATCTCTAGAAAATCTAGTTTTTTTTAGAAACGTTTAGATGGCGCTGTGTCACACATAGTATTTAATCGAATGACGGTTGATAACTCTTTCAGTTGGTTGTGACTAGAATTGTGCTTGTTCAAATTTGATAGAATTCGTTACGGGAGTATTTTATGAGTAAGTATATACAACTGTATGGTGTAAGTTTTTAATTAAAGAAGCAACTTACGATATAAAGTTTTTAATAAGATATTTTTTATGATATTAACAGTGTTTAACATGCGTTTTTTTTCATAAAATAATCTGTAAGTCCTTATTAATGTCTGTCCTTATTATTATCTGTAGGTCCTTAGAATGACATAGTTTGTTATTCAAGTTGCAGTTTGTTAAAGACTTGTACAGGATGGATCCGCTTTATTCTGTACTACAAGCTGAACCAAATAAGCAAAAGGAACCGTTGGATGCGAATAAGAGCGTCCGTTATAGCATATTGCTTGCACCTTTCCAACCAACAACAAAGATTGATCTTGAGACTGTCATTAACACCAGCACGGAATGTTATTTGGATATAATAAACACTGGTTTTAAAACATTACATGTAAGAAAACTTTTTATAAATTAAGTATTCATATAATTTCCTTCTAAATAGAAAAGCAATAACATGGTAAATATTTTTTATATAGAAAAACAATGATATTCTTGCTAAATATTTATTCTAGAATACTTCTATTCATTGATTTTTACTTTGATTTATGTTGTATTCTGTGCAACTTTCAAAAGGTTTTAACAATTATTTGTAAAGTGATTATTTAACGAAACCTTTAATAGTTATCAAATTCTTTTCTAAATTATTTTATTTTATTTTAATCATATTTTTCAGGTAACTGTAACGAAATTACCATGTGTGGAACGTCAAATTACCTTAAGTTTATCTGAATTAAAAATTAAAGAAAATAGTGTTGGCACAATACATATCACATGGTTTCCCAAAGAAGCAGGATGCTGGAGAGATGTAGTGCAACTGACCGACAACAGACGAATTAAATATGACATTATAATAGGAACAACTGCTAAGAGTGACAAGAAAATTAAGAGGACAGGAAGGAAACCACTGTTACCAAAGCCAAATGTTGTGTCCGTGTCAGCGGCAAAGAAACCATTTCAGCGAAATAAAACATCATCAAAAACTTCAACCACAACAACTCAGCCATTAGTTAACAATCTTGATACACAAGTTAAACAATACAAATCAAAATATGAGAGCGATCTGAACAAGGAGAATGTTTTTAGTAAAAATAGTGAAGTAAAGATTAATATTTTGCGAGAAAAAGATGATGAACATAGTAAAATTAATAGGAATCATGAATGCAATAAGCCAGATGTCTTTGACCACAGCATGAATGTGTCCTGGAAAGATGGAAGTGTTTTGCCGCAAACTTTTCTTCCTTTGAATAGGCCGCAAGACATACGTAGAGCCACGTATATTAAAGAAGAAAAATCACTCAACAATATATTACATAAACACGATGAAAGAGTTACTGAAAACGCAGCAAATATGAGAAACACTGCTCAGTTTGATATTTCCACAATGTTAAACAAGTTTACTTTGACGTCTGCTGATGCACTTTTGAGTTCTCCGCAAGTGATAAAAAAAGAATTAACAGAGTCCACAAATTTGCAGGATTCAGACAAACATAGGACTTTCGACATCATCGATGGTCAATTCTTGGAAGCACCTGCAACACAAGCAGCAGACTTAAACAATTTATCACTGAATAAATTTGAGATGTCCTTTGTAACTGATGTGAATGGTTTAATTGCATCGTCGCCGATTGGGAAGCTTCAACATTGCAATATGTCGAAAGAATCTAAAGAACACTTGAAGCATTTCACACTGGATGTAAATCAGGGCGCTCAAAAACCTGAATGCGAATACTTTAGTTTTGAAGTTTGTCCTGAGAATATAGAAGCCAAGAAAGCAGGAGATTTATATATTGAGATTTCCCCGCCGAAACATTCGCACTCATTTTTTATGTCATTAAAATCCAACACGAGAGCAGGCAAAATAACAAAAAACAAAACTTTGTGTGATATGAAAAGCGCAAAGAAATTTAATGTACTTTCCACAAGTGAGTTCTTCTCTTTTAAACTTTTTTTTTTAAATTTATATCAATTTAAAATTATCTAAAATAGATCAATCAAATTATATCAATACTGATGTAACGTGTTAATACTGATTACAGAAAAGGGTAAGAAGAAAATAGAAGCAGCAATCAAGGCAAACAAATTGTCTCTCAGCTTGAGTAAAGCAAAGTGGAATACTTCGTCATCCTCCAAAGAAACAAGCTTTAGAGTGGAGGACAAGGAAGAATCTTTCATCTACGAAGCATTTGAACTGGATCCTTTTGCACCATCCACAATAGAGGACCCATTCCTTAAAAAGTTGGTTAAGGTCTTTATATATATATCACAATACTTTACATTAATATATGAGAAGCAAATCTTTGGACATGAAGAAAATTTACTCAATGTAAACTCAAGTTTGTTAGAATTGAAACATTTTGTCACTTATTTAGATTATTTTTAATCAAAGTCAAAATATAACATATTTGAAACTAATTTGAAAGAATTTAAGTTTACATCGATTGACTTTTCTTCACGTCCAAGGATCTACGTTGGTTTCATATAAATCTTATATTTTTTATTATCTAAAAAACCTATAATATTTTTATCTTATAATATAATTACAATTTTATATTTTTATAATTTATATTTATGTGCAATTTTATCGTAACATTATATATATATATATATAACTACAAGTCTGTTTTTTTACATTAATTTGCGAAATAAAATGCTGCAAATTAACATTTATCGATGCTAATAGTTGTAACATGTCGATTATTATAACAGTACAGTGCATTATGACGAGCAATGGTTGCTGCAGCAAGAACTGGTGTTCACAAAGTGGTTAAATGCTCTGCTGTCTTCACCAGAGGACTTATCTACCGATATAGAAACCGTAGCGGATATCGGCAAAATATGGCAGTTATGCAAAACGCAAAAGGAAACTGTGCTGGCTGAAACCAAGGAGGTGGTATCCGCTAGGTGTGCATTGATAATAGATTTACTCTAGATTTACGACACGAAGATCAATATTAAACAATTGCAAAACGATGGCAATTAATTTAACGAGCACGTCATTTTCAGATATCATACGAGCATCAAGTTGAACATATTGCGAAAAGCTGCGAGTGCCATGTTTAATCGCACCGAAGTCACGGAGGTTCTTTCACGCACCAACATGTGCATCGTCAAAGGAACTTTTTGCATCAGATCAGATCGCAATCTACAGCGAGATATTGGTAGGCCGATTAATTTATTTCTACGCATTTGCGCGTGCTTCAAGATAAAAAATACTTTTGGAAATCTTGTAATTTTCTTTATCTCAACTTTTTTCATGTGACCAAAGAATGTTTAGTCAAAGGAAAAGTTGATGTCTCTTAAAAGTGAACTTTATACCTCTTAAATGCTTGAGTTAAATCACGAAACATCCAATTATCTGACGGCAGGTTTGCAGAAGCTCATATTGGGATTGTTTTTCTGCTACAATCCACTATGGCTGCGTATTGGCTTGGAAACCATATACTGCGAAAGCATCCCTCTGCGCTCAAACAACGACATCGTCGGTCTGACCCGCTTTCTACTGGCAAGATTTTTCTCGGATCCGCGATTGACGAAGATGCCCGGCTATCATAAATCCGATCCGAGCCAGAAGTTCGTCACGCAACTGAATCAGTTTATTCTGAAGAAGTTCTTGTTCCTTGTATACTTCCTGGACTACGCGAAGCAGCGCAAGCTAATCGGCCACGACCCGTGCCTGTTCCACAAGCGCGCCCAATACAAGGAGAGCCGCGACATCCTGCTGAGCTTCACGCGCGAGCTCCTGAGCGGCATCGGCGACGTGACGAGGGTGCTGCGGGGCCACAATTACGTGCTCAGCCATCGGCAGACCTACATCGAGGAGTACGATTACGCGATGGTGAATATACGACACGATCTGCGCGACGGCGTGCGACTGTGCCGCGCCATGGAGCTCATCACCGGCGCTCGTGGATTGACCCAACGTTGCCGAGTGCCGGCGATATCGCGCCTGCAGAAGGTGCACAACGCAGAGATGGCACTCAACGCCCTGCGCCAGGCCGGCTACACGCTCAAGGGTGACATCGACGCGAAGAGCATCGTCGACGGTCATTGCGAGAAGACGCTGTCGCTTCTGTGGCAGATCATTCACAAGTACCAGGCGCCGCGATTCGATCGGTCGTCACGCGTGATCCAGAAGTGGTGGCGGGCGAAGCTCTGGTATATCAATGTGAGGAATCACCTCCGTGCACGCAGAAATTGCGCCGCGGTCACAATTCAACGTGCGTGGAGACGCAGACTGCACTCCTGGCGATATGTGCCGGCTAACAACGATCTTGAGGAACGCAAGCGGTTCTTGCTCGTCAGACGGTCTGCAATATGCGTTCAGCGATGGTGGAGGCGGATTCGCGAAACGAAGAGACTGCAAGAGATAAAGAAGACGCGCAAAGCGGTGATTATCCAGAGAAGGTGGAGAGCCTTGCGGCTGATGCGCTCGCAGCGAGAGCAATATCTTCAGCAGAGAAATGCTGCATTGTTAATTCAGAGACGCTGGAGAGCAACGCGGATGATGCTGGCGCAACGCTTTCAATTTGTCGTGCGCAGATACGCCGCTCGGAGAGTGGCATTCTGGTGGAGAAACAGAAAAATCATGCGGGAGCAGCGCGAGCGATTTCTCCAAATGCGAGAGAGCGCGTGTGTCATCCAGGTTTGGTGGAGGCGACGTTTATCAGCGCGAAAAGCGCGTAACAATTTTTTACTGGCAAAAGTTTCCGTACGAACCATTGAGAGATGGTGGATGAGTGTGATCGATAGAAAACGATTTCTTCAATGCCGAAAGAGCGCTATTCTCATTCAGCGAGCGTGGCGAGAGTGTCGAGCGCGCAAGCGAGAAGCCGCTTGCGCGAAGATACAGGCTTGGTGGAAAGCTGCGCTACGCTCGCGCGAGTACAAGCTTCGGAAGTCTTGCTGCGTGAAGTTGCAGCGTTGGTGGCGCGGAGTCGAGCTCGCGAGACGTCAACGCGCGGAATTCCTGCAACTGCGGAACGCGGCGTTAATCGTCCAGAGAAGATGGCGAGCGAAAGCGGCCCGAAGACACTATCTGAAACAGCAGGCGGTCTTGAAAATACAATCCTGGTGTCGCCGTGCTAAAGCAGCGAGGATTGCACGACAAAATTACCTGAAGACGAGAGGCGCCGCGATACGCGTGCAGAATTGGTGGCGTAGCGTCACGACGGCACGCCAGGAGCGCGGAAGATACTTGCAGCTTCGCAGGAGCGTCGTTCTTCTGCAAAATCATTGGCGCCGACGTGCTTCAGCACGCGCGGACCGTGAGCGATACTTGTCGAAGAGACGGGCGTGCATCGCTCTGCAATCCTGGTGGCGAATGATCAAAGCCAAGAGCGAGTACGGGCGCTACAAGAGCTGCGTGCTCACGGTACAAAGACGATGGCGCGCGATAAGAGCCGCCCGCGCGAAGAAGAAGGAACAACTGCTGACACGAGCGGCCGTCGTCGTGCAAGCTCGCTGGAGAGCTTTGACGGCGAGAAGACACTTTCTCGCTTTGCGCCGGGCTGCGATGGTCGTCCAGTCGCGTTACCGAACGAAGATCGCAGCGCGGAGGTACAAGATCGTCAAGCGTGCGGCGTTAACTATCCAGATGCACTGGCGGGGCAGACGAGAGAGACTGCGTTATCTGTTCCTGAGACGAACAGTGATCGCGCTGCAACGTTGCTACAGACAGAAGGAAGCTGCGAAGAAGCAGCGAGAACACGTCGCCTCCATCGCCACGAAGATTCATAACGAGTGCGAGGACATTATGCAAATAGATGACAACGTCACCGCGGAACTCGCATCCCAAAACAGCTACTACTGGCAAGACAAGATCGACGTGCTGCGCAATTGCAAGTGCGTCGGGAAGATGATTCTTTGCCTGAGCACTTTAGGTGGGTTCGCTTCAGGAATGTCGCGCGATCAACGCTTTTCTCGCGATGATTGCGTTTTTATGAGAAATCTTGGATTGTCTAAAGCTTCGATTTAAAATGCTAAAGTCAGTCTAAAACTTCGTTGCCTATGCTATAATTTGTTCTTCTGATCTGAAGCGTGTAAATTAATTTGTATCCCCCCCGTAGATACCATGACAAAATTGTCAATGACCATCTGCGGCATAGTGTGCGAGTTGAACCTGACCGATGACATTTACAACACGTTAGTGCAGTACAACAGATCCATGCCGTGGATGAAGGTTTATCTACAAGCGTGCAGCATTTTGATCACTCTGGCAAAATATTCTCACACCAAAAAGTATGTCCTCAAGGTAAGATTAAAACTCGATGAATTCACCTCTCCAACATTGATCGCAGTGTTAAAACGAAAGAATTTTATATCGATTGTTAGAAAAACTACGCATTGGGATTAGTGAAGCTTCTAAGCAAATCGTTGAAAGACAAGGACGTATTTCTACATTGCGCCACTTTAATTTGGCTGCTCAGCCAGGATGAAGATTACTTGAAGGTATGTTTTGCTAAATTAAGCTGAAAGCAAGTAGAATTTTTGCAACATTTACTGTATCACTTGTATCTTTGAAATCTCTAGTCTTGCGAGTTCTTTAACTCGCAGCAATTGTTACTACTTGAATATTTATAATTGCGCATACAAGTATCTTGTGACAATTATTTTTTAATGCACAATTAAATATCTTTCAGAATATCACAACATGTTCGGAAATAAACTGGCTGATGAGAAACATTAAACAGAAAGTTTTGAAAGACATCACTGCAACGAAATTCCAGAAATTGAAGGATTTAAAGCACTTATATCCCAGCTGCGAGCCTGATCGCTACAATCGGGAAAACCCCCGTCTTTTTGCCGATATGACTGTGGCCGTTGTCGCTCTTGTTAGCAGAATTGGTACATGATATTAATTCACAAGGTTGGTAAATAATTTTGTTAAATTTTGAAAAATTTTATATTAATCTGTAAATATACATGATATTATTTGGAACGTCGTTTGATCTTTGTGAAACTCGGATCGCAAAAGCATAAAAGTGATCAGCTATAATGATCTAACAAATCTTATGCACAAGAAGATAATCTAAAGAAGTCAAGAATACGGGAAGCCAGAAAACAATTAGTTACTTCAAAGAGTTTTACCTTCCCTCGCATGCACACCCACAGCAGATTGTAACTAAAAAAAAATAAAAAAATAAAAAAAAGTGCTAAAATCGCATATCGAAGAATTGGCAATCTCGCGACTGTGAAGCCGCAAAAATCAAGACAATTATTAATAACAATTATTAATTATTTAATAACCGACTCATTCCTAAAAACGTGGCAGAACACTGGCAACGCGCGATGACAACTCGATCTGCGTATGATACAATAAGAGATAAATGTAATCTTTATTTACAGTGCTACTCACAAATAAAATTAATAATAATAATATTAATAATAATGCCGGGATGAGAGATGACAAGTGATAATGAAGATGACAGTAATGATAATAATAACGATGATAATGACGATGAGCATGATAAATTATAACTACATAATAGTGATAAAACCGTAATTAGCAACAGCAGCAGTAGACTCGATAGTAATAATGATTGTAGTGGTAGTTAGTCGTAGCGGTAGCAATAATTGTATTTCCTTGACTTAATTATCATGTACAGACTTAAGTTCTTTGATCTGTTTAATCAGATACGCCTTCTCATCGTTAAATTGCTCATCCTCGGAACGGTCTGTATGGAAGCGCGTCAGGAATTCGATCAACTTCTCCTGATTGCGGAGCAATATGTCCAGAATGGGTTTCGGCTTGTTGGGATTTGCGACAAATACCTGTATACAATTTAAAAACATGATTTTTAACATTTCCTTTCCATGCTTTTGCTAGGATTTTTTTGGCATCATGTTCGCGTTTCTTGATCTGAATTAAGCATTTTTGGCATGTTTCGTTAATGTTATGTTTTTCAAGACGATTACAGAAACTCTCGAGCGAGGTGGACACTTTTTATATTTTGAACAAATATTAAGGAACAAGAAATTTTCAGTAGTTTTTTCTCGTCATCTCGATTGCGCTTTTTACTTGCACTTTTCTTGTTTATGATTTGTTAGAATATAAAGTTCCTATAAATCGTCCTGATAAATATAATATGAAGAAAAAAGCCTATTATTTCTGTACCTTGAAGACGTGGAAAGCTTCAAATTGTATATTGCGAGACTTTTCTTTCAGCATATTCATCATTAACTTCAAATTATCTGGATTCGATATATATCGTGTCATGACCTGCAACAGTTTCATATTTATAACAAATAACATTTATTAATAATTTTTTATTAATGACTGAAACAAATTAATATACATTGGATGTTAAAAATTTTGCTAATGACTTTCCATTATTGTACAGGCTTGTTTGCTATTATATTGCAATGTATTTCTAGTTATTAAATCAAGCAATCTAATTATGATCATTAAATATAACTGAAAACTTGTATCTATCTTTAGAATTTTTAATAAATTATTAGAATTTTAAATAATTATGTTCAAATAAATTATTGCTGTTGTTTTATTGAAAACTGTGTGCATGCATAAAAATTTGATTGAAGATCTCTCTCTAGTATAATTGTGTGTATTAAAAGTATGGACGAGTTTTGCGATCGGTCACTTACAGTAAAATTGTGTCTATCAAGCAGTAATTCGCCCAGCAGTTTTAAGCTCTGTCGTCGTGTGACATAATTTTCCGAATTGAGTAACCTTTGATAGTGCGAGAAAACTTTATCATAATGTATCTCTAAAAATTCTGCGCTGAGTATCTTGTGCCTCGTGAGTAATTCCTGCAGAGTTTTTTAATTATAGTATTAATAATTAAAAAATATAAATGTTTTTCAAGATACACATGTAATTTTATGTTTTTGCATCGTAGAGCGCGACGTACTTTGAACGTAGAAAAAGCATCGGACGCGATATCGAACGTAGAGACTTCGACGTATCTGAAGAAGTTGTAGAAATCGTCCGAATAGATCATAATCTTAGCCAGTGCCTCGTATCTCGCGCACTCTCGCAACATTGTGCCACAATTGAGTGCAATGTCTTGATGCTCGTAACTGCGAAGCACAAAGCACATCCATTAGTAAATATAAAATTTTATCGTGCTGCTGATGTTAAAAGAAAAGATACTCACCCAGACATAAGTGTAAAAAGGATTTCAGGTTTGGTACATATGTACTCTACGGTGGGTGATCTAGTTCCGATCTGTCTCCGTAGAATATTATTAAAAACCTGCGCGACATCCTTCTTCCCCTTAATAAGCGAGATAATAAAATTTGTAACGATTATTAACTCGTACATTTTCGAAAAAGAATGCAAAGCTCTAAATAATTTTATTAAGTATTATCTAATATATTAATAATAGCTTAGCCTGTTAATTACATGTTACTTTAACTAGAATTTTTTGTCCATATGATGCATTTTCAAAAAAATGCTGCAAATTGTTACAACAAACATTCTAATATTTCGATATAATTTTATTCTTTGTTTAATGAATATTATATGATAAGAGTGCTACAAATTAATCACTCAAACTATTTGTGTATCAAAGGCATACCTCGAAGTCGATGCGACTCAGATTTTGCACAAGCAGAAGAAGCAGATTGCTGTTGTACAATTCCTGTGCCAGTTGTGCTACCACAATATCAGCCTGTGGCTCTGTCTCGGCCGTGCCGTATAACATGTTTTTAATGTGTACAAGATTCTTGCTCACATCTTCTTGCGCCTAAAAGAGGACGTATTTCATCGTAGAAACCAACGCATATCAGCAACAACATACCTTCTCTACCTTCTTGTCGCCACGTTCCAACGCATTTACCGCCTCCTTCAGAGCCTTCACCACCTCCGCTGGACTCTTCTGGGACTTTCCAAACAGAGGCATGTTTTCTTACAATGTATGCACCTTATGAAACATATTCAAAAGAAACAGAAATTCTTTATTATTTCCCATTATGTCAAGAATATCCCTAAAAAATGTTCACAATGTGTGAAAGCGTAATTTCACAATATTCATTGTTAAATAAGTATATTTTTAAATGTATATTTTTAATGTTAAATTAAATAACTTTTGTGTTTGTTATATCATAATTTTCAGATTATATTAAATCACATTATAGATATAATGAAAAATTCAAATTTTTCATAAAACTGGAACATTAAACAAAACTGCATCATTATAGCTTATACAATATAATAAAAATCAGGATTAATGATTATGAAATTAATTTTTGTGTGTAAAATTGTAAACAACAAGTTTTATCGTCTACCTTTTGGATGTCTACAAACTCTGCGTAATTCCTGTCTGAATTATACATACAATGGCTACAAACACATCCTCAATGTCAACAATGTCTGTGATGATTGTAGTATTAATCGTATCAACGATTTCCTCCTTTGATTTCGCGAACAATCGAATCTACGTACAATAAGGCATCGTCGCGAAAAAGAGAAATCGTTAGATGCTCTAACCTCAAAGAGTGATTTTTAATCGAGATCGTCAAAACATCTGATTGGAGCAATCGGGTGAAATCAACAGAAATGGAATTGCCGTTTGCACGTTATACTCTGAAAAAGTTAAGATGCGTCTTGAGACGCGGAGAATCGCGATCGGTGATGTACGACTGATAATAATCGATGGAACTCGTCGAAGTGGGGTTCATGCGAGGTTACGAGGCACAATTCTAACCTAAAATTCGGTCGCTTACCATGCAACGGAGATCCGAGCGGTGTTCAGATCGTCTCGTTCGCGACTCGAACGTGCAAACACATGCAAACACGCTTGAAATCCACCTTGGTTGCGGCGGTGGCGAAGGACGATTGTATGTCACCGATACGTGTCACATCAGAATCCGCAATCTTCTATGTATGTAACGTATACACGGCTGTATATCGGCTGATGGCGAATCTATTTGCAATTTCGTATCGTGCGGCTTTACGCAGCAGCACTACGTATATATGTACACACAAGGTGAGTCACGAGATCAAGACGATCACCAGATGCTCGATTAACAAGGAATGAGCGAGTCGCGGCCTGTCGAGCTTGTCGCGACAGCCGATCGTATTGCTCCTTCAATCGTGCAAGAGTAAAACGAAGCGATCGCGAATCGACGTAAGCAAACAGCTCCGATGGCGAGTTGCTCGACTTTCCTCGACTTATGGTTCACCCTGTAGTATCGTGTAGTCAGTGCTCTCGGTTCTCAAACAGGCCACTTTTTCGCGCATGCGTGATAGATACAGCAATGTACGACGAACATTGAGATTGAATTCATAGGGATGAATGATTTACGAAGGAAAGTCAAAAGGGACATTCTCAATTGATTTAAAAATCGGAAAAATTCCTTTTTAAAATTACTTTTTAACTTCTCTTCATAGCTATATTGAATATTCAATAATTTAACTATTTGATATCCAATAAAAGAATTTGTTTTCCGCACAAGGTATTGCTAGAATCCCTAGAATGTAAGTTCTTCTATTGGATATCAGATGCCAGGAAATTTCACTATTAATATGATCTGCTATACATCACATAAAAATTAACTGAAAAAATAATAAATTACACAAAGAGAATTTAAGGTATACAACTTTTAAGCAAGTTGGGAAGATTCCAAAAATTATAATCTATTTATAAAGTTAAAGTAGCTTTATTTTGCAGAATTATAAATAATTATATTCCTATTTAAGCGTAACACGATATTATTTAAGCTTACATATATTCGTGTATGTGTATGCATTATTATCTCCTTCTACCTGTTGCACAGTATTAAACACAAGAAGTTAAATTAATAAATCAATTGTAAGAAACACCACGATTATAGAATGGACACAGCCCAAGCAAGCGATAGATTATACTTTCAGTTTTCAGAAACTGAAATAAACCATCTGCATTACATGAATGGAGAAAGTTTTTAATTATTCTGTATCTTTGATAGAAATATTAATTTCCTTCAATTACAAACTTATGTATCTAAAGTAGTTTCAATTGCAGCTAAATCATCAGTGTAATCCATATAAAAGTGTCTTTGCAAAATACTTTTGTGTGATGCGATGACGTCATCAATCTGGGATCGATCCGATGTTAATAGCTTTTGTATAAAATTTATCTTCGCAGGAGACACTTATCTGTCTTTAACTTGCTTGACAAAACGAACTGCTTTATGCTTATCCAATTCAGCTTCATCATGAGAACTCTCAAAACATGTGGGACAATAGAGGTCGCCTGTACAACCTGTGCATCTATACAGATCCATTTCATTTGTAGTTCGTGAACACATCACGCATTCATTTTCATCATCATCATCGTCATCCTTATCATCATCGGCATCATCTTCAGCCTCATCTTTCACATTTGGAGAGGTCTAATGATATTTTGATATAGATATTATATTGAACAAAATGAAACATTTATTAAATTTAAGAAAAATAATTAAACATAATCTATTTAGAGCACAAACATACAGAATGTTTGAAAACTAGTGGCGCAAGTGGAAAAGGAGTGATTCTACGTGAAAAAATAAGTCAAAAATATAGAATAAAAATTTTTGACTTATTTTTTAATGTAGATGAATCCCCTTCTCGTTTGTGCCATCAGTTTCCGAACATCCTGCAAACGGCAAAAATAAATTAATATCAACTATCAAAGAGATAAAAATATATACTTATTAATCATAAATACATACCTCAATTTCCATTGCTGATAATTTATCAATAAACTTCTCATTTATCATCTCAAATAACTTCTTTTTGTAAATATCAATTTCTTCTTTCTTGTCTGGATCAGAACACTGGAAAATGTAAAACAATTGTAATTTTACATTTTAAGATTGCTACATGTTTAATCACTTACAGATTTATCATCCTCATCTCGTAAAGAATTCAGTCTCTCTTGAATTTCTTTAAAAGGATCACTAGTTGAAGGTAGTTCTAACTGCGCAAGATATTCTTGAATTAAATCATCTGTCTTCTCTTGGTCTGTTCTTGTGTCCAACTGATGTATCTGTAATAACGCATTAATAAGAGTCTATAAAAATCAATCACAAATACATTGTTTACATACATTTATGATATTACTTCCACTGGCTTCTTGATCCTTCAACGATGCTAATCTTTGCTTTATCTCTTCAACTGTAGGCAATGGAATGCTTCGCTCTTTATCTTTCAGTTTTCTTAATCTGTCCACAATTTGTTGATCAGCAGGTTCTAATCCTTTCTTGAACTTATCCCAATGATTTGTATGTTTGTACATCACTATCGGGGGTTTTGCTGGATTCTCTAACAAATCCAATCTAATCAAATGTTCAATATTAGAATATTGTTTCTCAAAATGTTGTAAACTATTTGCAAATGTTAAGCAAAGATCAATTTCTCTTACTTCATAGTAATGTCAACTGGTGCAAGTGGTTCGTTGTCAACATTAGACATTATGGCATCAGTCGTGGTGGTTTCGGGAGTTGATTTGTTCATTTTATTTATATTATTGTAACAACGTCCGCAAACTTTCTTTGTTCCTACATCCGGAATATCGCATTTGTACTTGAGACATTTGTTACAGTAAGAAAAGCCGCAGCTTGGGCAACCAATCTAAGCAAAAGCAATAAACTAATTTAGACAAAATTATAAACAAACAGATCTAATGCCAATATTATTTTAGCAAATTAATTTATTAGAGAAATTAAACATGACAATAATAAACTTACCTCTTTTATAAAAAACGAAAATTTTGTTTGACAGATATTGCAGGACATTCCCTTTACTTGTTATCGATATATTTTTGTTATAACAAAAAAAGTATAATAAACAACTTATCGAAATCTCAGAATAAACACCGAAAGATTTTAACAATTCTTTACATCATTCTTCGCCTGACGTAAAAAGTGCGTAAAAAAGTTATGTCAAAACCATAGACATACAACTGTAAACTACATGAACAATCCACGGTATGAGCGGTATGCAAAGTCCGTTCGTAAAACAGTATTTTAAATACATGAATGCAGCCCATAAAGACATCGAGTATAGCGGCCAATCAACTTTTCGCTTTTCTAGAACTAGCGGGAGATTATTGGCAGTTGCTTCGACATCTACCAAGCATAACGAGTCAACTCGTTCTGCGCGCAGGAGCCCTAATGAATCAACCTAACTTACGAAGTTAACCTCCATGCGACCATTTCTCTAATCATCTCTTATATCATCCTAAACGTAGGGTTACATTCATGCAACGTTATATATACGAATAATGGCTATATAAAACGTATACTAGCATCGTTGACTTAACACAACACTTATATTCTTTTTTTTTTTCTTATTGATTTTCACTTGAATTTCAGGATTATCTAACCATTAGTATTCCACTGCATCATTGAGGAAACATGGTAGACGTGTACCTGTACGACTCGACTGTCTGCCGATTATGCGCGGCGGATGACGGTAACGAGCCTCTGTTCGCTAACAATACGGGCGAATCGGATTTGTGCTTATTGGTGAATCGTTATCTACCACTGAAGGTGAGATGGTACCCTTTTCAAAACACCGGTTGAACAGACTACAACTTGATTTCCTACTACTGATTTACATGGATCTGTACAACTACTGCACTGATCAAATGTTTATCGTTTTGTATATTGCTCGGTTAATTATTAGTTTTTTCTTAAATTTTTATTTCATTTTTATTGAGCAAAACACTTAATTATTTTTTATATAACAATTGCTTGTGCACTAAACATTATATATGTCTTTCTATTACTGTTGAATAATTGTAGAGATAAACAGTTACTTTATTAACACTTCTTTTGTTATTGTATATGTAAATGTGAAATAAGAAAGAATTTATATTTTAATGTAAAAATTATATCTTATGATTTGTTTTTTATACAATATATTTTTAATTTTAAGGTTCGAGATGATGGTAAGTTGCCACAAACAATTTGTCCAGGCTGTAACATTCAGCTGGAGGCAACGGCACAATTCTTTGATCTATTGGTTACTGGTCAACGCAAATTACGTGAACTTTGGAAACATCAAGTTGAAGAGCAGCGAAAAGCAGAACGCTTGCGGAATAGAAAGGAGAATACAGAACTTGAGACAGAAGGAACAGAGATGGATTGCATGGCTCAATACAATGAGGACGAGCAGTATGAGCAGCAAATCGTTATTAAGAGTAATGTTTTTTATATATATTTTTGTGAAAACTGTAAAAATGTTATTCTATATAATTTTAACATTATATTTGATATTATTTTAGTAATGCCAGATGGATCTCTATATGCGGCAGAGCATGAAATGAGTTTGCAAATGGAAGGCTTAACTAAGCCGAAGAGAAAACGTGGACGTCCACCTAAAGTACATACAGAAGCAGAATCTTCGGTTTGTAATAAGTTGTAACAATTTTTACTACTTTCTATATTATAGTTTTTCTATTTGAATGTGTTCTGTAAAAGGCAACGAAAGAAAACCCTGCAGAAGTGGTAAGCCAAGGTGAAGAAGATAAACAGGAAGAAGAAGTGGAAGAAATGGATGGTGATGGTAGACGTAGGAGAAAACGCAAAGTTCCTAAAAGGTTAAAATGAAAGCTTATTGCAGGTTATTGTTTGTATAGAATTTTTAATGATTAGTAAATTTATGTAGGTTTATGGAAGCTGTACAAGGAAAGGAATTGGAAAGAATATTCAAGGAGGAAGGTGTGATTGATGAGGAAGACGATGATGACTCTGAGTTGTTTGATGATTCAGAGGAACCGTTAAATGTTTCTGTGCAAGATGGTCAGGAAGGTATATAATAAAAAATATATATATACTATATCACTAGCGGATCCTGATGTCGATAATAGGGGGGGGGGTTTGACCTGCTTTAATGCATTTTTTACCAAGATTTTTGAAACGGATCCAGTAAAATTGATTTTTTTTAACTTGGAAGGGGGGAGATTTAACCCCCCCCCTCCCAGGATCCGCCAGTGTACTATATGTATACATACTCAAATATCACATACATTTTGCAGAAGTAATAGGTCACCTCGAAACAGAAGAGGGCAAGGACTTGGGCGAACTGGTAGTTGTGAATCGTGGACGAGCACGAGCAAAATCGAAATTCCGCCGTCGGAAAACTAGATTTACATGCCAACTGTGCGGCAGAGGTTTTCTACAACGCAGCAGATATATAATACACAAGTAATATTATTTTCTAAAGATACAAAAATCTTGGATTTTTACAGTTGAAAAGAATCTCGAGTTTTTTTTATTTTCTTACATTATAAGTATTGCGTTTATATA